CCACACTGGTCGGCAGCTTATCGAAAGGGTTCGAAGAAGTAGATGGCGGGGTGAATATGTCTGTCGAGCCGGAGGAGGTCCTATAGCCACTCTGGGTACCGGTTGGCGAAGTAGGAGACCTAGGCCCGGTTGACGTCTTCTCTCCGAGCCTGGTCAGTGTATCTATGCAGCGTTCGACATCACCGTTTAGCCCCTTGAGAACGGTCATGTTTCTCCTCTCATCCATGAAGCCCATGTCCCGCAATATCTCGAGTTTCGACTCCAGAGACCCATTGCGATCTGCAATGCTAACTCCCAACGTTCTAGACTGCTTGTTGTTCGGTAGGGGAACTGAATGAACATGTGAGGTCTCGAGACTCTCTCTCCGGCGCAGGGAAGGGAGGGTACCAGTGGCCGATCTGCTGCTTGAGCTTGGTGTCGACGAGTGAGAGGAAGATAAAGAGCGCAGGCCAAAACCGAACCTCGACTTTGGCTTCGAAGGCAGGGCAGCCGGAGCGTAAGGAGGAGATGTAGGAGAAGACGCAGGGGGGTCGACGGTAGGCTTTGTGGTGTAGCTAGGGTCCTGTCTGCTGGGAGGCTTCGGTTTACCGTCCTCGAGGGTCTTGAGCTCGTACTTTTTGCGCACAAATCGTTCCATGACCGAGTCTACCTCGTCTATATCGACTGGGATGGACGGTTTGATGTTCCGGGGGTTGTATATCTTGTTAACTGCTATGTTCCCGTTCCTTTTCATCGTCTTGGGTTGGGCCGTTAAGTGTCAGTACGACATCACCAGTGTCACTTGTCAAGCCACAAGAAAGAACAACAACAACAACAACAGGAGAACCCACCTCGACCTGCTCTGCTGTCCAGCTGTCCATGGTCAGAGACTTGACCTTGGAAATGTGAGTGCCAAGTTTACGGTGCAATGTTGCGCAGCGCATGCACAGAAATATCCCTAGCTATATATAAAGAATAACAACGGTGCGTTAGACGTGAACAAACAACGAGCTCTCGGGTCAAACGGCGCTTACATTCCAACTTCCCCATCCTATGATTATTACTATCCATTAGCATATATGTCTAAAAACGAAAGGGAAGCAAGGTGTGAATGAAAATGATGAGACTGACCTGGGTTACGGGCCTGGCAGTCGGCACACCTATCGTTGCCGGGCACAGAGGTGATCAGATCCTGCAGCGTCCGCTCGTTGCGCGCCTGCTGACGCTTGCTCAGGGCAGACATGGCTGTCTGTTTCTTTCTTCCTTCCTTCTCTTCTATCTGTATTATATCTTCGAACGGTATCCTGTGTATCAACTTATAAAGTAGCTGACAGGAGCAGAGGAGTAGGGTGCGGACACGGCGCAGGCGTTCAGGGAGGGTTATTAGCAGGAGTTACGTAGTTGCTGAGCGTCCTCCTTTGTGCCGGGCTAGCTAGTTAGGAGGGAAGCGGGTACGGTACGGCGGGACGGGGCCTTAGCTGGCGACGGACATTGGCAGTGGAAGGCAAGCAGGCAGGCAATGAGTGAGAGTAGGGATTAAGTGGGAATATAAAAGGTGAATTAAGGAGAGTAGAAGAAGAAGAAGAAGAAGAAGAAGAAGCTGGAGAAGAGAGTGAAGTTGAAGTTGAAGAGAGACAGAGAGAGAGGTTCGTGTGGCCGAGTTGCCCGATTCGAGATAGTCAAAGTTGGATCCACCGGGCGATAGAGAAAAAGTATACTCTGTGCCCTGCGTAGATAGATAGAAGGCAAGGTAGATAGGGAGGTACTTTGACAGGCAGGGCAGATCGACGGAGGGGAGAGAGTAGAAGTAGAGGTAGGAGATTAAGTGAAGCTGTATTATGATTAGATGGCGGCCGGCTTTGGAGAGGGACACGGCAAAGCAAAGAGCAAGAGAGCAGGAGAGAAGAAGAGCAAGAGGAAGAGGAAGCCCCTATTCAAGGCGTTCTCCTGTTGTATCCATGACTAATGCCGGCAAGGATGGGATGGGATGCAGCATGCAGCAGGGTCAGAGGTCGCCTCTGCCCTCGTCTTCCGAGTATCCTCTTTCTTTTTCTTTCTCTTTCTCCTCCTCTCTTGTCTCTTTTTGTCTCTTCTGCCCTTTTATCGTCTCCGTCTTCTCGTTCTTCTTCGTCTTCTTCGTCCTTTTTCTAACATCTCGAGTTTCATCTTCGAGTCGCGTCAAAGCCTAAAAACAAGATGACTAAGTACTGACTAATAATATCCTTTCACGTGATGTTATCTTCTTACTAAGCAGAGATACACTAACTCTATTTTTACTTCCAGCCTAGCTTCTTCCAGCCTAGCCTGTTATGCTTTCTGCACTAAGCCCCTTTCGGCGCTAGCGCCTCTCCCACTCCACGCTAGTCCCCTTCTGGCCTCTGCGCCTTTCTCGCCCTTTTTGGCTTCTTTTGGTGACTTTTTTTGCTTCTTCTTCTTCTTCTTCTCTTTCTCTCTTGCTTTCTTTCTCGTCTCAACCTCAACCTCAGCCCAGCAAACCTCAACTTCGCCTTTCGCCTCTTCGACGGCCAGAACCTGCTCGAGTCCTTCCTCAGCATACCAGCAGCCGGTGCGACCTGCGTAGGGCCAGGGCTTGCGCTGTCGCCTCACGACTCACGACCCTTGACACGAAACAAGACCTCCAGAGGGGACAGCCAGACGACAGACGAAGGAAAAAAAACGGACGGACAGGCGACCACCCAGCACCCTTACACCCATCGACAGCATCGCCTCCATCGAGCGTGCCATCGGCCTCTGAGCCACCCAGTATATACTTCTTGCGGCGATCGCCTCTCGTCCACGTTTGGTGTGGATTGCGATTGAACCCAAGTACCGTGATGACCTGGACCTGATCCCCCTTGGCCGTCACAAAAACCACCTCAGCAGCACCAGCGGCTAAGGCCTGAAGAACCCCTAAAAAAATAGGATCAACCAACAAAGGATCAAAAGAGAGCAAGAGCACAAGAGCACTGGATATAAACGGTTCTCGCTCCCCTCTCTATATGTCCCCTCGCTGGTGTCGAGGCTCCCCTTCATCACCTCATCGTTGAACCTCGGAGGAGGTATGTTGTCAGATTATGACAGATACCTCCTCGACTGCTCACGCACATTCAACGGCGAATCCGTTTCCGTTTCCGGCCACCACCTCCCCCTTGCCCTCCCCGGTCGTCAACGGAACTGGTTCGACCCACGAAGCCGAAGAAGATGAGCCCTACACCATCAAGTGCATCTGCTCCTTCGAGGACGACGACGGTAGCACCGTCCTGTGCGAACGCTGCGATACCTGGCAACACATCGCCTGCTACTATATCGACAAGAAGAACGTGCCAGAGATCCATAACTGCGTCGACTGCGAGCCCAGGCATCTCGACGGCAAGCGGGCAACAGAACGCCAGCGCAAGCTTCGGGAGCAGAACGACTCCAACAGCAATGCCACCGACGAACAGAGGAAAAGTCGTCGTTCCGGCTCCAAGAGCCAGAAGAAGAAGCCAAAGGATATCGGCTCACCCGGTGCCGGTGGCGACCAGCGTAACGGATGGTCTTCGCATGAACGAACCGGCTCCATGGCTTCGAAAGAGAACGGCCACCATCACCACCACCACCAACAAAGCCAACAGCAACAACAACATCAACCACAACAGACAAAGAAGCAACGGGGTACCCACCGCTCTTCTAACTCTATAAGCTCTGTTGGCGGCGGTGACTCTCGTAAGCGTGGAAACAATGCCATCACCAAGTCTCCAGGCTCTTCTTTTCCCCAGATCCCCCTTTACTCCCCCGAGTTTCTTCACCTTTACGACAACGACAATGCCAGCCTCGACATGCAAGGGAACCTTTTCCGTACCATCGGTCTCACCAACGACCTGGCTTCGTGGGTAAAGGATCCTGTCGCGCTTGCTCAGGTTGCAAACGGTCGTACTGCCAAAGAAGTCTTCAACCACACCGATCAGCCGCTCGATCCTTCGACCTGGCCACCTCTCACAAAACAGACCATTGTCGACAACAATGTTGAAATTGATGGCAGGCACCCAACCTGGCAATGTCTCAAGGTACAAGGCAACGTGCGAAAGGATGAGATCGTAGGCGAGGTCAGAGGTAAAGTCGGCCACTTCAGAGACTACTGTCATGACCCAGACAGTAGGTGGCAGGAACTTCGCCACCCGGAACCGTTCGTCTTTTTCCACCCCCAGCTACCCATCTACATCGACAGTAGAGAAGAAGGCACTGTACTCCGGTATATCCGCCGTTCTTGTCGTCCCAACGTCACGATGCGAACCTACATCACAAACCAGGTGGAATACCACTTCTGCTTCGTCGCAAACCAGGATATTCCCATGGACACTGAGATATCGACCACCTGGTACCTCGATCCAAAGATGTTCCCATCCAACGGCCTGGTCAAGGAGGAAGGCTTACCTGACGGGTCACCAGACGCTGCTGCCATCTCGATAAGTAACGTTCTTGCCCATTTTGGTGGCTGCGCCTGCGATGACTCGGTAAAACCATGTCTGCTAGCAAATATCGACTGCCGCATGAAACCAAAGTCACTGCTGGAGTCCAGCACAAAACAGGCCAACGGACGGAGGAAGAAGGCCAAGACAAAAACCGCTGCTTCACCTGACAGTTCGGGATACGTTGCCGCCCACAGTCGATCAGGCAGCGAGATTGTTCGCAAAGAGGAGGACGACGACCATGCCGATGCACGATCTACGTCTGGCTCGCTCAAGGATCACCATTCCAACAGAGATCTAACCCCTGGTGCCCTTGGACGTGATAATGGAGAGCTGTCGGCTCGTGAGAAACGAAAAATAGCTGCTGCAGAAAAGAAGTTTGAACAACTCGAGCATGATCAGCAACATCCCAAGAAGAAGAAACGGGTTCATCCACCGCGTGGCCAGAGCCCCAGTCTATCGGTATGTACCCGCTTGCTCTTCTTTGTCTTCAATTCTCTTTGACAGACGATCTTGTGATGGTTATAATACTAACATTCTTTTTCTAGAAGTCAGCAAAGCCGCCGCACCTTGACATACCCAACTCGCGCAGATCTTCTCACTCGCCAGCCAAGATGTCTCCTGAATCTGCATCTCAACGTCGGGATGGCCATTTCACTCCCCCAAAGACCTCTGCTGCCAGCACGCCTCGTGTAGTGTCCCCACTGAGCCGGCCAGTCTACATTGACCGTTCTGTCCAGACTGATCCTGATGAGAATGACCCTCAATATGTTCCACCAAAAACGTTTAATGCTCCACGTTTCATGACTCTTTCGCAACGACTGCTGAGACGATGCCACGAAGATCGGATCAAAATGGAGGAAGATGGTCGGTTAGATAGCATACCGAGTCTAAGCTCGCCAGAGCCCGCTAGTGCAGGCTCCATGCTCCCTCCCTCAACGCCGGTGAATTCAAGGCCAGCTCCCTCACCAAAGCAGGCGCCAGACATTGAGATGAAAGATGCGGACTCGTCAATGACACCTCCCAATGCTGCGGTCAGCACGGGTAGCCCTACAACCACCTCCTCTATTTCGCTGTCTTCGCCTCCTCCTTGCCCTCTCTTTCACCTCCCTTCGACAGTTGCGCACAACCTGCCAACTCCTTGTAAGGTTCCACAAAAGCTCGACATGCAAATACCCCTTCCTCCACAATTCCCTCCTCCGACGGGCGATCTAGGCTCGCCAGACTCTGCCTCAAAACTTGTTCCTCCCATCGCAATCACAAAACCTCCTCCACCATCCAAGTTGCAGACCACCTCAGGCTCTGGCCAACCTGCGGCTACTACGACTACCACCTCAACGTCCACATCGAGTCTCACAGCTCCAAGCCCTGTGAAGAAGAAACTGAGTTTGAACGACTACATGAGTCGTCGCGGGACCCTGACAACTCCAACAACAGAAAAGGCTCCCAACCCATTTCTGCCCAACAGTACAAGTCCCGCACCTTCAACTGGTAGTGCGGATCCCAGCCCCACGACACAGCTTCCCTTCACCAAGTTTGCTGAGACTCAGAGCCAGACAAACGGTCTTGGTCAGAATCAATCTGCTTCAACGGACATTGTGATGAAAGACTCTCCACACTCCCCCTCAACTCTGTTTCTCCCACCTCATATTGACTCTCCGTCCGCAAGCAACGGCAATACAAGCAACGGCACAAAACCAAATGCAATCCACGGTCTAAGTTCCCGAGATCCACGACTGCTTGATCGTGGTTAGCCCTGTCTGTCTTGCCTTCACCATCCGACCTCCCCTCCTCTTTATTCTTCCCTCTATATATCCCCACATCAAGTGAATGAAAGAGATCAAAAAAGCGATCAACCTGGCTTGGTCCCTCGCACCGTTTTATTCTTACCCTCTTTTCCTTTTTTGGGTTGACATTATCCCATGACTTGTGCGTGTGATGCTGTTCCCGGTTTTCTCGACCTGTAAGGGGTGTTCTTTAAATCGGCGTTATTTTTTTCTTCTCCCATCTCGTTTGTTAGTTTGCTCATTTCTACTATTGAATGGAATGGATGGACGGGAATCTGGAGTGTTGTCGTTTCTACCTCTTTACCCTCCCTCTACCTCTCTACTTTCCGTTTTATTTCGCTCTCGCCTTTCCTCATCCTCCCTTTCCTACCCTACTTTTCCTTCGAATCGTATATGGGATTATTTCTGTTTTAATGGGAAGCGTTAATGCGCTAGTTTCTAGTGCTGGTGCTGGTTCTGGTTTGTTTCTTTTTTACTGTTCTTTTTCTTTTTTTCGTTATATTGGGCCTTTTCCTCTATTCTTATAACATCCTTTCTCTCCTCTTATATCCTTCTCGTTCCCATTCCCCTGAACCGAAGTGACTCAACCTACTCCATCTACCCTACCCTATCTCACCATACCTTTAAGCAATTTCTTTTGGCCGGCGGATTATCTCGATTTACCAGCTTTGCTCTTGCTTTGCTTCCCTTCCCCTCATCCTTAATCCCCTTGCTCCCTCTTACCGTTTCCTACCCACATTCACCTATCTATTTCTCGATCTTGACGCTTTACCTTTACCCTGTCCTGTGTTCCGCCGCTGTGTAAAATTATCTCTCTCTTGTTCCGTTCCGTTGTTTCTTTACTTTATGGCGCAAGTGAAGGGCGATGATTGATGGATGGATGAATCCGTAACCAAAAAAAGACGCTTGATTGATTGCTTGATTCATCGGTTAAACTACTTGATCTTGATCAATCGATTGACTGGTACTGCTTTGGTTTGGTTGGTTGAGCGGGTGTTTTTCCCTTTTGAGAGTATATGTATGCATGTCTACGTGCAATGTTATTACTGAAAGAGCTCCTTCGTCCTTTCTTCTCTTCCATTCTTTCTCTATCTCTATTCTCATCTTCATCTCTCCGTCTCGACATTAACTTATCAAAAAATACTTTCAATCGTATCAATAACGCATATTTTAACGTTATTTAACGCGCGCGGCTCGCTTCACGTGACCCGGGGTTTGCGGCTAAAAGCTGAGCTTTCCAAAGTTGGAATGAAAGATGTAAATACAAAAAAAGCTTCTGTTGGAATTAACAGGTACCACAGCTTAAATCTTTCCAGCATGACACATCTATAGACATTTATCTACCTTATATACAGACATATATCCAGTCCTGATGGACGTTGATTCCCGCCCCTCCAAGCGACGAAGGGTGTCTGACCCAGACCCCGAATCGAAACCAGGCACAGAAGAAACCCCAAGTCCAACCCGGACTCGAAAACCGCGCAAGAATACCAAGTCCACCGCTGAATCGGAGGGTGCTGTGAATGCAGGTACAGACGCAGCTGATAAGAAAGAAGATGCGGCGCCAGCACAGTCGACGCGACGAAGTGCGCGGATAGCAGTGACGGGCAATTCAGTCGTGAGCACCAGCGCCGGCCCACCGAGACCGAGAGTGGTTGAAGGCGAGGATATACAGACTAGTTCGCGGTCGAATAATAAAAGAGGCAGAAAGGCAAATACGAGCACGGCCGGGACGTCTTCAGGAAAGAAATTGGTGCGGAAATCAAGCAAATCAACGACTACAACTACAGCCAGGCGAAGGAAAAAGAAGGAGGAAGAGGAGAAAGCGGAGGAAGTGGAGGAAGGGGGAAATGGTCAATTGAGTGAGAAGAAGAAGAAAGAGGGCGTCAATGGTACCCGCGACGTGTGGGAAGTTCCGTGTGATCGTGAGGATGAGGACGAGCTGGCTATAGCGCAGTTAGTAGCGAGCAACGAAGCAGCAATGCAGCTTCAGACGGAGCTTGTTGAGCAGGTCGAAGTGCCTCCCGAGACGGTCAATGGAACCGCATATGCCGAGAAGTTCGTATCTCTATGCGAAGAGCACGGTCTCGAACCGATGGTGGCACCCTTAGGCGAATTCATACTGGATAAGCTGAACGGCAAACGCTTGATACCACTCAAGGGACTGGACAATGAATACCAGACCGTGTTCCAGCTACTTGAACAGACCGTGGTGGCAGGCGAGGGGAACTCTCTGCTGCTGCTCGGGGCCAGGGGAAGCGGGAAGACAGCCGTGGTGGACACTGCGCTGGCGGCTTTATCGAAAACCAACCCAGACGACTTCCACATCGTCCGACTGAACGGGTTCCTACACACGGACGACAAGATTGCTCTGCGGGAGATATGGCAGCAGCTAGGCCGCGAGATAGATCCACAGGAGGACCTAGAGAAGCCATCGAGCTACGCTGATACCATGGCCTCGCTGCTTGCACTGCTATCCCATCCGGAAGAAATAACCGGTCCGTCGCTTGACGAGAATGCAATCACGACCACGAAGTCGGTGATTATTGTACTGGACGAGTTTGATTTGTTTTCGTACCATCCGCGACAAACTCTGCTGTATAATCTGTTTGATATCGCCCAAGCGAAGAAGGCCCCTGTTGCTGTATTGGGGCTCACTACCAAGGTGGAGGTTACGGAGAACCTTGAGAAGCGAGTGAAGAGCAGGTTCAGCCATCGACATGTGTTTCTGCCTCGGCCTAGGAGCTTTGTTGAGTTTGTGGATATCTGCATGGCTTCGCTGAAGGTTGAGGTTGAAGAAGGGCTGGATTCTCCGTTGGAAGGCGAGAAGGGGCCGATTCTCCTCGACGGGTGGAACAGTTACGTGCAGGTATGTTAAACACTACTAAATATAGAAAGAAGGGGTGGAAAAACAAGACATCTCTCGTATAACTACCTAAGTAACTAACTCCCCGGCGGTAGGGCCTATTTGACGATGCGGACTTTGCTCCTCATCTGGAGCAGATATACTATCGAACCAAGAGCGTGCAGGATTTCTTCTCCAGCGCGCTGGTACCGATAGCGTCGATGGCATTCAGCACCGTATCAGGGAGCCAGAAACCCGAGCTGCCGGGCATCCAGTCCTTTGCATCAAACACGTTGGGCTGTCCGGACCCGGCACCGCTTCCATTCACCCAGCTTTCCGGTTCGACGAGCAACGTCTCGTTACCCTTGTCCCTCCTGCTGACGGCAACACGGCTAACGGCCCTGCATGAATCGGCAGCGACGGCAGCAGCCTCGCTAACATTATCCTTCGCAGCCGTCTACACCGAGTACGTGCGCCTACTCACCTCTGCCAAGGCATCGGCATCCGCGTCTGGCGCAGCGGCGACGCCGGGGCGGGTATGGGGTAAGGAGTCCGCCAAAGAAGCGTGGGAGAAGCTGGTTGAATGGGGCCTTGTGATGCCCGCAAACGGCTATGGGATGGGAGACGGGAAAATGTTCCGGGTCGAAGTCTCGTTTGAAGAGGCCGTCGCAGCTCTAGGCTCTACCGGGGCCGGGGCATTGGGCAGGTGGTGGAGAGACGGGTAAGAGGGGAGGGAGGGCCTGCCTGGCGGGCTGGCCGGCCAATTCTTTCCCCTTCAGGGCCAAACCAGTTGAAAAGCCGTTGGGTAACTCTAGACCTGATATTACTGCTACCCTACCCTACCATATCCTACACCCCCTATTACACGGTACAGCAAGCACGCAAGACAGCGTCTTAACTTGCCATGACCACGCTGTAAATAACTGTACCACCTGGTTATGCATACCCCTGCCATACAGTATCAATCAATCAGCATGGCGGACGGCCAGACAGCCAGACAGCCAGACAGACTTCATCACAGCCAAGTTTCTGTCCCACCATCAACGGATGACGTCTGGATTTGAAATCAAACCCCTTTTTCCCTCTCGCTCCCCATCTCCAACGCCATGCACCAAAGGGGAGCCAGCAGAAAAAAAGGAAGAGGATCGTCAACTCCGTTTTCCGGTGCATGTCCCACCTTCCACGCTCTGGAGAGAGTCAGGTCGGCAGGCAAAAATGAGCACAGCGCGGTCGATCACCTGGGGACTGCCCATCCCCAACCCCAGCCCCAGCCACGATAGACGGCCCATCCCATCCCCATCCCATCCTATCATCCCCAGAGGAAAGCAAGAGCAAAGACAAAAGCAAAAAAAAGTCAATGGAACGTGTCCCTTTCGAGTCATTCAATCAATCATGGCTGTAAAAAAAAAAGCCAGAGCCAGAAAGCCAAAGCCAATTCTTCTTTTAAGAAAAAAACTCAGCTCTCAGAGTGCGCCTGGGTGTCTGCTTGTACCACCTCCCTCGGCGAACGAGGGTCGAAATAGTCGCAATAGCCAACCTGACTAACGGTAGTTAATGGAATATAAAGATAAGGATGCCATGCTCCTCGAACGCTGAAGCCATGCCATGCCGCACTGATTTGGAATTTGAATTGACTTGAATTGAAGTGAATCTGTGCATCAACTTTTGTTTTACCTGACGCGTGGCTTCGATACACACAGCCCTTTTTTGCTTTTTCACTTGTTTGCCTGCTGGCTGCTGCTGCTCGAGGGCCACACTGACCTTGACTGGGCCTGCATGGTGACGATGGAGGGTGTTCATCCAAAAAAGGGTGATCAAGCCACCACCAACAAATAGACAAGCTACTGTAACTTGGGTTTCTTTTTCGACAAAGTGAGAGAGAGAGAGAGAGAGAGGGTGAAAGTGAAAGTGAACCGAGCCGAACCCATGCGCTCGTCCTCAACCCTCGCCTTCGCGCCTGCGCCTGCGCCCGAGCCCGAGCCCGAGTCCGCGCCCATGTCCGCGGTGGGCTGAAAATTGAGGCGAGAAGTGACGAAATCTTCATCCCGGGACTGGGATGACGTCGAGGAACGTATCTCATCGCACCTTTTGGGGTATCTCTTTTATGTATTATATGTATCTGTATCTGTACATATGGGTATTGGTATTGGTATCGGTACTGGAGTAGTATAATATTAATATTGGTATATGTGCGTGTGGGCGAGTCACATCGCACAGCAGGAGGAGAGAAGCAGCGTCCATCCGCATCGCCCAACGAGCATCACCGCGTGGTTGAACAGCATGAGATGAGCAACCGCCAAAAAAGAAAGAAGAAGAAGAAGGAAGGAAGAAAAAAACCCAACCTGTTTGTTTAACTTTTAATGATCGACAGGAAGTTCATATTATATGCGTGTGTATGGAGTATGGAGTAGAGAAGTGGACTGGAGCACACAGCCATGACATAACCTGCCGCGGAGGCAGGAGAGCGACTCGGTAGATGCGTCGAATCGAATGTTGGAAAAGAAGGAAAGGGAAGAAAAAGGGACAGGGGAAGGACCAGGAGCCCATGTTCGAGGAGAAACACTGCATGTACTTACTTATGTACAAACAGAGACACGACAGGACCAAGAAAGACAAACTCAAGAGCGAGAGCAAGAGGTGAGTCAGCTAGTTTATTCGTCCGATAGAAGTGTTATTTGCATGAATGTCTCTTTGGTCAAGGGTTGTTGCTTTAAAACGTCTAGAACGGCCAGGGGAAGCCGCCGGATGCGATGCGATGCGATGCGATGTGATGCCCTGCCATGTCATGCCATGCGGATGCAGGATAGACATGCCACGCATCACCAACGAGGGCAGCCATGTAGGTACCCAAGGACGATACACACATCCATACAAGCATACAAGCATACAAGCATACAAGCATACATACAAGCAACGGTGGAATGAGAGAGTCCGTGTCTGTGTCTGCGACGAGCCGCCTCGTGGCTGATCGACTTGCGGCGTCATGTTGTTCATTTTACTTCATCACTTCAATTTCTTACTTATTTGCAAGTGTGTAGAAAGTTCTTGTTGTGTACGGAGTACATATTTGCTTCTTTGCAAGGGGGATGGAGGATTAGATGATGATGACCGAGCAGCCAGCCAAGGCGCCGCGAGTCTTGGGAGGTGACGATGATGGCCCGTATCGTAAGTAAGTACACAATCACGAAGGGACGAGAGATAAAAGGGGACGAGGAGAGACAGGGGTACCATGTGGTCGAGCATGCATGAGCTAACTTGATACCACACTAGAGGCGCTGCTAAGTCGTAAGTAAGGGACTGTGAGGAGATGAGATTATCTACTTGGTCTATATCACGGCGATATTATTATCGAGTAAGTCGCAGAGACAGACAGAGACAGCGAGAGACAAGAGGGACCACATCCCGACACGGTTCCGAGCAGAACCCGACGAGTTAGCTAGCAGTAAGTAAGTTAAGCTACGCTGGAAAATAGTGAAAATATCAAGTAAATAGTGAAAAGCGAGACTTTTATCAGCGGAACTAGTAAGTACATAAGTAAAAAGAAGGCCGTCTCGACGGAGATATCTCCTCTGGCCGTTCGTCTCCCTGCGCGGCTTTATGCCCGACCATCCGCGCTCCTTACCTACTTGGTTGCCTAGGCCCCTCCTTACCTCCGACAATAAGGAAGCAGAAGAAGCAGAAGAAGCAGAAGAAGCAGAAGGAGGATCAAAAGTTATCTTTTCGTCTCGCTTTGGTCCGCCTTAACTTCCGAAACGACCTTCCGTCCTCCATCGCCACGTGGAAGGTCGTGAAGTAAGACTTAAGTAAGGGGTAAGTGTGTCTAAGGGCTGAGCTGTACTTGTAATAAGGATGTTTCATCTTTTTCTTTTCCCTTTCTCTCGATTCGTCTCTTGTTCGTCTTCGTTCTCTCGTCTTGTCGTCGCCTTGACCCTTGACCGCGCACTAGAACCCCTTAACCTTGCTTTTTCCTTTTTCCTCGCTCGTCATGGAGAAGCCAAAAAGAGCGGATGAAGTAGCCAAAAGAAGAGAGAGAGAGAGAAGAAGTAAAAGTAAAAAGAAAAATAGGTTAAACGTAAGTAAATAAACACATGGCATGAGCCCGCGGAGAAGGGACCACACAGAGCAGAGTACACATACATCATACATCATAAGTGAAGAGGCAAAGAAGAGACGAATATTTATATAGAGAAAAGAGATAACTGTGATATAAATAGCAAAGAGGCAAAAGCAGAGAAGAGGGTCCCGTCTTGTCGTCTTTTCTTTTCTCTTTGTTTGTTGACGATGGAGATAAAGATGAAGAAGAGGCACACGACATGGCTCCTTGACTCGAGCCCTTCTCCTCGTCTTCACCACCGTCTTCTTCCTTGCTTACGGCCGAAGACAGGCAAGCGACCTACTGCTTTTCTTACTTCGCTAGGCCGTCTTTCTTTTCTTCATCTTGCATCCCTCCGCCTCTTTTTCTTCTTCACCTGCTAGCCGCATCCAGCCTAGCCTCAGACGCCACGTGGTCATGCTGATTAATCCATGAGGCGGTGAGACCACGTGCGGCGGCGGAGATAAAGCAGCAGAAAAAGAGGAGGAGGAGGAGGAGACTCCGCTTTCTGACTAAGCCGGCGGAGTCGCGGAGGAGGCCGAAGCCAAAAGAGATGAAGAAGAAAAAAACAAAAAAAAGGAAGAAAAAAGACGTAAGAAGCGAGTCATAGGAGAGACTAAGAGAGGAGGAAGAGGAAGAAGAAAAGACGTAGGAAGAAGTAAGAAGGAACTGCACGAGTAAGTAAAAGGGTACTCCGTAAGTAGAGAAAGAGAAATAGAGAAGAGAGAGGAAAGAAGAGGCTAGCCGGCCACGTTCTGACAGGCACCGATCACACCGTAGCATGGGGCATGGCATGGGACAAGGGGCCGGGGACAGGGGACATAGGGCCACTAGGGGGCCATGGACAAGGGCCGAAGCAGAAGAAGACGAAGAAGACGAAGAAGCAGCAGAAGAATAAGAGAAGCAGAAGAGAGACCCCGGGCGGTTCGGTCGAGGACTGTCGGGCGGGTCGTGTTTCAGCCAGTTTCAGGTCGCCGATGTCAGAGACGTGATGAGGATAAGAGTAAGGAAGAGTCAGTAAGAGTAGAGTAAGAGTAAGAGTAGAATATTCAGGAGCAGTGCATGGTAGACGATAGTCCTAGTAGGGAAGAAGACAGTAAGGAGATGATACTAGAGAAGGAGAGTAAGAGTAATAGAAGATACTCCATACGCCTTCCTCTCTCTCTCTTTCTCTCTGTCTTTATCTATCGTCGTCTCCTCTCTTACTGCTTCTCTCTTCCTTACTCTTACTGTGTCTTCTCTCTTGCTTGTCTCCATCTCTCGCATCCCTGTCACTTCGTGGCGCCCACGAGTTGACTTGCTTTTACCGCGTATCGTCATGTAATCATCTTACCGTCTTTGCTTTTTCCCCCTTTTTTCCCCTTCTCTTTTACCGGCTTGGCATAAAAAAGGTCGCAGCAGCAGAAGCAGAAGAAGAAGAAGAAGCAGACGAGTAAGAGCATTAAGTAGATGCACTAAACCAAAAGGTATAAATATTACACTTAAGTGAGTTACTCTTCTTTTCCTTTTTTATACTTACTTCACTTGCATCTTAGTTTAAGAGCCAAGAAAAAGGAACAAGAAGCAGCCAGCAGAAGAAGCACTTTTAAGTTGAAAAAAAAAGCTGATGTGAGAAGAAGAAGTTGAAAAAAGAAGAAAAAGAAGAGAGTTTCCACCACGTTGTTTCGCCCTTTTTCTTCTTCTTCTTCTTCCTTAAACATCTTCTTCTCTTTCTTCTTCTCTCTCTCTTCTCTTCATCTTTATCTTCTATCTTATTCCTCCTCTTCATGCTCTTCTCCTCTTCTCCTCTTCTCCTGCTTCTTCTTCCTTCTCCACTTCTTCCGTCTAAGGTCTTCTCCTGCCAACATCTCTTTCAATGAGCAGGCCTGCGCTTGACAGATCAAACTCCCTCCACCAGCATCTCAAGCACCGGCCGTACATCCCGCTCGAAGACCACATCAACAACATCAACAATAACAACAGCAACAGCATCAACCACAGTAACAGCAGCAGTAACAGCAGTAGCAAGACATCGCCAGTCCTGACGCCCTCGTCGTCGTCTACCTCGACTCCGGCTTCGACGTCGACAGGGAAGACCTTCTTTGCTCATCCGTCTCGCTCGTCTAGGCGCTCGCTTGCTGCAATTGCCATCCAGAAGACTTCTTCTGCCTTTAGCCTGGGGAAGCCTGCCTCTACTTCTGCCTCTACTTCTACCACCACTGACTACTACCACCACCACCACCACCACCACCAGCAACAACTGCAACTACATCAGCAGCAACTACTACTACAGCAGCAGCAAGCCAGAGAAGAAGAAGAAGGAGACCCCTTTAGAGACCCGGACAGCTGGGAGTCAGACGACAGGCCAGCCGCAGCCATGGCCGGGAACCAGTCCGCCTCCAAGATGCACCAGACGTCTTCCCGCCTGCTCCGGATGACCACCGAGGAGCGGCCCTTCACTCGCGACTTCAAGGACCTCTTCTCGACGCTCATGGTCAGCCTCAAGCTCGAGACTCACCGCGTGCGCTTCTCCAAGTTCGAACACACCTTCACGGCCGAGGAGGCCATCAACAATCTCGGCTCCCTCAAGTTCTCCCAGTCAAACCGCATGCCGGACCCCAAGGATCCCTCTCGCATCGTCACCACCACTACCACCACCACTTTCTCCATGGCCAAGGAGATGGCCCGCAGTGTCTGCCAGCGCTTCGTCGACGCTCGCTTCATCGAGTCCGTCGACGGCCGCTTCTCCTCCCAGTTCCCGCTCAAGGGCGCCCTCTACCAGCTCACCCCCAAGGCATCAACATCCTCCACCGGTTCTGCCAGCGGAACGGCATCACCGCCCGGCACATCATGGACATCATCGACTCGCCCCGGAACACCATGCAGCTCGTCATCCTTGAGCGAGACAGCATCTCGGACCAGATATCCAACGACAAGGGCACCATAGAGGTCATCTTCCGTCGCTTTGCCGGCCAGGATGGGCCCAACATCAAACCCACCGTCTCTTCCTCGGACTCGGACTCCCTGTCAGACTACAGCAACGGCGTCGTCGGCGTCAAGATGGCCCGCGAGCGCAAGATAGGCGACAAACTATACCAGAATACCTTCACGGGCAAAGCAGCCATGGAATGGCTCATGGACTGCTGCACCACCATCGACCGCCGCGAGACAATGGAGATTGCCTCCCTGTTCGTCCGCTTCGGAATGATAACCTCTTTCCTCGAAGACAAGACCTACATGTCCCACGATCCCTCCGCCTCTCTCTTCCAGCCCACAAAGAGCGCTATCTACGGCATCACAGAACACGGCCAGCGTATCTGCGGCTGGATAGCGAGAGACCGACCGCCAAACTCTACCAATTCTTCTTCCACCAACTCTGCTACCACCGCTTCCGCCGCTGCTCCACGAGACTCAAATAACGCCAGGCTACATCACATCATCCAGGACCCGGCCCTGCGTCTGCTGTTCAGAGAGTTCCTCCGCTACTCGCTCTGCGAGGAGAACATGTCCTTCTACCTCGACGTCTCGGACTTTACTGCAAACTACCGTCGCGCTGAGAAGGCCGGCGCCTTTTCCAAGATGGACACCGTCAGGGAGACCCTCGCCAGTGCATACGGTATGTCTTTTTACTCTTTTACTACTCCTCTTTTAAATGGCATTCTAATGTAATAAATGACAGGCCTGTATAATGCGTTCCTTTGCACCGGGTTCGCCTTGCGAGTTGAACATCGACCATGCTCTGCGAAAATAGCCTGGCCAGCCCGCATGACTCGCGCCGTCGGAGACGATGCTTCCATGGTCAAGTCTCTCACCGACGTTGTTCAGCTGTTCGAAGCGGCACAGCTCTCCGTCTTCAAACTCATGTCTTCCGTAGGTTTATTCCCATTTTACTCCTCTGCTTAAGTCTCTCCCCTACTAACAAAACTTACTATTAGGACTCCGTCCCAAAGTTCGCCCGTGATCCGAAATATGCCGCCCGTCCTCCAAGAGCACGACTTCGACCTCAACCCAACCGCCAGCGGACGATCATACTCGCCGACCCTACTGCCCGAACGGTCCATGAGCAGAAGTACCCGATCATAGACTCCGATAAATCTCTGATCCGCTCTTCTCCTCTTTTTTCTTCCTCTGACGCTTCTTTTTTCTTGACGTATATCCACGGACACGGCGCGACTTTAGACGGCACAGCGACTTTGCACTATCATCTTTACCATCCACCACCCTACCTACCAACCAAGCCAAAATGCCTTTTCTCTATCTAACGCATCTCTTGAAAAAGTATTCCCTCTCACGACTCTCCTCGTCTCCTTGCTTTTTCATCCTCTTTTTTTTTACGTCTTTTTATTCCTTTTATTATATCCTTTTCTTCTTAACTTCTTCTTCATAGACTTCTGACCCTTGAGCGATTTGGTCGTTTTATTCTTCTTTATTCTTCTTTTTCTTTTACATACCCCCTTCCCCTCCTGACTTCCTTTCTACGCTTTTTTTTACATATCCTTCCTACTTTTACTTACATGAGATGACATACTAAAGAAAGCATTCGGATGGCGTATCTATCTATCTATCTACTTACCTCTTTTCCCCTTTTCTTGTTAATGGCTAATACCATCTCCTCCCTCTCTCTTCCTGTCTATCTATCATCTCCAGCAAAAGGCGGGCTATCTGATCTATCCCTCATCGCATCGCATCGCATCGCATCGCATCATGTCATCTACCTGCTACTCTAGTTATATCCACACCCGTCTATCTATCTATCCACTTCCCTTCCGTCTCCATCTCCATCTCCATCTTCTTCAGCTACCTAACTTAGCATCCATCACTCTTCAGCTCAAAATTACCTGCTTTACACAGCCAGTATCCGTATCAGTAATACTTGTACGTACCGCGCAAACTCAAGGTTAGACTTTTACAGCCTCGGGTTGCGATCGCCGACGATCGAAGTTCCTTTTTCCTTCTTTTCCCGCCTCATGGCTCTCAAACTCGGCACTTGCAACACCCCCTTTTTTGCTTCTTCTGGTTGGCTGGCCTGGATCCAGCTGCTCGTCGCTCTCGCCATGTGGTTTTGGCCCATGTATGTACATATGTTGATGTAGGTTGACGTGATGTACATATACATAAGCAGGCAAGAAGACTTAAGTGTGCGCCAGTATAATATTAGCCGCTGATATAGCCCATCACACTATGTTGATTCTCCGAGATGAAATGTAAGAGATAACTAACGAGTTTAACTAGGTATACAAGAGTAGGTAGGTAGAGGTAGGTAGGTAGAAAAAAACCCCGGCTTCAACTTCTCTATAGCTTCTGCTTATTTGGCTACTCCCCATCCCCGAGCCTTCATGCCTTCTTCAATGGCAGACCAGATACCCTCAACCACGCCTCGATCTCTCCATCTCGCTCCTCCACCAGCGACATTCGCGCTCTTCTCGTCCCACCGATCAATCGCAAAACTACGCACTCCTCTCCCCCACCCTTTCACCTCACGCGGCGCCTCCTCCCCTCTCCATCCAACGTGGATGCCAGTCGCGTGCTTAAACAGCTCCTGCGGCGTCGACCACTTATATGACTTAAACTGCCACGTCTGACCGGTCGTGAACACAGCTACAACCCTGTTCCAGTAGTCGGGCTTGAAGTCCGCTGTGCTATCGACTAGAATGAACAGCGTGGGTTTGCGCAGGGTATTGGATGCTCCTGCGCCTGCGGGTTTGGCTATTCCGCCTACAGCTGCGGGACGCGGTGGCAGAGCGAGATGTGTCCGGGATGGTCTGTAGTGTTCGCGAGAGGTGTAGGAGGTTGGAGTTGGTGGATTTCGACAAGGATGGGTGGTCCGGTGGGATGTAGATGCCTTCTGTCAGGAAGGTCTTGATGTTGGACATGCGTAGTAGCGAGGAGGCAGATGGAGATACCAGGATGATGGGGTTGGGTCGGCGAGAGGAGGAAGATGAGGAAGTTGATGTGCCTGAGGACGCGGCGGTTGGGTCGAGTGGTTTTTTGGGGATGCTGCCTGGCCCCGGAGTGGGTGTTGGTTTACCGCCTTTGGATGTCGTGCCGCCTGCTACTCGAGATCTGTTGCGGCCTAGGAAGATCTCGGCTGTCTTGCGGATATGTGAGAAGTCCTAAGCAGAAGGGAATGATGTTGTTAGCTATAGGTAGGTAGGTTTCGGGGAAGGGTTAAGGGTAGTGGACTGGCTTACAGTCGGCTTGATGCCTCGTAGCACCGTGTTTCTGTCTCCCAGCTTGCGCTCGCCGTTATATATAGCTTGTAACCGAGCATCGACCGTCTTGCCTGCTCGGCTGGTTGCAGCTCCGGCTCCAGCGGGTCCTGCTCCAACGGCTCCAGCTCCCTTGGCCGGCACGCTCCCTGCAGCCACATCTGCCTCCTTCGCAGCTGTAGCCGCAGCACCGGCACCAGTACCAGCACCTACAGGAGCAGCTGCACCGCCAATCTCACCCGCAGTTTCTCCCGTAGCTTTCCCCTCAAGAGGTTTGATATACTCGCTCTCATCGGAAGCTCCCTCCAGCCAACTGATCAAATCGACTTTCTCAACAAACACCAGGTTCAGCACTTTTCCCGCAGAGCGCAGCGCATCGTTCACTTCCTGCGCTGACGCAATGTACTCCGGTATAGCCACGTCCTTCTTCAGCCAGGCAAAGTAGATGCTTCGTAGGTCAATTGCCGTGTTTGCAGCCGCTGAGACAAACCGCGTCGGTGTAGAGAGAGGTATGCTCTGGGCTACTGGCTGGGTCAGGTACAGGTGTGTCGCCTTGGAGATGTCGTCGGTTGCGTGCTCCGTCGAGAGATCCGGCGAGCTCGTCAGCACAGGGCCACTGGACGGTGAGCTCAGCGCTCGTTTGAGGGCAAGTAGGGGATCGGACAGCGCTGGGTCGGAGCTCGCCATGTTGGCGACCCTAGGTATCTTGGTCTTCTGCGGCCTGTTCTTCCTTCTTTTTTCCCCGTTTTCGACTTCGTCTGGTCGTCTGTAGCTATAGGATGTGCGATGAAGATGCTCTGAAGGGTATAATGTCTGTTCTGTTGCTGGTTTGAAGCTGAAGCTGTCTCTTCTTCTGTTTCTTCCTTCAACTTTCAACTTTGCACAAAATGAACGGGTCACGTGACTGTTTTTGGACTTTTCCCAGGCTTTCGCCCTGTGTTGTTCAAATTTGAACAAGGGGAGAAGAATAAACAGAGTCCAGTGTTTCTATTCTTCTTCTTTGTTCGAGTGGCTGGTTATTGTAGATGATCCGAAGATGGCATTCGGTGTCATCATTGGCTCATACGGTTACGAGCTGCCTGTGTTGTCCTCTGTACCTACGCCTGCTATCACATGGCTGTACTTTCATCAACACCCCAAGCAGCATGTAGCTAAATAACTATAACTACCTAGAGTTTGATTCGAAGCTCTGCCTCCTTGGGCCTATGGTCTTTGATATACTTAGACTGTCTATCAATCTGATAACTGGCGGCTAAGCACCGCAGAGTCACGAAGTCATGCATAGCCAACCAGACCATCTCAATCTCTAACCTCGGTTGCGGTCTTCTCCATAGCTTCGAAGGAGCTATAACTAGTTATAGAAATAAGACCATCGCAGCCGCTTCCTTCAGCTTCCATCGCTTCCTGGAGGATGCTCCTACAATCCATCTGAATATAAAAAAAAGAGTCAATCGCACCTTCGTCTACCTCTACACCCACATCTACATCAAAAATGGCGGCAGACGAGTTCTCAGAGCGCATGATAGAGGCGTATGATGCCATAGTCCTCGATCCTAGAAACACAGTACGTCTATACTCCCCTCCACGTATGTAGTAGGACGCCGGAGATGAGATAAATTCCCACGTCGATATAATTAACCCGCATCCAGGGCTACAGCTGTGACATATTCCGCAAACATGTCCGCTTTGGATCAGCGACTTCCGGTCCTCCTGCCCGCGTCACCTTCATTGCAACCGTAGCTCCGGAGATGTGCAATGGCCTAGGAAACCTGCACGGCGGATGTGCCACGACCTTAATTGATGTCACTTCATCGGCGCTGTTGTTTGCCTTGGGAGGACATTTCTCTGCCGGAGGAGTCAGTCGGTCACTTAATATTACCTTCCTACGACCTGCGCCAGAGGGAACGGAGATTTCCATCAATTGTGAACTTGTGCATTCTGGGAAACGGCTAGCATTGCTTCGGGCTGATATTCGCAGGACGGATACGGGGGATTTGTGTGTTTTAGGAGAGCATGATAAGGCCAGTACGCCGATAGATGCGCAGATGAAGCTGTAGCGGACTTATCCGTAATACTAAGGGGATTGATTGATAGTTGTAAAGAGTGCGTATATAGATTAGGGATTTTGGGGATAGAGGGAGGGAGTCAAGTCCTTTTCTTTATTTATTTCTTTCTGGTTCCTGGAATTGTTATCCATTCAAGCCTATCTACAGAAGCTTTATTCCTATAGTACGACCCTTTTCCTGTCTGTAGAGACGCCGAAGGCATCCTCAGATAATAAATTATCTGGTCAGACGACATGCATTAAAAAGAAAAACAAGAGTCATCATACACATTCGTAAGCCTGTCTTGGTACGCCGGCATCTGCTGAAGAGGCTTAAGTGGCTTAAGTGGCCTGGGGGAAGGGGATTCCTCGGACAATGTTTCTGCCCGGGTCGAGACGGTTGTCCAAATCGGCATAGCGAAGAATAAATTCACGCTGGACAGTCAATTAGTTGATATTCAACACATAAACACATAATACAGTGCATGGAAGATGTATACTCACTCGGACTTTCTTCCAGCTGCTGGTATCCCACCAGAGGTAGACGCCACGCTCGCTAATGCCTCTCTCAACCTCAACGGGGTTTGGATAGGTGTCGTCGCGCGTCAGCCATGCGCGTTCAACCTTGTGGTAGCGCCACTTTCGGCCCATGAGCTCTTCTGCGACTAGCTCCTGCATGATATCACGCGGCATGCTGTAAAAGATGTAGAACAGAGTCTCATCGCTGAAGCTGGGTATACGGGTCTGCAGTGGCTGGACATTGGCTACGTTGTAGCATGCAGGCAGAGTAAAGTCTGGCCGTAGCGGGACAGACACGTTAGATGAGATGAAGGGTGATGCAAATGTTTGATGCAGTGGTCTTTTACATGTGCAGAGTTAGCATGCAATGGCGCGTTGACTGGAGTAGGTAAAATGCGTGTATAGATGGATACGTACTCTTGCTGGTTCAGATCCAGTCCAAGACTCATTAGATCTTGGCCGATAGCGAGGCTCGCAACGTCAGGGCTGTCACTATGGATCATCCGTAGAAGTCCGGCTAAGCCGAATCGATCGTGTTCGCTCATCTGGGAGAGCGAGGCCTGCTCAGCTGTCTGGCCGGCTCGGGAAGGATCATGGGCCTCATTTTCTGCCTGTGCCTGTGCCTGCACCTGCGAGGGCTGCGGCTGTGGCGGCTGCTGTTGCTGCTGCATCTGATCCATGCTGCGTTGGTTCATCATGGATGCTTGAGCTTGAGCCTGAGCTTGAGCTTGGGTTTGAGCGTTGTCCTGTAGGTTTTGTTAGTTGGCGATCTCGTTAGCCAATAGGACGCGTCTTGAAAGGAGGAAAGGGCGAGCATCAAAATATTTGTCCTATACTGGGAGAGCCGCCTACCTCGTGATCTTGCCCAATTATACCGTTTTGGTTCTGGCCAGCTGGTAACCGCGGACCTGGCGTGCCTTCATCCAATGAAACAAACATAAGAACATGTATCCAGTGTATTCAAAATGAGCCAAAAGTACGTGTCTGTTCACTTACCGGATGGACCTGCAGCTGCAGGAGATGCAATTCTACTGGTATCTTGCTGGTTTCCAAGAGATGAACGCGTCTGAGCAGAGAAGCCAGTGAATCCCATAGAGCTAGCATAGTTACCAACTGCTCCTGCTTGGTCAGACTGTTTGCTCAGAGGAGGGAAGTCGTCGACACTGCCGGCCTGTTGCTGGCTGCCGCCTGACATTTGGCCCATGGCCTGGACACCGTTACGGAAATCATCAAGCTGGGTGACAAACTGTGTTGTCGAAGGGAACTGGTCCTCATGGCCCTGAGCTTGACCCTGGGACTGTGCCTGCTGAGCTTGGAGCTGAGACTCCCGCGAGGGAGCTTGAGGGGGAACAGGGGCTTGTGGTTGTCTCTGTCCGAGACTCTGTTGAATCGAACGTTGGCCTGCGTTGCCCCAGATGGCCTGTCCGGGGGTTGGAGTGGTGTTCTGCGGGCCACTTGAGAGAGAAGGGAATTCGCTGAGAGACGCGAGATCGAGAGTCAGCACCTTCTGTGCCTTGTAGCTGCGGCCGGAATAGCCAAACTTGGTATCTGCCTTCATGGCGAAGGGTATCAATGACAGCAACTGTGGGATATCAAGCTGGCAAGGCAGATGTTGCAGGAGGAAGAGATGAAGTAGATGAAGGAGAAGAAAAGGAGAAAAGGAAACAACAGGAGGATGGCCTTTGAAAGGAGGACAAAGATGGTGCCGAGAGAGGCGTCGCTACTCACGAGAGGTCAAGGGGAGCAGCGGGCTGTGAGCCGCTTACGCTCTGTGCAAAGGAGCCCATGGGATTCACTGGTCTCTGCTGGCTGCTTGGTAGGCCTGATGTGCCTCCCATCGGTACTCCAAAGCCCCAGCTGGCAGAGGTGCCGCCTATCCAGGACAAACAAAGGGGAGTTACAATTAGCCAAAGGTTCCATCTCCCATATAAGGTATTCCACCGTCCTCACCCATCTGACTGTTTGGTAACCGTCCGGATAATAGGGCAGTGTTTGCGGTTCGGTTCTGTGACTGTGGCTGGGCGGGAAAGCCTGACATGCCTCGGATAGGCTGCTGGCCTGGTCCTATAGAGCATTGAGAGAGAGATATTAGCCATGTGTACTCTTATAAACGGTGGGGACAGGAACATATAGGCTGTGACATCTGGCAGACGTTTCCTGGAGCCAGGATATATGTTGAATAGGTATCCATTCTTGCGCAGAGACAAAGGTTCGGCCTGGCAGCTCAAAGGGAAGAGCTATCTTTATACATATCGCCCAAAGATGGTATATATAAGGCAGCATTCAAGCATAAGGAAGATCTTCCTACCTGGCCGATTCATGCTGGCTGAGGGAGCTTCTATGCCCGCAGAGTGTGCTAATAGGAGGAGAGACGGAGGTAGCTAAGGGACCACAGTTTAGGACCAGAAGGATATATATTTTCGCGCGATGTCAATATCGGTTTCCTAGAAGAGTTTTGGGTGAATCTTGTGTTGTTATAAGCTTGGGTGTGAATGTCAGTTAAAATTGGTTCTTCTTTTGCCTGCAACCTTTGGCTTCACATCAGGAAGAACTGCGATAACCAACTAGCAGAGCACGGACCATCAAGGTAGAAGTTACTTGTCGATGATATTCACATAGAACTTCTTACTCTCTACAGCGTACATGTTTTAAAGACGATGTAGAGGATGCCACGGGCAATAGCAGGGCTTCTACAGGATAATTGCATCTTTATTCTACTTTTCTGCAGCTATGAGATGGCTGCTTGCCTACGTCGAGTAGTTAGTTACAATTGTTACTCCGTGCAGCAAGCGACCTCGCCTGCTTTCATAGAGTACTATCCTCCAGCCACCCAGCATCGCAACTAGGAATAGTAGATCATCTGCCCCATCCTCGACCCGGGGCTTGCTCCCTTTCAAACACGTTCCTCGTCCATCTCCATCTTCTCTTTATTATCCTATCTTTCTTCGTCTTCTTCGTCGTCTTCTTCGCTTCGTATTTCTTCGACTGCAGGGATCCGCTAGAAACATTCACGTGACGCATCACATGACACACTTACTTTTTCTTTAGTGCTGGCCTGAGTTTTTTCTCTTTCTCGTCAACTTTTTTTTCTTTCTCCAACAAACAACAGGAAGAAGTCGAAGAAGTGAAAAACCTCCTTCGACCAGCTTCAAACAGCTTTAAGATGCGTCCAAAAGTATCAATTGCTCACTTGGCTCGCCAGGGAGGCCTCTCGCTGGCCGAGCTGCCTCCTCCCTTCCTCGCTCCCGCCCTTTACACTCCTATAATAACAGTCTCACAATCATCCAAATTTTCTACCTCTGCCTCGTTCCAAGACCGGAACAAGCTTCGTGGAGTCTCTGCTATCCATAGAAGCGGACTTAAACATCGTTTGGGAGTGTCAAAGTACCAATTGCCAGTTCCAGAGAACCCGACAAGACATGAGCCACGCGATGTCAACCCCGATCACGGTCTCTGGGGGTTCTTTCTTCCAAACAAGGAGGCTTTTCCTACCCCAGAGCAGGAACACGCGCATGGTATGGGCCTCTCATGATCTCTATTTGTGTCACGCTCAACATTTATTAACCAATTCCACCTCGCAGGCCGCGCTTGGACTGTTCAAGAATTACGCCAGAAATCGTGGGATGACCTCCACTGTCTATGGTGGGTGTGCGTAAAGGAACGCAACCGGATTGCCACATCCAATAATGAAAGAGACAGACTAAAGGCTGGATACGGAGAGTACGAGGCCGGAGACAGAGACAAGACGGTAAGCATATCACTCTCCCCTTTTATTCAACCAATGCATTTTTTTTTATGATGAATCCCATTCACTCGCCGATATGAGTCACGATTGGGACTGCTTAAACCCTCTCGACATGATTCTACTGGGATAATTTTTATCTGATTACTTGTTATTCCTCTGCGATATATGTTGTCTACATCAATTTTTGTTTGGGTCAATGGCTAACTCGACATCAAACTACAGATCGTCGTTACACAGAACAATATCAAGCATGTTCTGAGGGAGCGATGGAACGCCTGGTCCGAGGCTCGTGACTTGTACAATGACGGCTATAAACCAGAGCAAGACGAACTCCTAGAAACTGCCGAGTACCAGGAGGATCCAATGCCTGCAGAGGTGCCGGTCGAGGACCTTAAGGCCGGTGAAACAAAGTCGAGAAGTCAGCCTGCTGCTTCTGTATGAATCTAACGGCAATGTTTCCGTGCTTGCTTTCCTCATCCAGCTTTGTTCAAATGTATAACACTCATGTATAACAACCATCACCTGTGGCTGATGATGTACACTACTATTTAATTGAACAGTTAATGTCTCTAAACCAAGAAGCCACGCATGCTCCAACAAGAGTAAGACATACTTATTACCAGTGCGGAGTATTATCCTCGCTTTAAGCACTAATTTCCACCTCTCTTGACCGTCTGCCCAGGGGCTTTTTCACGGGTGCTCTCTTGGCTGCTGGCCGTTTCGATAGCACCCAAACTAAATGCTCTTAGCGTTAACTTTTTTTTGCTGGCATCCATGTTGACTTGCTAGTTACCCATCTTCACCTCTTCTCTCTCCTTCTCCCCAACCCACATCTCCTCCAAGCTTCTACCATACCTAGCTTTCAGTTTCTCTACCTCTCTTCTAACCCTCTATCTCTCCGAATCAAGCAAGAAAGCACCTCTCAAGATGGAGGAAATGTCCCCAGAGTATGACGTTATTGTGATGGGCACAGGTAGGACTACGGAACCCCACCTCGCTCGCTCCTATTCATTATGTACTGTTGGTTGTGCTGAACTGTCCCTGACTAACTTGTTGCTCCCTAGGCTTGACGGAATGTGTTCTCTCAGGGTAAATGAACTTGTTATCTCCTGCTGATGAAGCTGGCCGGATTGTATGCTAACAGCAATATCATCGGTACACAGCGTTTTGAGTGTCAAGGGGCAGAAGGTCCTTCACATCGACCGAAACGATCACTATGGCGGGTTCGTGCATCCAAATGCAGCTTTCAGACTACGGTTATATACTAATACATGATGAATATACAGTGAAGCAGCCTCCGTTAACATAGAAACTGTACGTAACGTGAAGGAGCCCCTCCTTTCACCGCCAAAGCTGACACAAGGGGTCAGCTCTTTCGAAAATTCAGGACTTTCAACCCCGATGAGAAGCCATGGGCGAAGTATGGCAGAGTGAACGATTGGAACGTCGACTTGGTCCCAAAGCTCCTCATGTCTAATGGAGAGCTGACCAACATTCTCGTCTCGACCGAAGTTACCAAATACCTCGACTTTAGACAGATTGCCGGCAGCTACGTTCAACAAGGAGATGGACCAAAGGCCACTGTTGCTAAGGTCCCCTCAGATGCCGGTGAAGCTCTCCGGTCCTCTCTTATGGGAATGTTCGAGAAACGCCGTGCAAAGAAGTTCCTCGAGTGGGTTGGAGAGTTCAATGAGGAAAACCCATCCACTCACCAGGGTCAGTAGACAATTCCCAATAGAGACGTTAAACGCGGCTACTAACAGAATACTAGGGCTCAACATGGCCACTTGCACCATGAAGGATGTATACGACAAGTTCTCGCTCGAGACTACTACCCGTGACTTTGTCGGACACTCCATGGCTTTGTACCAGTCTGATGACTACATCTCCGAAACCGGAAAGGCTGCTGAGACCATCAACCGTATTCGACTGTATGTCAATTCCATGGCTCGATACGGAAAGTCTCCCTACATCTACCCGCTTTACGGACTCGGAGAGCTCCCTCAGGGCTTTGCCCGTTTGTCTGCCATTCATGGTGGAACTTACATGTTGAACGCAAACGTCGATGAGGTCATGTATGAAAATGGCAAGGTATCCGGTATCAAGGCTACTATGAAGGAGCGAGGCGAGCCCGGTGAGGGATTCACCTTCACCACCAAGACTAAGAAGATCATCGCCGACCCTTCGTACTTCCCTCAGAAGACCAAGGTTGTTGGTCATTTGTTGAAGGCCATCTGCATCCTGAACCACCCCATCGAGAAGACTGACGACAGTGACTCTCTCCAACTCATTATTCCTCAATCACAAGTTGGAAGAAAGCATGGTATGTCCGTCCTTTCCCACCTTACAAACGCGCACCTTAGCTAATCCCACTCTCTTTCCCAAGATATCTACATTGCTATGGTTTCGTCTGCCCATAATGTTTGCCCCAAGGGTTACTACATTGCCATAGTCTCTACCATTGCTGAAGGCGAGGCCAACCACCACCTCGAGCTCAAGCCAGGTCTTGACCGCCTAGGCAAGATTGAGGAGATGTTCATGGGACCTGCTATCCCGCTCTACGAGCCGCTTGAGGATGGCAAGAACGATAACATTTACATCTCAAAGAGCTACGACTCTACGAGCCACTTCGAAACCACAACCGGTAAGCTATTCTCCCCGCCTTAACCTTTCTTGGCAACAATGTAACTGAGGCCTTAATAGACGATGTTCGGGATATCTATGACCGATGCGAGGGTCATAAGTTGGTCGTCGAAGGCCTTAAAGAGGGAGAAACTCTTGTTGGCGAGGAACAGTAAGTATACATGAGGAAATGCTGAAGCATTTGTCGATGCACTGGAACGGGACGTAAAATGTCTTCATGTTCCTCTATGTTTATACCGACATCTATCACAATCATCTTATTTGGAGGTAATGCAGGGTTAGCCAATCCTAAAAGGGGGATGGATTTTAGCATAAGAAATTCAATAGTTCTGTGCTGCTTTTTATGTTTTTTTTTTTTTTTTTTTTTTTTTCAATATCCTCCACTTCCACCCTTCTAAGCATTCCATCTTTCCCGTCCGTTAGTCTACCTATCAAGAAGAACGGGTGGGATTAGGCGGCTGGCGGTTAAATCACGTGAAAGATGAGGTCACCTATTTTGTTCTAGCCTAAAGAAGACAAAAGTAAATACACAGCGAAGTTCGAGTTGCGGCCAAAAATCGACGTCAGCATCGCATAACAAGCAGCGTAATAGAACACGGCCATTCGTTTGGTTTGATTACTCGGATTTTTCTTTCTTTTATGCGCTTCATTTTTGGGATCCTTTTTTTCTTTGCAGAATAAGACGTGGTTGAGGTGCAAGGCCTAGCAGGACGCGACGATGAGGATTATCGAGGTCATCATAGATGTGAGCGCAAGAATAACCCGTGGCGAGGAAATACTATGAAGTGATATGAATTCAATTTGGCTAATTTTATGACTTAAATAGGGATTCAAATCCTATGCGGTGCGGACGGTGATATCTGGGTGGTGAGTTATCGGCCTGTACGGCGTTTAGGGAGCAGTTTTGCGTACCCCACCATGCGCATTCTCGCTACATTACTGTGACTGCGAAGCTGAAACTTGGTTTCTATGGATAGGGATGAGTCCTTCAATTCTATTACCGGCCTTAACGGCAGCGGTAAATCCAACATCCTTGACAGTATATGTTTCGTGCTCGGAATCACCAACATGAGCACCGTTCGAGCTCAGAACCTACAAGATCTTATATATAAACGAGGCCAGGCCGGAGTCACCAAAGCCAGCGTCACAATCGTTTTCGATAATCGTGATAAATCGATATCGCCCATTGGATTCGAGGAGTATGCCACAATTTCGGTCACCCGGCAAATCGTCCTAGGTGGAACGAGCAAGTACTTGATTAACGGCCACCGTGCACAACAGCAAACCGTGCAGAACCTTTTCCAGAGCGTGCAATTAAACATAAACAACCCAAACTTCCTGATTATGCAGGGTCGTATAACGAAAGTCCTGAATATGAAGCCCGTTGAGATCCTGGCTATGATTGAAGAGGCTGCAGGAACCCGAATGTTTGAGGACAGGAAAGAGAAAGCCGCGAAAACAATGGCGAAAAAGGAGATGAAGGTTCGGGAGATTGAGGGATTACTGCAAGAAGAGATCGAACCAAAGCTAGAAAAGCTGAGGGGCGAGAAGAGAGCGTTCCTTGACTTCCAGCAAACACAGAGTGACCTTGAACGATTGACGAGGCTTGTTGTTGCCCATGACTATCTCAAGTATGGAGAGCGCTTACGCCTGAGCGCAGAAGAAGTCGACAAGCGAAAACAGAAGATTGAAGATTTGGAGGCCAATGCCACCAGGTTGAAGGGGGAGATTGCTAATCTGGAAGAAGATGTGAAAAAGGTCAAGGAGGCCCGCGATAAAGAATTGAGGAAGGGAGGGAAGTTCCAGGCGCTGGAAGATAAAGTGAAGAGTTATTCCCATGAGATGGTTCGACTGTCAACATCGATTGACTTAAAAAAGTCTAGCATGGGCGAAGAAACGGGCAAGAAAGAAGCCGCAGAAAAAGCACTTGCTGAGGTTCAAGCCAACTTGAAAGGGAAGAAAAAGATATACGACAAACTCCAGGCACAATATGACAAAGCTAAAGCGGACCTCGATGTACAGACAGCTGAAGTAGAGCAAAAAGAGGAACTGTTACAGACATTACAAACCGGCGTTGCCTCGAAAGAGGGCCAAGGTAATGGCTATCAGGGACAGCTTCAAGATGCTAGAAATCGTGCCAGTGCAGCCGCCACAGAACAAGAGCAAGCGAAGCTTAAGATCTCTCATTTGGAAAAGCGCATCAAAGAAGAAGAACCAAGAGCGAAAAAAGCTGCGGAACAGAATCGAGGGCTATTGAAAGACCTAGAATCTCTGAAAAGGCAAGCTCAGAAACTTGAGGGAGAACTTGCGAAACAGGGTTTTGAGCCTGGGAAGGAGGAGAGGATGTACGAAGAAGAATCAACCCTTCAAAGGACGATACGTGACCTCCGAGGCGAAGCTGATGGCTTGAAACGAAGAGTCGCAAACATCGATTTCAACTACTCGGATCCTTATCCTGATTTCAACAGATCTAAAGTCAAGGGCTTGGTTGCACAACTGTTCACTCTTGACAAAAACCACTCTGAAGCAGCAACTGCCCTTGAGATTTGCGCTGGAGGCCGTCTTTATAATGTGGTTGTCGATACTGCGGAAACTGGCACAGCACTTTTGCAAAACGGTAAACTTCGAAAACGAGTAACGATTATCCCTTTGAACAAGATATCTGCATTCCAGGCATCGGCTGAGAAAATAGGGGCGGCTTCCAATCTCGCCCCTGGAAAGGTAGATCTTGCGTTATCCCTGATAGGATATGATGAGGAGATTACTGCTGCCATGCAATATGTTTTCGGCTCTACTTTGATTTGCCATGATGCAGCAACTGCGAAGAAAGTGACCTTTGACCCTGCTGTTCGCATGAAGAGCGTGACTCTAGAGGGTGATGTCTATGATCCCTCAGGGACATTATCTGGCGGCAGTGCTCCAAATTCAAGTGGAGTTCTCCTTATCTTGCAGAAATTGAATGGCATTATGATGGAGCTGAAAGCCAAGGAGAGAGCTCTTCATATACTGCAAGATACCATGGCCAGGGAAAAGAAGAAAATGGACCTTGCGCATTCAACTAAGCAAGAACTTGATCTTAAGATCCACGAGATTAAGTTGACAGAGGAGCAAATAAATGGGAATTCATCATCTTCTGTAAGTACTACTAGCACTGAACTGGTTGAGTAGCCGGCTGACATTCCACAAGATCATTCATGCTGTGGAGGAGATGAGAGAAAACATTACGCAGTTGAAAAACGATATAACTGACGCTAAAGCTCGTCATGCTGAAGCATCCAAAGATATCAAGCGCATTGAGAAGGACATGAGCGAGTTCAGCAACAACAAGGACAGCAAGCTTGCGGAACTTGAGTCCTCACTTGAGTTATTGAAAAAATCTCTTAGCAAGAACTCTGGTTCAGTCAAGACCCTCCAGAAGGAACTCCAAGCAGCCCGATTGGAGTCAGAACAGACTGGGAGCGATCTGACGACCGCTGAAGAACAGTTGGCGGAGGCTAACCAGATCTTGAAAGCTCAGATGGAAGAGGTTGAGGAATTGGTGAAGGAGCAAGCACGAGTTAAGGTGAGTATCCTAGAACTTCATGCCAAGGAAGGTGAATGCTAATATTAAAATGGTAGGACAAACATGATATTGCTCAAGCCCATCTTGAAGATGAGCAAGCGCAACTCACCAGGTTCGACGATGAACTCCGGGACCTAGATGAAGCTAAGCAGTCCAAAGCTGCACGCATAACCGAAGAGGCTCTGGAACTGCAAAAGCTCGGCCATAAACTTGAAAAGGTTTATAAGGACCAGCAAGGCGCAGCTCAACTTGTGACTAATATGGAGAACGAGTATGAATGGATTGCAGATGAGAAAGACAGCTTTGGCCGACCGAATACACCCTATGACTTCAAGAATCAAAATATTGCTGAATGCAAAGCGTCTCTGCGAAATGTCACAGAGCGATTCCAGGGAATGAAGAAGAAGATTAACCCCAAGGTTATGAATATGATCGACAGTGTTGAGAAGAAGGAGGCTTCTCTCAAGAACATGATGAAAACAGTCATCAGAGACAAGAGGAAGATCGAAGAGACTATCATAAGTTTGGATGAATATAAGAAAGAGGCTTTGCATAAGACTTGGTCTAAAGTCACCGCGGACTTTGGCCAGATATTTTCAGAGCTTCTTCCTGGAAGTTTTGCCAAGCTTGATCCTCCTGAAGGGAAGGAGATTAGCGATGGTCTTGAGGTCAAGGTTAGCTTGGGTAAAGTATGGAAGCAGAGCTTAACAGAACTAAGTGGTGGCCAGCGGTAAGTTATTCCAGCTGTAAATATTTTCTGTAGCTTCTGCTAATGCTTCGTTTTAACACAGGTCTCTGATTGCATTGTCTCTCATCATGGCGCTTTTACAGTTCAAGCCCGCCCCGATGTATATCCTCGACGAGGTTGATGCTGCCTTGGACCTGTCTCACACACAGAATATTGGTCGGTTGATCAAGACGCGTTTCAAGGGCTCGCAGTTTATAGTCGTCAGTTTGAAGGATGGAATGTTCCAAAATGCCAATCGGATATTCAGGACGAGGTTTAGTGAGGGTACCAGTATGGTTCAGGCACTAACTCCAGCAGACTTAAAGTGAGAGTGCCCCTCATATGGTTGGTACCTTTTTGGCCTTTTCCTTTTTGGCGGATATCATTTCATGGCTTGGGGGGTTGGATGTTTACTGGCATTGTATGCGGTTATGTACCAAGTGAATGAGGCTCTGACGGTCTGCCACCAGGCCTCTTTGATGAATTTAACGTTTTCAACTCGAAGCCCTGTATAGACATACTTCTTTTTTATATGATAATAGGGTGACAAACTGGCTGTCCGCGTCTAATAACTAGTCCAAAAACCTTGTCAATAAAATAAGCGCAGAACTTAAAATGATCTGTTTGCCTCGAGGCTCCTCCCAACACATCAACGCCACACCAAGATTCATAGTCAGCAACAGCCGTATTAGCAACTCCAACCATCCGTCAGGATCACCAGTTCAGATTCGATACCCGTGGAGGAGAGGATTAATACGTTCGTTTGTGATTTGCCTCGGACTATTCTACTACCTTCAACATTCTTGTCCTACCGAAATATCTCCGCGCGTGACCCCCTTAAATTCCGCTGAGCTGAAGTCGCATTAGCTATTGCGTTTCTAATCCGTGACACCTCGCTGAGATCCCGTATATCCTCAGATGCCGTCATTCATGGCCGAATCCGAACCGTCGATTAATATCCCCTCCCTCCTTACTTTCGCTGTCGTCTCGTTCTTCGTCTTCCGGTGGTTTTTCTCATCACGCTCGTCGTCCCAGGATGGCGGTAATGCGCAGGGAGGGAGAAACCGAACTCAGACAGTCGACCCTGTACAACTAGACCACCTAGCTCAGATGTTCCCACAGCTTACCCGGAGGGAACTTATGTGGGATTTGCAGCGGAATGGCGGGAGCGTGGCAGCCACCACGGAGAGGATCTTAACAGGAAGAGGATTAGAGACGGTGAGTTGGAATCAATAACCCAGGTCATGTTCTGTTCTACTATGTATGAAACCCTACTGACATGCGAGTTATCGTTATTTGTAGCCTCCTCCTACGTTCCAGCCTCAAATACCAGCCGCTTCGACCCCAACAGTTGAAACTACGTCTACTGCCACTGAGCAGACAGCAAAGCAAGTGTCGACCAACCTCATTGCACGATACAACCTTCAATCAAAGATAGACAACGAATCAATGGGAGAATCGGGAATTGGTGCCATTTCTAGTGACTCAACGATACTCCGACAAGAAAGTGCCTGGTCGCGTGACAAAGACGAGAGACAGAGGCTGATGCAGAAACGACGGGACGAAATGATCCTTACGGCTAGAAGGAAGATGCTACAGAAAGATAAAGCTGCAAAACAAGAGCAGCAGTAACAATAGTATTAGCACAAAACCCCTTTTCTAATTTCTGTTTCTTTGGCCACGCACGAAATGACGATCCACCTTCCATTTATATTTACAATCTAGCGGCATTGGAAGCGATTAGTTTATCCGACCTCAGCATTTGTAGGGACGGACTTGCAAATATATAATGACTTGCATCTCAAACCAGGAATCGATAAGTTCTTACGCATGCACAGATATAATTGATCAATTATATTATAGGAACCTTTTTCCATTCAGAAGATATGCGTCTTTGGGATAGAAAAGCGCGTTCAAGCTGTTTGATGAAGGCCTTATGAGCCGGCATCCCTAAGGGTGTCGTATATAAATCCCAGAGAAGGAGTCTGAACAGTTGCCTGAGTATAAATGCCGGGTGGAAATGAGCTCAAAAGTCCTTTCGAGGAAGGAGACTTCTTTTGTTTCTTCCACTGCCCAGTAAAGTGCCCAGGGAGGGCTGATTTCGGGCAGCTGGTGACCGCTAGAAGTAGCCTTCGTAGCTATGCGTTTGTTTGCCGTGGATAACACTGGATAAATGATTGCTTGGTATACTCCATGGAGTTTGGGCCTCCAGCTGGCAGGGTGTCGGCTATATCCCATCTATTGCCCAGCCAACATGGACACTGGCTCCGCAGTGTTTGGCTGTGGAGAGGCTGGTTATTCATAGGGATGAATCCGGGAGCCGAGGTAGGGTTTACGGCCTTTCGTAATGGGTTGTGCACATTAGAACAGAGAAACGAGATCAGACACCGTGTGGACTTATAATTCCACGTCCATTTCATCCTCATAGTCATTCCGTCCACCAAATTGAATGTCTTCCCCTTCATCCTCCTCTGCCTGTTCTCTCAAGGCTTCCTCCTTCGAAGCACCTAGTTGTCTGTAGGAAACTAGTTAGCACATAGTATCAAAATTAAAAGAGTTGAACATACCTTAATGCTTCAGCTGCACCAGATATAAACCCTCTTGCTTCGCCGATTTCCATGGCACCCACACCTGTCAGAGCTAAGCCATCTCCGCCACCAACGGCAGTGGCATCTACACCTTCCATCAACTGGCGCATTTTGGACATTCGCACTTCTCGAATATCACGTATGCAACGGCGCACCTGGTCGGAGTCCTGGATGTCGTCACTGGCTACGTCAAGAAGCATAGTCGCAAACTCAAGCCAGTGGTAGGGTAGGGCATTCAGATATTCGTTCTGCTCAGCATCCACGGTATTTTGGAGTAAAAATGGCGGCGATGGCGTATATTTATTCCCATCCATATTATATCGAGTCCTGGCAGCTCGGTTATTGCCACGGTTGTGTTGCCTCGACTCTGTATTTCCATCCTGCGCCGGAGCCAACAAAGTTGGGGGAGGGCAGAACTGCTCCGTTCGTATAGTCTCCAGCTCAAGAATCGAGGACAGTGACTCCAGGGTAAGCCATGAAGGAGCTAGTATATTAACACGGCGTTGGCGTTTGAGCAGGAGAGCAAGCCAGAGTGGCAGTCTAGATCGCCGGGGAGGTATCATTGCCTCCGTAGGTCCCTGGCGGGGTTGATTTTCAAGTTAGTGACTGGGTATAGAAATAGGTACAGACAGAAGAGCTGTTTTCACGGGCGCCAGAGCTGAGTGTCTCCAAGTATAGATCCTCTGGCTGCTCCTGAGGTATGTGGTAGTAGGCAGAATTACCTAACTGGTATCGTTGTACCTCTCCGTGTTAGAGTAAGGGTCTAACTCACTCCAAGCAATTCCAGCCCTTCTAGGCGCTGCCGAGGGACCACGGTCACCATTTCCATTTCACAGAGAAAGGCGATTTCAGGGGATGTAATTCCCCTCGGTAGCGGGAAAGCCATTGAGCCGTTTTGTGCTTCTCCTTTTGAACCTGCGCAGGTTATACGGAGTATACATAAAGGCGCTTTTATCGCGTTCCTGCTCTTTGGTTGTCGGACTTTGGGTTTGGGAGGAATGACTAAACATAGTAATTTAGCCCTCTCACGTGTTCACATAGCTCCCGAAAAGCTTAAAGAGAATCAAAACAACCGGATGAGAAGTGCGTTTCAAGAAGCAAGCAACATAGCATATAAGGGCAGTCAAACGTGGCACTTTTTATTGACATTGCAACTAAAATACGGTTCATATTCGTCCTAGTGTACATGAATATAGAAGAGGATGCATTGAACCAACAGACAACAAGCATTACAATATACCACTCCGGTTCATACATTGCAATGGACCGCGTTATCCCCTATGTGTGCACTGCTCTTCTGGCAGCAAGGCTGATGGTCTACTGGCTACACAAAACAAACGCCATCCTCCCAGACCCCTATCTAGACGAGGTATTTCATGTCAGACAGGCACAGGCTTACTGGGACCATCGGTGGCAGCAATGGGATCCGAAAATCACAACACCCCCAGGCTTATATCTTGTCTCATATGCCGTGGCATCGTTTTCGGCCACTCTTTTTGGAAGACCGGTGGAACTCTCGGCCTCTGTACTGAGGTGCATAAATGGTTTGGTGCTGTTTAACGTTCTACAGCTTACACTAAGAAGGTTCTTTTCAATAAGACAGAAACAGATACTGAAAAAGGGGGACATTAGCGTAAGCACTTGGTCTATCAGCCTCAGTGCTTTGAACATATGTCTGTTTCCACCAGTTTTCTTCTTCTCCGGTCTCTATTATACAGATTTGGCTGCCCTCATTATAGTCCTGGAGACTTGCAACGTTGATTTTCCGCGGAGTCCCTCAGCGAATGGCTATGGTGCTGTTAAAGGTTCGCTACGGATGACTTTGAGATACCTTAGCCTCATTATACTTGGATTGGCTGCCCTCGTGTTTCGACAAACAAACATCTTCTGGGTCTCGGTGTTCCTTGGTGGCCTGCAGGTTGCTAACACTCTTCGATCGAGGTCTGTCGAGTGTCAGTCTTCCGATATACAGCGTATTGCCAAAGGTAGCTGGGAATTGAACCAGCTCTACGACCCTCCAGTGGCTGAAGCATATATTGAAGGTAATGCTTGTAAACCCATGACGGGATTAGATGTTAAATAAATAACTCTATGCTAATAAACTGTGTGAAGATTATTTCAAGGTTGGGTTCTCGCTCGCTATTTCTGCGTTAGCGAATTTATTCCCTGTCCTGGTAGCTCTTTTACCCTACCTGTTCCTCCTTGGATGCTTCGGGCTGTTCGTGATAATCAATGGAAGCGTCGTCTTGGGCAAGTACCATCCCAAATATCCACTACTTTCTATCTCTAACCGTGTGTTCACATTTTGCAGGCCACAAGGAGTTTCACAGTGCGGGCTTGCATCTGCCTCAAATGCTATATATCTGGCCATATTTCATGTTCTTTTCCTGGCCAATAATTTTATACCCGTGGGCCTTGGGCTTATGGAACTATATTGGTCAATCCAACCCGAAGAACCTGAGCCAACTAACCAGCAGACTTCCGCGTCTGGGCATCATGCTAAGTGTCTTGGTGCTTATGATCCCGGTTGTTCACCTGAACACGATTGTACACCCCTTCACATTGGCCGATAATCGACACTACGTGTTTTACGTTTTCCGTCTCTTGCTCCGATATCCAATGGTTAAATACGCAGTGATTCCGATTTATTTACTATGCGGATGGACGACTATTGCTGCGTTTAACACGTCTTCGACCAGTATTTCTACGGACCAAATTATATCAACTACTTCTGACGACAAAGGAAGTAAAGAGTCGAACAAAGCTCAAAGCCAGAGTTTCTTTTCCACTGAAATCTCAACGAGGACTAGTTTCGTGCTTATATGGCTGATAGCAACTTCGCTATCCCTCATTACTGCCCCGCTGGTGGAACCGCGATACTTTATAATTCCATGGGTCATCTGGCGACTACACATAACCCCATTGAGCCGCAAGAACAAAGACACGCCTGAAAGCGAGGCCACAGTCCGCTCGCCCATTCTAGAGTTTACCCCACTACTCACAGAAACAGCCTGGTACTTGCTCATAAATTTGGTGACAGGATATATGTTCCTATATAAAGGGTTTGAATGGCCTCAGGAACCAGGAAAAGTTCAGCGGTTTATGTGGTAGGGAGACAAGCTATTTCTTTTGATTTCGAACCGATGTATTCTCGCCTTGAAACTCCTTTATGCATGCATGGGTATATATAGACATATCAAAATAATCATTACACAAGGGCATCAACTTGAAATTATTTGTCTTCTTCGTTTGACTTCCGAGTGATAGGCACATAGACCTTTTCGAATATCTTCTGGATTGGTTTGGCAGCCTGAGAGTGTTATGGTCAGTAGGGGTCGCAAGGATATATATGTAGATCTTTGAAGCAAGACTGACATCAATGAACCGTTCCAAGTCCTGGTCTAGGCTAGCTAGATCCTCTTTTCTCTTTTTGTTTTCCGCAATGAGAGCCTGTTTCTTCTTCAGGAGCTCCTGGCGGGCCTGTTCAAGTTTCTCCCTCTCTGCATGCTCGTGGTTTATTCGGGCAATTGTAAGGTCGTGCTCGTCAGAGTTGGCGTGTTCTGGATGCAAGGCAATGAACTCTTCCACCGGTATCAAGGGCAAAGCCAAGTAGCTATGGCTGTAATGGAGTAATAGTTGTTAGCATATAAATTGGCAGTACTCGCTAAAAGAAAAGAAAGAAAGGAAAAAGTACGCACTCATATGACTCGCACGCAGCTATCTCGCCGTTCAAGTGTCTCTGCTCGTAGTACAAATTCTGAAGGTGTAGATGCAGCCTGTCTATCTCCTGGCGTGCCTCCGCGGTGGCCTGCTTGGTTGATCTGACATTGAGAATCGCCTCACGGTTGAGTCCACGTAGCTGAGCCAGCAGCGAATACACGTGTCTCTGCTGCTTGTACGCATCCTGCAGCGTCTCGTTGGGGTTCGATGAGGGGGTTTGGATCCCTTTCTCCAGCAGGTCGATGAGCTTATGCGCTTCGCTCAGGGTGTCCGAACAGGTTTTCAGGGCAGGGATAAGGGCAGGGTCGGTAACAATCTGCTCGACGGCCATCTTTTGCGACGGTATAACTGCTGTATTATATGCCGGCTTGTCCTCTTTTCCTCGCCGTTCCCCGTTTGCCTTCGTCTTGTCGTTTTGAGTCTGTTTGAAGTGACTTTCGCGCGATATTCACAAGCAAGAAGAAGAAAAGAAAAAGTGAAAGAAATAAAGATTTAAGGCCCTGTATTGAAAGCGGGTGTATTAAATACCGGGTTAACCTTGTGACCGCGCGGTCTCCACACAAAGTCCACCCAAAAGTGAAACACAAATGCCGGAAACTTTGGTAATCCAGATACGCAGCCGCTTGTCGGCAACGAATGAACTTCACGCGCGACGTCACGCAGTTTCTTTTTCTCTCCTTTATTCTCGCAGTCACCGAAGCGTCGACTAAGCAAGTACAAAGCAGCATTGAACGCCCGCAACATCCCTGACTCGCCAGTGAAGGGGGCACGAAGGAGAAGAAAGACCGAACTAACCGCTGCAACCTCGGATGCATGACCTTGCAGGCTTGCAACCTCCACACCTGCCAAGAGCACAATTTGCTGCGCTATTCACACATCTCCACCCCGGGCAGCGTTCCATTCCTCAACGATTTCCCGCGCAGCCCCTCCTCCGTATAAAAACCCCTTACTTGCACCAGGAGGCGTTTCTCTCCATCTTTGCGCAGTGTCCAGTCCGCTCCTTTTCTGGGAATTGAGTGCCAAAAGATGATAATAACGTGATCTCACTCGAGCCATCCTTTGTCACTTCTCAACGAAAAATCGACATTCGAATATAACTACCAACAGGAACCCCCTGGTAAAAAGTCGTACCAACACTGAAGAGAAGACCTCGACATCTATCTGCCCTATTAATAGTAGCAAGGGACTCACACGGCCGCGGGAAATGGCCTGCACCACTCCTTCGATTACGATTGAAAGCCGTACTGGTACTCCCGCTAGTACGGCTTCAGGATATCTCTCACCTGCCAACGAGTTGACTGGCTTATTGAAAGACCGAAGACGAAGACACTCATTTCACACATCTAGACGACTGTCCTGTGATATTGATGAAGATGCAATCTATCTTAAGGTGAGAGAGCGTTCATCGCTTCGCTTTTTTTTTTTTCAGGGGTCCCCATAAAAATTTATTCTGACTTTAGTTTTTTCTCTCGTTCACTTTAGGTCGACTTATTTCTTGCGGAACTAGAAAGACGACTTCAATGGTTGGAAGATTATCGACAGTCGCACATCCTACAAATCGATTCAGGATTAAAGAGAGCTTACGGCGCTCTGGTAGCGGTCCGGGACTCATGCTCTCATGCCTCCGGCGAACTGATGGGAGGCGGACGACGTCGAGCCCGTATTGCCGTGGAGACCCTCGAAAGCCGTTACAATGAAGTACTGGCCACAAAGGAAACTCTTGAACAAAAGGCCCAGGCCAGTATGCGTTTGATGGAAGACTTCCTTTCGCAGCTAGAAGCCCGTGTTCACAGTGTTCGAGACCGGGGCTTGTACGGCGCCATCGACGAAGGTCTCCGGGCAGTTGACTCTAGCATCACACACGCTCGAGTTATGTTTGATGAAGGAATCGAACGTGCAGTTCATGCAAAGATTGCCCTTCGTGAAAGTATCGATAGAGCCATCGCCCTCGCAAAGGAGAACCGCCTTATCCATTACTCAGACCTCCCCCAGCCATGGAGAGTCAACCCTCATATCCGAAAGGGATACCGATTCACAGCATCTAAGATAGAATGTCTCACCTCTGTCTTCTCCTTTTCTAATGAACTGGTCAACATTTGGTCCCACCTCATCGGCCTAATTATTGTTCTTGCCGTGGCGTTTTACTTCTATCCGCTGAGTCCAAATTTCCATCTTAGCACGAAGACAGATGTCACCATTGCGTTCGTCTTCTTCATCGCCGCTTGCAAATGCCTCGTCTGCAGCACACTATGGCATACCATGAACAGCATAGCCAATCAGCCCCTCATGGAACGTTTTGCCTGTGTTGACTACACTGGTATCTCCTTGCTCGTGGCCGCCTCCATCGTCACCACAGAATACACTGCATTCTACTGTGAACCGTATTCTAGATGGATCTATATTTTAATGACCTCCACGTTGGGTATCGCTGGCGTTATCCTTCCTTGGCACCCTCGTTTCAACGGCCCTCACATGGCCTGGGCTCGTGTAGCATTCTACGTCACCCTTGCCCTAACTGGCTTTGCCCCAATTGTCCAGCTTAGCTTAACTCGCGGTTTACAATGGTCTCTTTATTTCTATGCTCCTGTGGTGAAGAGTATACTAGTATACTTCTGCGGAGCTTGCATTTATGCCTCACAGATCCCGGAACGTTGGCACCCCGGATTTTTTGATTATGTTGGCGGCAGCCATAATATCTGGCACGTCGCAGTTTTGGGAGGCATCCTATTTCACTATCTTGCTATGCAGGATCTGTTTGCTGGCGCATTTCTGCGGGCAAAGGGTGAATGTCCCTGTCTTACTTCTTAGAAGAAAGATTTCCTTGCCATCATAGATATCTATCTGCATCTGGTCATCTTTCCCCCTTCCTTTTCTTAGTATATTGTTTCATCTTTGCTCCTTTTTTGTTTCACTGATGAAATGCCTGATGGAGGACAGGCTTATGGTCCTTGCTCACTGGATTTGATAGCAGAACATGTATTACCTCCCATAATAATTTTAATTAGAGACCCTAAGAAGTTCATTTTACCTCATATATGCTTTCCACATTCTGCATGTATATCTCTCTTATAATAATTCAGTATATCTATCTCTTAATGCTCCACTCAAGGCCCGGCTGCCTTTGCGATCTCCAGTAATTTCTCAAGCCAGGGGTACTTCAAGACAACCTGGGCCTAGTGAAATCGCTCTCATGGCTATACAGATTCTTCCGATACCTTCACCTTGACAGCATCTGGATCATTGATAGCAGTCCCGCGGATGCTTGCTTCAATCTGCATAATGCGCTTCTGTTCTTCGTGCGCTTCGGTATCTCCAAAGACACTATCCATCTCCTCCAACGTCTAGCAGGAAATTATTCGGGTTAGCTAATGTCCACAAAGTCCATACAATCATATATCATAAATCCGTACCTTTCCTCTCGTTTCTGGGACAAATAGATATGTGAAAATTAATGCAATAAGACAGAATGCTGCGAAGAAGATATAGGTCCCCCAGCCAATTTTGTCAAGCATTCCGGGAGTTACCAGGCCGATGATGCTGTAAAGTAGAGAAACAGTCAGTGACTAATCAATGCTTAAATTAAGGTGCTATAAACACACAAATTGCACATCCATGTGGTTGATGTAGTAATCGAGATTGCCTTTGAACGAATGGATAGGTGGAAAATTTCAGATGGCAACACCCATCCAATGGGGGCTGATATATTGTTAGCTTCGTGCTCAACCCATACTTTCCCCGGATTATTGGATAGCAACGTACCGAATGAGTAAGAGAAGTTAACATCATAGATATAGATAAACACAACCCCAACCCATCCAGCGGCAGCATGTGCCTTGAAATTGGAGCCATAGGCACCGATTATAGCGCCAACAATAACCAGTGAAATGAAGGTTCCAGCTGCACCACACATGAGAAGCATTCGACGACCTAGTCTATCTATCCAGAATAGAGCTGGGAGAGTGCTAATGCAGTTGATGATTCCATATACACCAGTAGCTAGGAGGGATGACTGGTAAGAAATCAGTAAACAGTTTAAGCTGTTTCATAGGGTAGGTATGTAAGTACCGTATTCCCGTCCAACCCTAATTGCTTGAAAACAGTTGGAGCATAGTAGATCATAGCTGTGAGAACACATCAATATAATGTTTAATTGGCAGGTGGTCGTAAATAAAGAGAAACATACCATTGCATCCCATGAACTGTTGGAAAAACATAATGGAACATCCAATTGCAAGTCGTCTGAACCTGGACCAGGTGCTGAGAAGTGAGTAGTACTGTATGGAATGTTAGCATGAGATGAAATGCTTACGCTTTTATATTGAGAAGAACCTACTTGTGCAGCATGCAACTTAATCCCGGACATGTTTGCAAACTTTTCCTTAGCAAATGTATTTTCAAGAATAACAGATGCTTTGATTTCGAGGAATTCGGTCTCAATTGCTGGGTGACCTATAGGCTTCTGTCGTAGTGTTGCAAGTGAATGGCGTCCCTCTTCTTCACGGTCCTTCATAAACAGCCATCTTGGTGAGTCCGGGAAGAATAGCGTTCCAACTCCTAAAATCAGGGCTGGAAGAATCTGGAAGGCAAGTGGGATTCTCCAGGAGGCGTCTGATTGACCTTCACAGCCATCTGGCCCGACATCTTTGTACGGATCAAAAACAGGCTTCTCGGCAGTTCCGCCTGTGTATGGTATCCCTGGCGCACACCGGGTACCGCCAATGTAATTGGTTCCATAATCGAGCCAGTAGCTTACTAGAATACCAATCGTAATGGATACTATTTGATTGAAAACAGCAATATCAGTATCGAGAATAGTTTCAACAATAAACGTATGGCTTTGATACTTACATTGTTGCAATACAACGAGCCCGCCTCGAATGTCTGGTAGAGATACCTACAACACGATGTCAGAACAATGCATGTTCAAACCCGGTTGGGACTAATATGGGACCTACCTCCGATATATATAAAGGCACCACCATAGTCAATTGTCCGACGGCCAGGCCAGCAACGGCACGACCTTCATAACATCAGTCTCATCCGTATCAATGGCTGTGAGTTGAGGTACTGACCAGCAAAGAGCATTGGGATATTGACGGCTCCGGCCTGAATGGCAGATCCTATAACGAAGACGACAACTGCTGTAATCACACACATTTTCCTGCCTATATAATCCGCAAGAGGGCCATTCACTAAAGATCCAAACCAAGCAGCTGGCGTTCCTTGTCAATACTTTGTTGCTCGAATCACTAAACCTTCGAGTATCTATAACTTACCCAGGAGCAATGTCGAAACAAACCATCCCTTAAATCCGCTATCATTATAGACGCGAGGGAACTTTGCACCAAAGGATTCCATAGTGAGGACTCCCGAAACGACTCCCTGATCATAGCCAAAGAGAAAACCACCGAGAGTTGAAAACTGATATCCGGAGCGGCATCGTGTTAGAAAACAGGTACATATGTGGTATAGGATAAATATGTAGGGAGTATCCTCACGAGTGCGACACCGAAAATGAACGGATTTTTGGCAACATTTCCAAACCAGCTTGTCTTCTTCGCCTGGTTTATAGACTCGGTGGTCTGTTGATCTGTAGCTTCATCCATGGCAAGACTGTAAGAAGTGGGAGCGTGAATGATTAGAATCTGGAGAAAGCTCTGGGGCCCCGGGATATAATATAACTGTGTCAGAGGGGAAAAGAAGGTAAAAAAATTTCTACCGGAGCGTAGAAGTGATTTTTCCTCCTACTCTCACTGCCATATTATGGCCTTCGGCATGGGAAGCTGCCCAAGATCCCCACTTGTTAAATGGAGAACGGGATAGCTGTAGCTGGAAGAGCTCGCCCGAAAGGAGATACTCCGGCATTATCGCCGAAAAGGCATCCTGGCCATACGATTATATAGAATTTAAGGAGCGGCAGAGGCCTAACGCCCCGAAATCAGGGCAAATCTGCACGGGATGGAGATATGTTGCACTCGGTAATGTTGGCTTGGTGGAGATGGATGTCACTCAAGCTTCGTTCTGCAGAGTGGCGATTGGTCGCTCTGTCCTCAAGTCCCCGTAGTTTAATTCGATAGGCACACGAGCAAATCGCATGGAGAATATGATGCAAAGTCGAGAACTATTTATTATCAATTGAAGTTGTTGAACAAGAAGAATTGTGTTCAATTGTTCCGCACTTCTATATGTATATGGCATCGCCTGGTTTATTCTATCAAGAAAGTTGAACATTATAAATGGCCTGCGGTTATGTGGCGTGAACATTTATTAGACAGTGGGACTTCCGAGGCCAAGAGGGTACAGAAGTCAACCTAGCGTGGAGCGCAAGGGAGGCTTGCATTTGTACAAAGGACTGTAGCATTTGAACGGTCTAACCGCCATCGTATTCTCAGGATTGAATTGACCGCACAGGGCCTTGCAATAACGTCCTCGACAATTCTGTTGCCTTTCCAGACGCGGGATTAACTCTGCCGGGTAGACCAGAGACAGAATGGGTGCTAAACATAGTAGGCCCCTTCAGTTTAATTTTTTAATTCGCTTGACTGGTCGAGTGGCGGAGGGACTTCCTCTGAAGACTGGTGCCGGGTTCGCTTTCTGAACCGCCCTTGTAGCCAACATCGATGCATCTTCAGCTTTCTTTGACGGTTGACAATCAATCGGCGATCGAGGTCCATGTTAAGAATTTCAAATCCAGGATCGGGCGAGCTTTGTTCGTCGGCTGCTGTGTCGTCGTTATCCTTTTTTAAATCAGGTATACCTCCCTGGGGGGTCCATCTGCCCCATATATGGGATACCTCCTCCTTCTCAAAAAAATATACTCTTGTGCCATCACCTCTAACATAGAAGTTCTCTCCCATCCAACGTCCTTTTTTGAACCGCACCTGTGCCAGGTCACCCTTTCCATAATCGCGGAATAGGACATAGCCTCCAGGCTTCAAGACCTGGTATATATTTGATACCGCATTATTCCACTCCTCTGGAGCAAGAGCAGAAAAGACGAAAACCATCACGACAACATCCACGGACTCTTTTTGGAGGCCTGGAGGAAGGGAATCCTCGCCTGTTGCGGTAACATCCCAAACATCTGCTCGCATATTCTTCTCATTATAATTTTCACTTTTCCGCATAACCTCCACAGCGGTCTTAGAGTAGTCATAAGCATGGACCATTAGTTGTTCGTTCTCATTATTCGATAGAACGGGGAAAGCTGTGTTGCCAGCGCCGGCTCCAACTTCAAGCACCACCTTTGGGCCTGCATCTGCGGCTGTCACTTCTCCCAGAATCGGAAATTCCTGCTTTAGCCACTTGCGATTTTTGAAGAAGTTCCCTGTATTGTTTTTGTAGAAGAGATTCCACCACTTTGCAGGTTGAGAATTAAACCGCTGGCGGTCAAAGTCGGAAACTGGAGAGGCTCGCTGTCTCGCATATTGTATTTCAGCATATTCATAATATTCTGGGTCGGCCTCTACATGGTCCCAGGCATTGAATTCAAAGACATCATCACCTTCTTCAAGAAACCGTGAGCCAAACTGGAATGGGTCGGTTCGTTTCTGATTGTTGGCGGGGTTGTGAGATCGATGCGCTGGAACGGGAACAGGCTCGACAAGCTGCGCAACTGCCACGTAATCCTTGCAGTCTGCGTATGCTGAGGCAGTTGGTTCTGCCATTTTATCTTTATATGTTTTAAAACCTTTGCGAGAATATGTGTTGGTATAAAGAAGTAAAGGAATTCTGAATCACTTGTTGGCCGACACGAAAAGAAATCTTAAAGATAATTTTAACTTTTTGCGATAAGATTTTGATATCGGAAACGGATTATTAATAGTCCATGATCTTTGGTTCTGCCAATCGGATGCTGCCAAATTCGTGTAACACCCCACCTAAAATCTGAATCTTATTGGCTAATTCCATATTTACCGTAATGGTGAGTAATAAATTACGGGAAATCCCGCTGAGCCGCAAAAACACGTGACTCAGCCTCAGCCCTCCGCAGTTTCTCCCAGGAACAACAACTTCTCACAACTGTCATCTTCTCCTCTCTGCAAGTCGAGATGCCCTATCATCGTCACCGAGGGGCTTAGTTTTCGTGGTGAACCTGCCCTAACCTGGGGTTCGAGGGCATTGCACGTCTCTCCACGCTTTCCAGCCGCTTTGCCTTTAACCAGCGTGCTCTAACCGCTGACGACGCTCGTTACCCGCCTAACTGTACCCACAGCCTTGTGCTGAACATCACTCCAAATGGCCTTCTTCTTCGCCAGCCTATGTTCCTGTTTTCCTTCACGTGGTAGAAATGAGGAGAAAGAACAAGAGTACTCTACAACCCGTCCAGACACCCAGTCGTCGCAGCCCTCACACCCTTCCAATTACAACCGGTATCAACCATTCGTTGATGAAAATGACCCGTACCACTCGAGCCAGCCACTTCCGAGATACACAGCACGCCCTATCAGTATACAGGAAAAGACTCTAGCAATCTCAGGTCGTCGGTCCTTATGCGAACGCGATCACTCGCGAGATGAAAAGAGCGATAACATATACGATCGTCGGTCTCCCAGTAATAATGCCGATAATGCCGTAGAAGATGATTCGTCCGATGCGTCTTCCCAGATTTCTTTCCCTACTAGCATAGGGAATACATCTACTGCTACTGGGGAAACGCCTCCACCTCCGTACTCTTCCTATTGCTCGTCTCGAGCCAACTCCCATCGGTCGATGTCGATATCTATCCCCACTAATTATACTGGAACAACGGAAACAGATGCATCTTCAATAATTACACCTTCTCCTATCGCCTCCCCACCGCCTGTTTTCTGTCGGGACCACACGGGAAGTTCTCGACGTTCGTATGAGAATGCAGGAAACAGAGATGATTCGACTTTGCCCAGCTATGAACGGAGTTAATTACTCCATTTTCCTGCCTTATATTTTGACTTTTTTTCTGTTGGTATGGCTTTCTCGCTTTTTGTCTTTTTAAAACGGCTGGGTAGGATAGGGTGATGGGGGTGGATAATATAGGTGCCCAGGGAAGGAAATATTCAACCTAGTTCCGAACTAGAGATTTGTTTGCTCTTATTAAGATCGAAGAATTTTGATGAGCGCAGAACCCGATTTACTAACTCTTGCTGTTTTATATTGGGATATATATAGAAATGCTGGACATTCTTATTCTCATCCTAAGAAATTCTATTCTGTCAAATGTTCGACAAGGGGCCTACTGATACCACCAGTCCCAGTGTAAAAATCACCAGCAATGCTCCAGAACGTTAATAGATAACTAGATATATATATCAACAAATAGAATACTTCACTAGAAAATAATAAAACATCCGTGGATTTAAAAGAACATGGATGGATAGAATGGTAGGACAAAAGTAACAGGGCTGAAAGGAGGAATTGAGAACACCATATCGCTAAATGCCTACTAGAAGCCCCTAGTTCCCCTTAAACTCGAAAATTTGTTTCCTTTCGCCGAATATAAGAAATAACCCACTTTGCAAGGAGGTGAGAGACAGACACGAAGAGTCATTAAAAACAAGGATAGCAACTTGACGTAACAAATGAAACGGAGAAAGAAAGTGCGGGGCCTTTAGAGAATCGTTGATGGCGCTGACAGTTAGTTGCTGGAAAATTCGAAGAGATGGCTAAGATCAATAAAAGGATAGGGTGTGATCGGGTATGATAGTCGATGATGCCGCGAAGAATTTGTTGTATCACAAGACGTGATGTGAAGTTGAAGTTGAAGATGAAGTGACACGGTGTTAAGCATCGTCACCCAGGATTTCAGTATGTTCTGACCCGCTGCCTGCCGGACCGTTGTCATCATCATCATAAGTGGCAGCATGCTCGGAAGCGCCTGCATGGGCTGGAGGGTGACTATTGGTGGCCCCGTCTAGCTGAGTCAAGGAAGGGGGCGCTTCATCAACGGCCTCCGTCGGTTGTTCAGACATGTGAACAGGCTCCCCGGTGTGGTATAATTGGCTGAAGAACTGCCCAGCATATCCAGCAACTTCGTTTGCAAGGTTGCGTTCGAGAGCAACTTCAAACATCTCCAGGTCGCGTTTCTGTTTCTCATCTCGCCTTGCTCGCTCCTCTTCAAGTCGACGACATGTGCCGTCTTGCTCCTTGGTCACATAACAGTTCGGACAGAGATAGTTCAAATCACAATACGAGCAGGTACACGGTGGATTCTCGTCGACGCAATCTTGGCAAACGTGGACAGAGCAGGAAGTACATTCGCTCAGGACGCTTGTACAACGCTGGCGGTGATCTCCGGCAGCCCGGAATTGAGGGCAGAAGAACGACTGGCAGCCAAGCCATTTACGCGACTGTGGTGCTGCTTCAAAGTAAACAGAGGCGGGTGTGGAAGAACGGGTATGGTTGTTAGATGTCGATGAGGAAGCTGGGTCCGCATTTTGATTATCCGTGGCTTTCATGGCTGCTGTCGCTGGAATTGAAGAGTTTGTTTCATTTGGTAGAGGGTTGTTGCTACTTGAAGCACCACCATGGCTCTGTTCAGGGGGAGCAAGTCTCAGAGGCGCATACGAGGCCGAGGTTGACAAGGCAGGCCTGGCAGGAGAAGTTGCCGAAGCAGCAGACGAGGCAGGCGTCCGACCATCCCCAATGGCAAGTTTTTCAAGTAGAAGGTCTCGATAGCCACATATTCGAAGACGTAACCCCCGTAAATCATGCTCCATGCATAAGGGCTTTGAGCAACTCTTGCAATGAACTTTCCATTGGGGCGAATCAAAACAGTCCTGACACAAATTGCGAGGGCAACTTGAAACTTGACAGCTTGATGGGCCTAAGAGCCAGCGCATCATTTCAGTGTGGCCTTCGGCAAGAGTGTAGTCGGGTTTCTTCGGGTCTCCGTATGCGTACTTTGGAAAATTCTTGCTCCATTCGTTCGATGAGTACTCGGGGTCTTCCCATCCTTGCCCACGCGGAAGCGGAGCAGCTCGTACCCTATCAACCTCACGACCGGCAACTCCAAGTGTTATTCCGCCACCACCAGTGAACATGGGCTCAGTGCAGCACCAATGGAGCTTTAGGTTTGGGTAGACGGGCGAGTTCGCCATTCCATTCTGATTGTTAGCCGCATTAGGACCAATGGCTTGTTGGAAAGGCTCCTGCATCGCACAGGGAGATATGGTTGCTCCTGGAGCCCACCAAAATGCCTCCCCAGCTGATTCACCAACAGGTACTGACTTTCTTCGCGGGTAGGGAGTATCGTATGCACAGCTGTAACAGAGAGTTTTCCGGCATCCAACACAGTGCATCAAGACGCTGCATTGCTCACATCTCTCATGTATTTTTTCGAGACAAGAATCGCATTTTATGTCGTCCACGAATCGTTTATGACTACTGCGAAGGTGGGTTGGGACTGTCTTTCCCTCTCCGTATTTCTGGGCACCAACAGTCCCTAGTGGCTCGCCGGAATGGCCAGTTTCGTCATGCTCCCATAGTCGGCCGTCTCGTTTTGGAGGTTCACTACTGTCTCCGGATGCGCCAATCCAGTTCTTTGACCTCCATAACCGGTCAAATACAACCCAAACCTCAGGGCTGCCTTGTGGCACCCTCATAGCCACATAGCCTCGCCTTCGAAAACAACGTCCAGCGGGAGTGGTACACCAAGCAGTATCAGTCCATATACCGAGTTTATGGCAAAGATTGACGAGTTCATGGGTTGGTTCGGAGTCGGAGTCTCTTCTAAGCAGGGACGAGGTCAAGTATGGGCGTCTCCTGTGGTGGCGGCAACGGTAGGTGTAAAGACTTTTGATAGCAAGACGTTTCACTTTCGACGAAGGGCCGAGTGGGTTTGTGGTGTCTGCATCATACTGGAGCCCAAACATGGTTAAGTAGGGAATGATGTGATATTTGAGAGACACGTTTTTGCAGCCCCGAACAGAGATATGCTCAAGCGTATCCCTACGTGCGCTGAGGACGATCGAAATGAGATTTTGGCCGGATACGGCGGTATTATCCAGGTCTAGACTGCGGAGAGACGGGCTGAAGGGTACGATGACGTGAAGAAGTAGTTGGTCGAGTGCGTAGGGCCGGGACTGGCGCTGGTTTCCCTGCGAGTCTGTAGCTCCAACTAGCGGGCGAACCTGCGTGCTGGAAGGCAAGAGAAGTCGGAATGAGAGATACTGCCATGCTGTCGGGTATGATTTGAGGAAAGATCGGAGGTATGAGGAAGTGTGGTAGAGCTGTAGGATAGATTCGGTTGGGGTCTGTAGGAGGAACGATTCGAGGATAGGCGGATGGGTCGAGAGAACGCGTTCGAAGGTAGAGAGCTGTGAGTGCCTCATCGTCGACGGCTGCCCTCCTTCATCGCCGTCGCTGAATATGAGATCTGGGGGCGTGGCAGCCGGCATCCTTGGGCTCATCGTGTCAGGCGAGGATCCACCAGGACCAAAGATACAGGCCATCCTGGGTTCAGTAGCGCTGGGAGTTCGATCTGCTAGGACGGCTGCGGGAAGACGAGAGGCAGCTGAGCATCATAAGAGGACGGCAGACGGCTGCTGCTGGGCAGAAGTGAGGCGTTCGTTCGTATGGCCCGGATGGTCGCGTTGACGCATCGAAGGCAAGCCGGGGGATTAGGTATTTCTTCCTCCTTTTCCAAGTCGGGCCAGCGAGCCAGTCGGTCAGGTTTAGTCAGTCAGTTCCACCGCAGACTCGGGGATAATTCACATCGCAGTGCAACACTTCCCTAAGCCCCCAGGTCCAGTATAACAAGCCAACAGGTTCCTTTGCGATGGCCTTGCTGTCGTCTCCTTCTTTGAGCTGGCGATGTTTGTTTCGTTCGCTCTGGCGGTCGACTTTTTCTCGCCGCCTCCTAAGAGCAAAGTGTCACGTGGACAGGCAAGAAGCAGCAGAAGAAGCAGAGCAAGAATCCAAAGGCAAACGAAGAAGACTTTTCTTGGGAAGCAACTAAAGGCAGTTTTATATGCTTGGTGTTTTGATAGTCCGTGACAGGGGGGCCATACGGGGTGGCCCTGGTAGTTACCGCGGCGCTTGAGATGTAGTTACTGCTTGCGTGTTAAGAGGATGTGCGGCTGGCCTTAGTTACGGTTGCAGCAACAACTAGCTATAGCGAGCACTCGTTAAGTAGCTATCCGGCCGCGGGAGTGAACAACGCAAGCTCATGGCATGAGACGGCTCCCGCAGTACAGAAGAGAGGCATGCATGTGCTAAAGACGAGAGGAAGTTTGCCCAGGGATGTTTCATTTGGCCAAGTATAAATGTCTAACCCTAACTACCGCCGTTCTTGGTTCTCACCAATTCTATACCCACGAGCAATTCCCGAAAGACCTTCAACAACAGCACTGCCCCTGAGGCCACCGTCCTGGCCGTTGTCATCTTCATATTCAACGACGAAATCACTACCCAGCCCTCTCCATGACCTATTGGATTTGAGAAACTCGGCACCGGGAGAGACAACCCCCCCGATTGTGGCAACATCTGACTTGAACCGTTTTGCCAGCGATTTTGAGCCACCACCAGGCGCGGATTGATGGTCTTGAGTGGTGCTGGATAAGGCAGCCGAAGGTGAAGTGCTTGAATACGCCTGCATGGGTCGGGTATTCGACGTCGAAACATATCGGCCCGTTCGGAGATCAAATTCAGGGGGAGCTGACTCTGGCTCAGAAAAAGCTTCGTCCTCGTTTTCTCCTTCGTTACCGACTGCAGCTGTTTCAGCCTCAGTTTCAGCCTTCTCCGGAGATGAGATAGGGTCACCTGTTTTCTGTTTTGATGCAGCATTCCGCTCTGGCTTGAGAAGCGACTGGTAATCGCTGCTCCACGCGCCAGTCCATATGCGCTCGTCATCACTCTGTAATGCGAGTTCCAGCTCGTATGGTGTGATTACTGGCCTCCAGAACTCTCTACTGTCGACAAGCGAGCTTTCCCAGCATCCAATGATAACCCATCCTTCTATCTCACTGAAATTGGCTACTTTTGCTACATTTAGCTTTCCGACAACAAACAGGTAGCTCTTTTTCCCCGCTGCTGCAATGAGTCTCTGAACATGCTGCACAATGTGGAGGTAGTTCTTCACGCTGAGGGTATTCACAAGAATGCCGAATATCGGCGCAGTGTTGAGGGATGTTAGGATGGCATATCGACGACGAAGAGAAATTGCCGTAGATGCGAGTAAAGCTTTGCTTCCAGAGCCAGGCTTACTACCAGCCTCAGAGCCAGTTGGATATATCCGGATTGCAGCAACACGGGAAGATAAAGTCAGAAGCAGCGATGTTGGCGGATCGGAGATGTGGAACAGTTGCCAGTCGTTCAACGATTCTTCACCAGCCTCGACTGATGGCGGAATCGTCCGGTTAGGAATTGGAGAGGAAGGGTTGTGCACCACTTGGGTCGCAAAGATATTGGTATACCCTTTTTTCATTGTGAGCATTGTTGCTATCTCGTCAACATGGGCGGCATATGTGACATCCGCAGCAATCACGACTTTCTCTCCATGGTCTGGGTATGATTCCTCAAAGGCCTGGATTACCGCATCGTGGTTAAGCGGCCTACAGGTAAATATATATATCACGGGTAGCCTTGCAGTGGGTGATAGACAGGATCTCCCATAATGCACCACAACATCCGCCTCGACGTGCTCTGCCGCAACTTCGTCCACGCAGCAGGTTCCATATGAAGTGTCCGCCAGTATATATAGCTTAGGTGTACAACCTTGCGTCTCTTTATTCAGATTCAACTCCTGGTCTATAGAATTGGCGACGTCTTCCACATCTTTGCCGTCTCCTTCCTGAACATTGGTGGTGGTGTGTCTTTCTTTCTGACTACCATTGTCCCGAGAGCTAAGGCCGCGGCTTAAGAGCTGGAAAACCCGCGGTGCATCAGGTAGCATATCATCTGGGAACTGAAGGGCTATCCGCTGCCATTTCCCTTCTTTGATCTCCTTAATCGTCCGCTCAATGTCATATGTGATGCGGAATTCCTCGTCCGATAGATTCTGGCCGATAGGTTCGCTGACTGCCGTTGGTTCGGCTTCCTCCAGAATTCGCGTGTCTGGAGTCGACAGGACTGGCGCGACCTTAAGCTCTTCCGTCATCTTCTCGCTGTTGTCTGCTGGTTTGTCTTATTCTTCTCCAGCTGCTGCTTCTACTTTTCGCATCTTTTGGTGGGATAAAAGGAAAAAATGCACAAAAGTTAAGGTTCACTTATCACCACGTGACGTCCCCGCCATCTGATAAGAAGCTATAAAAAGGAGGCTGAAAAAGAGTCTGAGCTCTGCTGTTGACATCTCATATAGTTATACCTAAGCCGTAAGAAGATGGGACTTTAAAAATATCCTTCTACCTGTTTTATATTGGCGTCTTATTCAACAGTATATAGCTACTTGTTCATGGAATCGACTAACGAAGACGCCCACCATGGAAAGGGCCAAATCCAACAATCGCATCAAGTCAAGTGATGCTACAGTATCAACAACTATAGATCAGCTCGAGCTTCCTCGCCTGCCCAAACCCTTCTGAAAATCTCCCTGATTGCGTCCTTCTCAATCTCACGCGGGTTCCAGTAAGCGTTCTTCACAGATACCTCCGCCGCCTGGTCAATGTGTTCCTCCTTCATACCAAACTCTTTTGCGCCCCGTTGTACCTGTAACTTTTCCAGGAGGACGTTTAGCCCCCGGATTGCATCCCCTTCACTGTTGGGGAGCACTTCTGCCAAGGTAGCCATTGCTTCAGGGACGCTTGGAGAGTTGTATGCAACAGCATGAGGAAGGACTGCGGTATGGGTTTCTGCATGCGGCAGGTTGAAACTCCCACCCAACACATGGCATAGCTTGTGGTGCAGGGCCATTCCAACGCTTCCCAAACATGATCCGCACAGCCAAGCGCCGTAGAGGGCGTCTGACCGTGCTGATTCGGATCGGGGGTTTGCCATGATATCTGGCAAGGCAGTGGAAAGGTGCCTGATGCCTTCTCGCGCCAGTAGGTTGACAATCGGGTTTCCATTGCGAGCATATAAGGCTTCCACTAGTTTGGTCAGCACGCGGGAAATATGTAGCAATGATATATAAATTTAAATAGGCTATAGACCAGTTACCTGCATGGGCGATGGCATTAATACCACTCGTAGCACTCAGGCTGGCAGGCATCGACATTGTCAAGTCAACATCATATATTACCGCTTTCGGGAGAATTTTAGGGTCTGTCCTGGTGCTCTTTATTCCATCTTGCGTTTCTCCAAGTATCGGCGTCATCTCGCTGCCTGAATATGTCGTTGGAATGCATAGATGCGGTAGTCCAGTCCGGAAGCTGATTGCTTTCCCCAACCCGATGACACTTCCACCACCGATAGATACAATGCCATCTGCACCCTGTTCCTTTGCATACGCGAGAGCCTTCTCCGTAATATGCGTGGGAACATGCATCACAGCACCGTCAAACACCCCGGCTACTTTGCCCCTGAGCAGCTTTCTCACATCGTCCACCAGCTTCTCTTGCCGAGGGGTGTATAAAAGCAGTGGGGACGTCACGCCTAGCCGTTCAATCTCGGTAGGTAGCTGCTCTATAGTCCCTACACCAAATAGGACATGCGAAGAATGTGCATCATATTTGAATGATTTCATGCTGTGTATTCGAGGCTTGGAAGATTGATATAAGCAGCTTTTCGGCGAGTTAAGGGGTTGTCTGTCTATAACCTAAGAGTCATCCATCATACTCCGTATATAAGATTAGGTTTTGAGCTATTTTTATCTCATAATAATTATATATAAATATATCTTTTAAATAATTGTCGGAGCGTCAGCGAAGACTATTGTATTCCAAAAGTGGGTGAAAAAACGCGTATTTACAATATGTCTTCGTTTACGCTCCGGCAATAAATCTATACCTGTTTTTCAAGCTTAATCCGTAATGCTGGTATTTCAATAACCAGAGCTTTCCCATCAGTGTCCACCTCGAATATAAACTGATCAAGCGACGCTTCTCCGTACTTCAAACTATCAACACTCAGCCAAGATACACAGGTAGCCGTTCCATAGTCAGCGAACTCATTCTTGTCCTGAAATACTGCTCTAAAGGCTTGTCTCGATATAGAGGCTTGCTTGGAGATAAGATGTGTTGGATAAAGCCGTATGCTCAATGCATCAACCTTCTCAATCCCATTCAAGGCGGCCAATGTCGCCCGGAAATCAGTGGCGTTGCTGATCCATGTATCAATAACTAGACCTGGCGAGCTATCCGCAGAAACGGTGATGGACGAGTTTGCCGTAGGTGAGGAGTAGACTCCTCCAAAATTTGTGCTGGCTTGGATGGCCGCAATCTTAGTCAAGGCTGGCAACAGGTTGTCGCCGATAACGCCAGTATGGGCATTGAGATCTGGGCTCGTGTTACTATCTGTAGCTAAGATAGTAAATCCAACATTGAAGTCGGGAACAAGGCCGATATATGAGCTATACAAGCCGACGCTGCTAAGAGCTGTATACACGTCTATTATCGATGTGTTGGGATAGTCTCCCCCACTATATATAACCCATGGATACCCTACCGAATTTGCAGGGTTTGAAGTGTGGGCAACGGGTTTCAGCCAGCGGTTGGTTTGGGCGCGGGAGAGGAGGGCTGCGGCCAGAATAGATTTCCCAGCAACGGCGAGATCAGTAACAGTGGAGAGCATTGAAACTGCACTGCAGATAGAGAATCATTAAGGTATTAATAGCTAGTCATTATTCAAACGGGGGAGGAACTTACGCTGCCTCTGCTCCGCCTTGCATCCATCCGTGACTATTCGTATCCGCTGGGAGTACCCTTGGCGGCAGGTCTTCGGTTAAGAGTAAACTTGTCTTTCCTAGTTTGAGAGGCTCAAGAATGCGTTGATTAAGTACAGACGCAAACGACTTTCCAGAAATGGACTCCACGATATATCCCAGAATTCGAAATGCGTCGTTGGAATAGATAGGTGTAGTTCCCGGGAGGGCCACTGGAGGTTGTTGAACAATATACTCGAAGAATTCTGTTCGAGTGAAAATATTAGTTATATAAAGACCGCCCAGCTCAAGACGCGGAGTAGTTAACTCACCAGTTCGGTTGCATGAGAATTCCGAGATACAGGGAGAAATATCAGAGGCAGGAAGAGCTGGTAGATCGGCGAACGGGAATGCAGCTTGTTTGCTCAAATTGGGCATTGAAGCTATGAAATTAGTCGGGTATAATTCAGATAGTTGCTTCGCTGGGCTAAAACGTACAGCCTCTAGAAATTCCGGCCATATGGCTTGCGAGCTGGCCAACCGTAATGGTCTCCCAGTCAACGTAGCTAACTGGATCTTGTTCTCCATCGCGGCGGTTCACCACATCAGCTAGTTCAGGGATGTACTCTGTTACAGGGGTATTCCAGATGCGGTCTCCTGCTTCAATTAGAATAGTCCAAACGGTGAAAATCTTAGTCAAACCGCCGATGAGATAGATGCTATCTTTCCCCACAGGGTGAGATTTCAAGGGTGGCGCCGTGTAGTGGTAATCAAAGAAATAGGGCTGGTCGCTTGCGTTGCCTTCGTTAACGGAGAACAATGATAAACTGAAAGAAGTAGTGTTAGGAAAGATCTGTCCATGATCTCCGTTCCCTTCAAGGACTAGTTGATCGAACGTCTCCGTAAGACCCTTGAGAGCGGAGGTTAGGACTTCAGAGCTCGTATCTAAGGTGAACTCAGGAAATGCTGGCCCTAGAAGCGGGCATGGCGTGAAAGAGAGGCCGGAAGAAACAAAAATTAAAATGCAAAACAATAGGGTAAAAGGGCGAATCATCATGGAAGGTATTTGGGCTGGTGATTGTCATTATTTGTGCTGCTGTTTGATTTCTTACCTGTTCGCTCAATACCTAGGTGTATATATACACATAAGGTCGGGTCGGAGTTATGAAGCTCACAAAACGATATAACTAAGTTTATAGTTCTAGGCTAGTAGCACGCTAGGCTTCGGCTCGGCGTTGCGCTTCAGCCTCAAAATAACCGGGAAAAGCAAAGGCGATCCGATCCATACAAAAAACGGGGTTTGCTTAGTTACGTAAAGAGGCGGACGGGTTTGTGCTCCTCCACTCTAAAGTTCGTCCCTAGACTCTGTGCTCTATAGAATAGACAGGTCTCGAGGACGGGGTAAGAATAGAGAATATCACATCCAATTATCCAGCATTTGATCTATAGTGTAAGCGAAATCATCCTCCTCCATTGAGGGATAGCCATTCGCCATACTAGCAAATAAATCGGAAGGCGAAGAATCGTGTATAACTCTCGAGGCATCAGCTAACTGTTGATTTTCTAAACTGGGGGTGCCCTCTATTGTTCGCGGTTCTTCCGGGGCAGCATTGTTAATGTCAGAGGAGTCTGTTTTCTCGAGTCTTTTATCCAGCCAAGCTTGAAGTCGAGCAACACGATCGATATAGTTTGAGAAAACGTCCCTATCTCCATTCATATCGACCATATCCGTGGATAGTTCCGATACCCGCAATTTTAACCTCATCAGAGTATTTGAGAGTGATTCCTTGTGCTGGCGGAAAACTGCCGGTTCAGCTATAGGGGCTTTGGCTGCTAGCCTACATGCGATAATCAAAGCAAATCCAATCTGAACCCATTCAGTGTTATTGAAGCTGGTTTCTGAGCGGGGCGGTAGTGATAGATAAAGTTCAAGTATAGATTGTGCCGCCATGCCACCTGCGTATAACATATCATCCGATAACGTAGTCTGCATAGATCCAGATTGCTGTCTGCGTTTGTTCAGTAGGCTCAACTGGTATAGAGAAAGCTCAGCGGTGTGGAACTGCATAGTAGTAAGCGCTATAGAGAAGATGGGAAAGATTAGCCCAGGGAATGGCGTGTCAATTCGTGGTATGGACTACCTACGTGTCTCGTCTGAAGTAAACCCTGACCGGACACGGAATGCCTCTAACTCAGATTTCAAGCCTAAGACATATAGCTCCATCGCCGACCCAGAGTTCTTCAGCTCCATCCCGTGCTGAAAGGTTATACGATTGACTTTTTCCACAATATGCTGGAGCTGAACGATGTAGAGGATGGATTTGTCATACGGGTACTCAGCCGCATCGTAAATAGATTTGCAGCATTCTTCGAGGTAAGCGGTATATGGAAAGGTGAGCTGTTTCTGCAAAAGTCCGGAGATTCTATGACCAGGTGAGCTCGATTTCTCTTTTCATTCCATCCTAGGCTTTGGGTAAAGTGGGCCGAACTTACGTCGAGGATAGATAGTAGCAACCTGCTACAACCCTCTGCTCATCACGGCCGAATGACGGTCTAGTAAGAGTATCATCGTCCGGGTCGTAATTTGATGTGAATCGGATCCCTGATTTCCATACTTTCGTCTGCGGCGGTCTATCCAACCGCAACTCGATAATGAGGCCAATAGCTAACTGGAGAAATTGGGTGTAACGATACGGCCGCGTGTGATAATGGCACCTAGCAGTAACTAACTGTCGGTATTTGTTTCACTTGAATTTGTACATTTTTGAGTGGCGGTAGTTCGTTACCAAGCTAGGGAGACCAGCAATCCTTGCAGCAGATCGAAGGAAACTTCTCCGTTGACGATCATCCGCGAGGCAATAGCTGACTTGACTTCCTCTCCCAATTTCCGTTGTAGTGGCATATTTGAGTAAGATGCCGCCGAGATGATAGAGAGGAAGAGAAACGGCCTATCCCGGCGAAGTTCCTCCGCCATCATGTCCGGGGGAACCACAACGAATGGAAAATGTTCGATCATTCTCACTTTAAACGTAGAGAGGAAGCATTCAGCATCTTCTATGGTTAGAAACCCGCGATCAACCACATCTTTGCTGATAATATCATCATCTGAGAGGCTAGTCGCGGTATTTGCGGTTGCTACCAGTGAAGCATGACGAGCGTCCATGAGCTCATTCACCTTCGACTCTAGGGCATTAATTCTCCTTGCCAAATAGGTTAGCTTTGCTCCCCAAAAGTAATAGAAGGCGCTTCTACTAACAGATCTTTCTGAAACCCATTGAAGCGCCGACGTGTCTCACGGTTTACACACTCTTTACCCAGGCGGGAGCATCTTATGAGGCTGGATAAGCGATGAAATACATCCGTATCTTCTGCGCTGCTTTAGACTCACCGATTACATGTATTATTGTTGGAATCCCGTACACAGCGTACCTTGGAATTAGCGCAATTTTGGCAAGTCTTAGATAGCGGCATCTTCAACAGACAGATTGAAGCACCTGCAGTTGAAGCAGCCCGAAAAAGCTATATATGTAGATAAATGTAAGACAGAGTAGGCTTCTGTAGGGTTGTAATAAGTTAGGGTCTAATAGGTTTTACCGCCAAGACGCCACGTCTATTAAAGCTTTTTTAAAACCAAAGGCCCTCTGGACCCTAGAGGAGAATTTTACCATCCACGGTCTATCTAATAGGCGCCCACGTTTTAAGTCCAATACTAAGACTGATTAGTCAACCACTAGTGTAGCTAGCTACCGAATGATAGAACCAACTTAGATATGAAGCCTTGTCTAACCTCCTACTTGGTAGGAGTCTCCGCGAGAGTCAAACTCCGTTAGGTCGAGAAGTTTAATCCCAGGCTCTGCGGCCAAGGCGAGGCCAAAGAGTTCTGAGGTATCCCCGGATGCTGTGGGCGGCCATATCCAGCCGTGGAGGCGGATGTGGCATGAGTTAAAGGGGAAGCCGCCGGCGCTCTAGGGCGAGGGAGTAAAGATGTCTGCAAACGCGCTGAGGGCGCAGGAGGGGGGAGGGGAACTGCGAGCGCGAGTTTTAGACGGCTGGACGGGACAAAGGGCATTGAGGGTGTGTAGACGGCCACATCATCAAGGTTGATCGCGAGAACCATGGCTGCCGACCCTGGAGGAGTAAATGGGTGGCATCGTTGGCACCAAGGTGTCTAGATCTTCTATATTAGTCAGTTGTTATCCTCTTGGAAGGTAGATAGGTATAAAGAAGTCTAGGTATTTACCTGCTATATCGTCCGAGGGTGGAGTTGGCGAGAAAATGCATTCCTTGCTCCCTGCTCCGCCGATATCGATTCTGGACGTGACGGTATCCATATAGATATCATCATTGTAGTGGTCTACCCATCGCGAATCGGCACTTCCGGCAGGAACGGCACCACGTCCTGACTCACCGCCACTGTTACCATCTTTCAATTGATGGGAATTCTCCCTGTAACTCCTCGACCCGTCTCGTAGGCTTGAGAGTAATGATGGACATAAAAGCGAAAGCGGTTGACGGAGCATAGGCAGACAGGAAACTATGATGCCGGTATTGAGTTCGATGGTAGTCCATAGTGCGAGTGGTGCTATGCTCCCTATAATGCTCAGCTATTAGCAAAATATTGCCAGCGAGGGGTGGTGTATGGGGTAGCTGACACAAGGGGTCCTTATTATCAGATTTCCCTAATATATATGTGATTCGAACAATGCTAACGACACAGACACTATATCCTCGACATTAGTAACAATGATTGACGCACGAGAGAATAACACAGGGCTGGCAACTTACAATCCTCCTAGGGAAAAGATGCATATCACAGCAAGCTTATCCCTCATTCTCATTGGGAGAGCGATAGCCTGCTTTATCGGGAGGAGGAAGATCAAGAAGTCGGTAGCGACATTGAGACCCGAGTAGACGATTCTCCATTGCGCATTTTCAATACACTTGTGTGGAATAGAGCGGTCCCAATATGCGCTGATCGGCTTGCATTGCCATACGGATGGACAAGTGAATCCGATTGTCATCAAAACCGTTAGTCCCATAAGGAAATAGCATGACCAACGGAACCATTTTTGAACATAAAATATTCGAAGATATAAGAAGAGGAAGGCGATCTTGATCAGGCCGAGGGCGGGCTTATATAGAACCTGTAGGATGTACAGGCACTGCGTATCCAGGACGACAACGTTAGCACTGTTTTTTCCTGCATGAATTAATTCGCAATACAGTGCGAGTAGTAATAAAATTACTTTCAACGCAGTTATCCTGTCCTGCGGCGAGCTCTCCCATGTGTGTTTGCCCACTCCGTGGAAGACTCCTACACACTGTTAGGAACATGTATGTATATATGCTGTGGACAGTCCGGATGCGCCACTCACCGAGTATCATCACAGCAGTAAACGGAGCTGTTATTATCTGATGTTCGAGAAACATTGTCAGCACTTTCATATTTCACGACCTTCGAGCAGGTACATACGTATGCAGACAGTATCATATAGTCGTCGACGTGGATGCCGGCCCTGTAGTATCGACCGACCAGCCGTACAACCACCAAGAGCCCCGAGACAATGACCAGGACAACGCAAGGAACCCATAGATCCGCCCTGTCCATTCCAAGAATCACAGCGCTGGGAGCTGTGGTCGTACTGTTCGAGGGAGCCATCCTCTGCACTGTCAAGCAGCAATACAGTCCTTGGTCTCGGGGCGGAGGATGCACGAGAAGAGGTCGGAAAGAGCAGATAATGGTAACTACCTCTCATCCATGACATTATCATTATGGCCAGACATACCTAGCTTTCGTGCATTGGGATCTCGCCATATTCCCTCCTCCTTCCCCTATTGATGGCTCTGACCCGTCGTCCTGCCGTGTCTCGTGTCTTCGCGCTCGTCTATTCGTGGGTCCTGTGTCGTCCGAGGCGCCCAGAGTTGTTTGCTTAACTATATCGATTTCAGGTTTGGTCTCTTTTGGCCATCGAGACTATCCTCCCCAAATACGGGATATATAAATAATAATAATATACGAGAACTAGCTGTCGGACTTGTATGTAGACGGCTTAAATAGTCAATCACCTTCAAGTTCGCGCCAACCCAGCTCTACAGGTCATCTTACTATTACCCAAGTTGAGCCATCCAGCTGCTCTGTGAGATGCGCCACGGCGCTCGGGTGCAAAGGCAAACCTCGCAATTCCACCAGTTAATTGGGCCATGGTGAAATTCCAGGCCCTGGAGCTTGGAGACGCTGAACTGTTATATCTGCACCTTGGAGATGGTACTGTCTTGTTGCTCTAGGTGCTTCGGTGTCTTCTATTGCAGTTACTGTCGTAACTATAGCAGACGCGATATCACGCCCGTGGGGGTTGAAACATGAAACATGGCCGTGGAGTGGAGCATGGCGGCTGTAACTAATGGAGGCGGGAGAGCTCTTCCCGCTAGCATTTACCTAGGTAGTTAGCCTAGCGGACAGAGCGGGAGATAAGAGGTGAGATAGAGGCCGATGACTTCCGGCAGTGATCTATTATCACCCTTTATCGCGGATAGAATTATGAACACCTCTCTCTATCTATAGGCAATACCAGCATATCCAAAGCCCTAGCTAACGCGGAGTGGCTTCAACAACCTGTTTGTTACGAAGAAGAGACAGCCACAGGGCAATCAATCGAGGTCCTTGAAGGCCATGACATGCTGGCCGCCAGTCCGGTCCTTGCCCTTGCCTCTCTTCCGCTTCCGTCTTTTTTTCTCTTCTTTCCCACCTTCATCACTCTCTGCCGCAGCCTCTTTGTCACTCTCGTCGTCGTCATCATCGTCATCGTCTTCATCGCTATCTTCAAGGTGCCGTTTTGATGGCGCCCAGTTATCCCTCCCTTTTCCGGTTGTCTCGGGGGCCTCATGCCACACTTTGACTATCGAACCACCGCTGCTCACCATCCTGCCACAGACATCGAATCCAAGGCCAGCCACACCTTCGACCTCGTCATGCCTGGTCTCAGAAATGATGCTGTTGCTGCCCAATTGAATGAATTTTAGGCGTCCGTCACTTAGTCCCGCAACGACGACTTTGCCGTTGCTTACCTCGTCGGGAGCTTTGGCAAGGACCTCTAGACTCTCGCCGCCTAGTGGTGACTTGTCTACGATGATTCTCTCGTCCTGGTCGTCCCATACTCCTTTTTCCCAAAGAGTTATAACTCCACTGCCTCCTCCAACGACCAATTTCTCTCCTTTGCTTGTTCCGCCGGCCTTCAGACCAGTAACGTAGGTAGAACTGATCAATTCCTCACCCTGGTCTTCACTTCGGACCATTACTCCCCTGCGAAGGTCCGTGACTGCAATTGTGGTCCCTCCGGTCGTTATCCACTGCTTGCTGAACCCTGATGTGCTCATTTCAGACGGTGGTAATGGAGTAAGAGAGGATATGTAGTCATCATGGGGAAAATGCGTCTGTTCTGGTCGGGCAGACACTTCTGTTGATGGGGTTCGGAGATCGAATATATGGAGTGCGCTGGAATCGGTCGCGAGGAGAAGGGTCTGAGGAGAAAGGGCGTGCAGCAGACAAGGACTGTCTGTATCATGCAGAGACCTAGAAACCAAATTTTGTCAATATAAGAAAATTTTCAGCAAATCTCCAAAGGCATGCCCGTACTTAGCCCTAGGCATAGGAACCGCAAATTTGGTCACGACCCGGCCAGTCTCTGACTTCGCAGCCTTCACCCAGCCATCTGTACCGGCGGAGTAGAGTATATCTCCATCAATCCCAAATGTTAAGCTTCGGCAGCTGCCCTTGTGTCTCCTCGTCTGCCAGATGGTGTCGATATGTCCTAAACCATTTCTCTTCTTCTCCACCGACTCAGAGTCATGCTCGGCTGGCAGCTTAAAGGTCTCGACATGGCCGGAAGAAAGGCCGACAGAGACAATTGGTTCCGTAGGATGAATGGCCTGTGTAAAGATATCCGCTGGTAGGGGATAACTGCAGACGGTGTCGAACATCTCAGGCCACAGTTGCTGGATATAGCGCACGCGAGAGAGGAAAGGCGGGGTTTATGCTGTTACGGTGTCACTGCATGCTAGGTGGGTGTGCTTCTGGCTCAATTGACCCGGCTGCTCTTATTTCTGAGCAATCGAAATATTGTCAAATTCCTAGCTTTGATATTTTAAACTGACCAGATGTTCAAACATTCGCGCCAAGCCCTGTAGTTATAGATCCATGGGACGAAATCGCCGAGCGGCTCAAAAGGCTTCGCCTCCGAACTTCCAGATACAAACTGTACATAGTAAAAGGTGGCTAACATCTCATAAACCTCTTATATCTGATACTTGTCCAGAGCCCATTTTTCCTGGTCCTCTGCAGCGTTGAGATTCTTCAGTTTTGGGTCGCAGCCATAGAGGCATGGCTTAGTCAGCACTACCGTCCTCTGTCTTCGTTGATACAAACTTCAACATCTCGATCTTTTTGCTGCTTGAGATCCAGATCAAACATGAGCTGATGATGGTCAAGGAAGACTCGATGCGGGCAAAGCCCCCTGCTGGGCATCCTGATACCCAAGGCAGTCCAGGTTCAAGCTCCGGCGTGGGTGATGAGATGGAACCTGCGTCTGCTGTTCATCGCAGCGCACCGCCAGAGAAACCCGAAGTTGTTCGCAGGAGAACCCTCATTGTATTTACTTTCTGGCTGATGATAGTGCTTCTCGGATTGCCTATGTGGTGGAAAACGACGTCTATCTATAGAGCTAAGCTCCCACTCAATGAGATGGAGAATTGGGCAGCGGGAAAGGTTAGCTATCAGGCCCCCTAATCGTTGATTTGCCGCAGCTCATTATTGATATGAAAGTTATATAGTCCTGCAGGCCCGTTTTCCCGTTACATATCCATGTCGACACACCTGGGTTGAACACTCCTGAAGCCGAGTCGCTGGTTCAAGCAGCGCAGCATGCTCTTGATGACCTGAACGACTTCTCTGCGCACCATCTCCGCCTACGACTTGTGAAAACCAAGGAAAGTCCAAGTGCAGAGACAAGGGCTGCCAACATAGCTGCAGGGGAGCATGCTTTGGTACTACGGCTTATCCCACAAGATGATATCACTGCGATCTCCTCCGATCTACACCCTTACTCTGAGCGATTGGATGTGTTTTATCCATCTAGCCAGCTACAGCCGCAAACCACCTCCAATTCACCTCTTACAACCTTTATCGCAAATGAATTACGAAAGTTATTTAATGAGGAGAAGGCGACGCTGGAGTATATTCTCTCCCAGAGCAATAGTGCAACGCAATCTTCAAAGAATGCAATGCAAGGGGCAGCAAACAAAGATCAGAGGTCTAATGTTCTAAGCCCTGCGATACAACCACTATTGCTCGAATCCATCGCTAGTCGCGTGAAGAAGTCGTTTAAATATGCAGAAACCTACCATCTAAGCTTTTCTCTCTTTACACCAGGCCCTACTCCATCATCATGGGAGATTGAAGAGGCCTTGAAAGAACACCTATCCCCTCTACTCAATGTATTTTCTCCTATTAGCAATTTCTCGGTTGATACCCAAGTGCAAGTTTACGCTACATTTTCACCAACCGGAACACCCCCTGAATACGACGAGAGTAAAGCTGCGTGGACCCTTAAACAGGATGATTTGAGTGGATTCATCAACGCGGCGGAATGGCCTCTCAGTCCAAGTATAGGCGGTGGACCAACCATCAACTTCATCCTTTACGTCCCATCACCGGCTCAATCACCACTCGTGGTTAAAGAGAACACCGCCACAAGCTGGCTTATCCCTCAATGGGGAGGGGTGGCCATTCTCAATCCTCCATTATCTAAGGACTCGGAGGAGCAGCAGAACCCACATCACCTTTCCCGTGAGGTCCTAAAGCCTGCCATTGACACTTTTTCACATCAACTCCTTACGCTTCTTGGCACTCCTACCTCGCCACCATCTTTACCACTACGTCTTCAAAGCCTGATCCGGATCCATACCGCATCGCTACTCCTATCGGCATCATCTACAATGGGTTCCCTTGCCCGCCTCACACTCTCGCTCCCTTCTATACCCATCCCTGTTACCGTCGCAGATTCCGTCTCTCATACGCTATCCCGTCTTTCTTCAACTTGCGAAATGCTGCATCAGGGTGCCTTTGAATCAGCTTTGGCTAATGCCAGAGTCGCCGAGAAGGAAGCCGAACGTAGCTTTTTTGAGAAAAGTATGGTTGGCCAGGTATATTTCCCAGATGAACATAAAGTAGCTGTGTATCTTCCGCTTTTAGGACCAATAGGGGTTCCACTGGTACTGGGGTTGATTAAAGAGGTAAAGAGAATGTTGCTTAGTTTGCGATCGAAGTCGTGAGACAGCGAACTCAGGACATACAGCTTTCGTATAGTAAATAGTAATTAACAAATATAAGATGATTGAAACGCTTGTTAAATTTAAAACTCAAGTTCTAGATGTGTTATGGTCTATAAACCAGATTAAAATGCATATATACAGTAGAGGCCCATATTCTTCTGATGGAAGTCTATGGTATTTTGAATTATGCTTCAACAACCCCAATTCTAAGGCCAACTCCAGAAATAGATCCCAGTAGTATGTCAAACTATATCTGCTTTAAAGGGCTGCCTGTGGAAGTTTTCGAGATTGGCGGTGGCGGTGTATTCGAAACGTGGTAGCACGGACTTCCTCTGCCATTTTGAAACCCAACCCGCTCCATCATTTCGGTGAAGGTGGTTGGTGGTCTTCCAGATGCAGTTAAACCAATGGAAGGCTTCAATCGATTCTCATCTCCCAGGTACACTGGGCTGTATACCTTGATGCTTTCTGTGCTTGAAGCTCGTTGTGGAAATGCCTTATTTTGGGGAGTTACCGGCATCGGTGGAACTTCAGACGGAGGTGGGTCAGTTATGACAGAAAACTTTGGTGCAAAGAGGCTCTTGACTCGGTCACTTGTGCGTTGGATGCGTGACCGACGGTTGTCGAACTTGTTTGACCCGTGGTAACTTGCTTGTTGTCGTAGGAAGTCCGTTCTAAAGGAATCCTGTGCGCTAGATGGCATGGGGTCCGATATAGAGATCACGGTACCGTCCACGGACTTTTGTCGGTAATGCCCAGCATCAGGATGCAGAGATTGAGGTTTTTCGGCCGATTTTCTTCTCAGACACGTGAATATTACGCTAATTATGATTCCACAGACAATTCCAGGGACGAATCCCACTGCAATTGCGCCGGGCGGGAATTTACTGCACTGCTCTGCGGTGGGTGAAGTCGCTGGGTCCGCTGTTGATGTAGGTTTAGATGTAAAGGATGGGGCAGTCGTTGGAGAAATTGATATTGATGCCGAAGGAGCGGGTTCTGGTGAGCGGACAGGCTCCGAAGACGTATTAACGAGCACACAGCTCTGATCCTGGCAAGCATAGCCATGTGGACAGCACATGCTACCGCATTTCGGAAGATCTCCCGTCAATTTAGTGGTTTTGATGGAGCTACCTGGATCTACTGCGACGTTTTGCAGTTGAACATCACACGTTATTGGCCGGATGGTTTTGCAGTCAGCTCCCTTGGGGCAGCAGATGACCGTGCTTGCATTATCGATAACCAAGCAGTCCGAGTTTTCTGAACAGCAGAAGTTTTTAGGAACATTAGGATTTCCACATTGTTTGAAGCCTGCTTTGGCACATATTTGTTCACGAGGGAGGAGGCCGGGAACCGAGCCGAGTTTTAAACTGCTAGCTGTACCGTAGCAGTAGAAGAAGGAAAGGTAGAGCGTAACGAAGTGTGACTTCGATTTCACCATCGCAAAGAGTTGTGCTTGGATATCGTTTATTCGGTGGGATGCTCTGGGTGGGAAAGCGATGTTATGTATGGCAAACGGAAAAGGTGCGATGTATAATATAAAAGAAAAATCACGGTGAAAAAGTGAGAGGTCTGTACCAGCAGGACCAGGGATAATTAAAGGATGTAAGCAGTTTATATTGAAAGATCTCCAAAGACAGGCTGAATGAATGGCGAATGAATGGGTATAGAGCAAGATGGAAAAGGGGGAACATTTCAGGAAGGACAATAAAGAAGGGGAGAGTCCCTGGGGTTATATGGCTACAACCCCTAGTGAACTCTCGCCAGAACTGGGCCTATTTAGAATCTTCCTCAAGGATTTATCCATGGTATTTTGATGATGGGCGGCTAGAGGTTGTCTCTTTTCGAGGCCTCCCTCCGTCCCCTGGCGCCGTGAAGAAGTGGACTATGCAAGTATGCCTGCCAGTAGGTCACATTGGCCGGCGCGAAGTTGAAACTTTCTTCGTATGACAAGTGTGAGTCCAGCCCGGGGGGTAGAGCCCAGCAGAAGGCGGGAGCGCATCTCGAGTTCCAGGTCCGCCGGCTCCATCGTCGATGGTTGGCCTGCAGCTGTCTGTCTCGCGCTGTCTGTTGCTATTTTCCTCCCTTGGGCGTCTCGAGTCGTCGCGAAGTTCAGTGCGCCTCACGCTCTGATTGGTCGGAGCTTGTACATGCCGGCGCTAACTTTGGATAAACATTTTTCCGCTTCCCGGCTGCATTTCTTCAAAAAGTTCCCAAAAAGGAAAGAAAGATAGCAAAAAAAGGTCGAAAAGGCAGCGTTTTGGTGTTGATTCGTTCTTTGATACGCCGGCTTAGTTCCAATTGAGAGTGCTTTACGGGGGAGGACAGTTAATCATGATATTCCAACGGTCGATACGGCAGCAGGCCGGTCTGCTGGCCTCTGCATCTCGGGTTTGTCCAGCCGTTTCCTCTGGGTTGCATTGAAAATTGAGCATCTGCTAACCAATGCGAATATTTATATGCAGGGCACCCTACGGCCCCAGGTCCAGAGCAGAGCCTTCCACCGCGTCCCCCAATTAACACACAGCACCCATTTCCAGGAGCATGGCGTACCGGGCGTCCTCTCTCCAGAGGGTTACAACCTTGCCTGGGTACAATATCAATCGTACCTAGTTCAGAAGCTCAACATGCTCACCGGAGGTTAGTCTTTAGCTTATATTCCCAGTCAAATGGAGAACGGGAGGTTTGGACTTGGAAGCTAACCGCGACTTGAAGGTACTGCGGATGAGAATGTTGGCCCAGGAACCCTTTTGATCAAATATGCTCGCCAGGCCAGCATGGCTTCTCTCTTTAACTATGCCTCCATGGCGCACAACAACCACTTCTATTTCAATTGTCTAGTGGGTCACCGTTTCTCTTATACCGCATCCATTTTAAACTTGGATTCTAACGCAGGTACAAATCACAGTCACCTGAAGCCGTCCCAATCCCAGGAAAGCTCGAAGAAGCTATCACAGAATCATGCTCCTCCGTCGAATCCCTCAAAGAAGAATTCATTGCGACCGCCAACGCTATGTTCGGACCCGGATTCGTTTGGCTAGTTAAGATGAAAGATACCGCCCAATTGAAAATCCTAGCAACCTATATTGCCGGCTCCCCATACCCCCAAGCACACTTCCGACGCCAACCAGTAGACATGGCCACTCAAACTACCGGAATAACCGGTGGTGAGAACCTTGAGGCTGTGGGCCGAATTGCGTCCCGAACATACGGTTCCATGGGACCCTTTGCACAACAGAAATATCTCGCTCCTGGCGGCGCCGATATTCACCCGATTCTCTGTGTGAACACTTGGGAACATGTATGGCTACGGGACTGGGGAATTGGTGGCAAGGCTGGATATCTAGAGGCATGGTGGGATAAGATTAACTGGGAAGAAGTTGCTCAGAATTATAAGCAGGCTGGGCCGGAGTCATCGTTTGACACGAGTAGGAAACAGAAGCCGTTCGGATCACGTTATTGATGGGGTTCTTGGGATGTTTTCTGCCATGTATTATACACCTGTATTCTTTTATCTAACTCTAGAAAACGGATATATATCTTTCTATCCCCAGTGGACCCCATGTCCACCTAGCCGCCATGGTATTTAAATGGCTCTATATGCAACAAGATCAAAAGAAACTCCCAAATGCTACCCAAACGAAGAATATGCGCATATAGATTTCATTTCACCTCCTCCCACCTTCAATCATCCGCTTCTCAAACGCCTCAATCATCAACCCTGCCATTTGATTTTCGACCGCTGTCATCATAGCTGCGTGCAAGGGGCTCCGGAATTGAAAGCGAACGGTCAAATCAACCTTAGTCCTTTCATTCCCATTCGAGCCCGTTTTCAACGGCTCCAGCTTCCAAATAGTGTCCAAATGCTCAAATATGCACTCCCCTTTTGAACCGCCGCTCGCCTGCTTGTGTTGTAAGGCAATATCACCGCTTCTAGCTCCCACGAACCACTTGGTCTCATCACACTCAACTTTTGACTCGAATGTTTCGCTAAGCGGCCCGTACCCAATTGTTAGGTATGCGCGCGTGGGGAATCCAGTTTTGGGATCGCGAGCAGTCACTTTTGACTCTGTAAGGAAAGGAAGGAAATCTTTGTAGGCATCTATCGAGGAGATTGTTTGGAAAAGAGGCGATGGGCCGAATGGAAGCGTACGGGTTGCTGAAAGGCTGCGTGGTTCGGGCGCGGAGAATTGCGGTGCGAATGAGGATAGCGATGGGAGGTTGAATTGTCTCTTCTGTGACTGGGATATTATAAAGGGCCTGGTAGAGATGGCCTTGTATTGCGACCTGGTGGCCGTTCTCAACAGCGGTGCCAGAGGAGCCACCCGCATAGCTTCAAGGTTGACACACAACTGCTAACCCAGTTATATTTCTAAAGATGAAAATAACACATTAGCATTAGGCCATCGGCAATTGTATGGGTATGTCGGTGTTACCTGATGATTGTTATGCAATATGTGTCAATGTCAAGAAGTTGAGTGCTCAGGGTTCAAATTTAACTAGTGCCGGCATTTTGCTAGATACGAAGATGCAAACTGCTAGTTAAATAGTCAACCATGCCTACCAAAGCCGACCAACCACCAAACATAGGAAGGAGGATTGAAGCCAACTGTTAAGAAAAAGAAAGCCTTTGTATTGCTATTCATATTTGAAACTAACGTGGATTCTATAGTTAACTAAGCCTAACAAAAGCGTTACCCAATAATTTCCGCGTTCATGCTGACCTTGCCCTCGAAATTATATATAATGACCTTTGAGCTCTCTAGCGTATCTTCAAGAACGATATGATACTCCTCATCGGCATATAGAGGGTGTGTTGCTCTGTACTTGATGCTCTCCGGAACGATCAATTCTGGATTTTTGTCGTCGTCCTTTCTTGTCTCTCTCCAAAAACTGAGCATAGATATCAAGTTCAATGGACCATGGACCACTATATGTTTATGCCCTTCAACATCTTGAGCCCATGGCATCGAATAATGTATTTTGTGTGGATTAAATGTAAGCGCAGAGAACCGGAATAAGGTCACCGGTGACTGCTTCAGGCTGAGTCTGTAGATATTACCCGTTGAAGTTGGAGGAATAGGGGATCCTTGTGAGCCTAATGTGTCACTGGCAAAATGCTTCGGCTTTAGGGGTGCACTCCCTAAGGGCTGAGCTTTGAGAGCTTTGCGAAATACCCAGTTGCTAGAATATCAATCAGCCATAATAGCCAGGTACATACGCGCCTCTATTAAAGACACCACAGCGGATTACGTACCGTTTATCTACTAAAGCAACTCCATTTTCATTCTCAAATACCTTTTCCACACCGACGACAATCATCTCATCTCCGGTTTTCTTGATAATCTTTGGCTCGGCACTCAGAAGCCTTGTTGTCTCGGTCGCTTCTTGGCCAACCCTAAGCAGATTCGGCCGTCCATCACCTTTACTCCGTGGCCATATCATCTCTCCGCCAGCCCACATTCTCCTTGTAAAAGGGGGATCCGGGTTATAAGATATATCTGTCCCATCAGGCCCAAGGTGTTCTTCTAGAAACTGAGGAGTAAAGTAGACCAAATGATAGCCAGGTGGGATTGGAGTTCCTACAATTGGCGCAGATAAACACTGGCTTGCTGCCTGAGAAGGAGGAACAGATAGAGGCGGATACCCCGGGTATAAGTGGTTTTTGTTTAGCGTTAGAGAAAGGAGCTGCAGTTGGTTTGCGTCTAGAACCTGTTTCCGCTTTTGAGGCCCGATGGATTGAAATTTAGCGAGAAATTTGCCTGCTATGTCCGATGCAGAGTCCTCTTGTGCGCCTGTAGAGTACGGCCGAGTGTCGTATTGGGTATCATGTCTAAACGCTTTGAAAACGTGGATAAGACATGGAGTTGCTGAGCCTAGCCGGAGAACGCTCTGTTTGAGACAAAGCATCGCCAATCCAACTTAATTCAATTCAATGAAGTTATACCACCTGTTAGTTGAGGGAAGTAGAAAGTGTATTTCTAGGCCAAACTACAAGATTTGGACTTGATACCTTGTCGTTTGCTTTGTTGTTTATAACTTGAGAACGACGTTGGTTGCTTTCTGGGATTTTGTGTTGATCTTCGGCAACTCGATTCAAGCCTCGGCACCCGCAAGGACGGGACGATCCATAGTTGCTTTAACTCTATGCTTAACTACCTTGTTCTATCATCACCTCCTTAACTACTAACTAGTACTTGACAACTCTTAACTGACGAGAAGAATGAAAGAAAGTCTATGGTATATGGCAACAACATATAAGAATAACCCCTATCCAAGCAAATATCTTGACTGTGGTCAAGATTGGACATCACATCAAGAATCGAAAGACCGTCCAGCGATAAATAAAACAAGCAGAGGACAGCTCCCGGCAGTCCGCTGTTCAGCAAAAGTAAAACAGAAAGAAAGAACAGCAGTATTAAGCGAGAGTGTAAAAGAAGAAAGGTATAAGACAAAAAAGAAATCCAGTTAGTATAATCCATCCGTCAACCCATGATTGTAAAAGCAGTGCATGTGTTTTCTTAACCATCCAACCAATCCCATTCCTCCGATCCATATCTATCATGATCCAGTCATTATCGCATGTAACAAAAGAAATTAGTAATAAAGACAAGCCTGTAGTCGTATTCCTTCATGACTGGTATTAAAGGAAAATGGTTAGTTTCCAAGTTTCTTTTAATCCTTGGTTAGAGGTAGCCAAGTCGTGTGGCCTCTCGCTTTAGGCCTTCGTGGATATTTCTCAGTGTCGGGAATTCTGCTTCCAAATTGCGTAGGACACGTTCACTTCGGTCCTTTTTTGCTAGTAATAGAGTTCCCTCCAGCCGCTGGATTTCATCCTGGAGAAGCTTGTGGGAGTCGTACAGGGAGAGTGAAAGAACTTCTTCAGAGTACTGGCGGAGGCGGATGAGTTGCGTCTCAAGTGCGGGTATATTGTTGGTAGCCGACGAATTAGGATTTGAAGGTAATGTCAATGATGTTGAACGGGGAGTCGAGACTGATGTAGCTGGGGCCCCGCTGAGGAGTGCATTACCTAGGGTGCCGGGATGATGGTGCGGCATTGGCTGTTGTCTAGAGTTGGGGAAAAATCCGAATGAAGGGGCAAACTGATGTAGCTGAGTGTTGTTTGCCTGGTAAGGAAGCTGGCCGTATGCCTGAGGTTGATGATGTGTTTCGGGATGTGTCATCAAAGCCACGGTGTCACTATTGCTATCACTCCTAGAGTCCCTGTCGTACCGAGATGCGTTCCCAATGGCTGTGCTACTCGTGAGTGAGACTGGTTCTTTTTCCCTCGTGCTTGCAAGAGTAGCTAGGGCTGTCATCCCGCCATCATTCGACATCGACTTGCGAGACATAGTAGACGGCGAGGTCATAGTAAAAGGCCCGCTGGAGTAGGAACCACCGCCCTTAAGCGGGGGAAGAGATAGCTGGTCGTCACCGGAGGAAGTTGTCTGTGTAATGTAGTTGATCCCAAGGAGAGTCTTGCCAGGAGGTATATCAGAATAAGGCTTAGGAGTGGTATCACGAGATATAACAGACGTTCTTCGCATCTTGAATCGATCATGAGGTGTGCCATCCGGAACTACCTCAACCGTAGATTCTCTTCTTCCATGAAGGAGAGGTGAGTCGGCCAAATCAGGGGCTGAGAAAGCTGGAAGAGTGATGGAAGAAGCTGTAGCACGGCGAGGTGGTGCGGATAACAAAGATGGCTGGATGGTCGAGGACGATGAGAGGGGCCGTTTATGAGATCTGACGGCGGGTGGCGATGTGAATGCAGGTGATGCAGGAAGGGCTGGCGTATTTCTCTGTGCAAGGATTGCCCTGATCAGCCGCAACTTTCGCGGAGCCTCTCCAGAAGACAATTACTCACCTTTTTCTGGTCAAAAACATTGTCTGTAAACCCCATATTTTTCCCCCGCGGGTCTCCCGGTCGAACTCTGCGTTTCGATGCGGGCTTTTCAGCTTTGACGTAAGGGGAAGCAAAATGGCAGCACTAGGGGGAAGGGTGTATTAGTTTATTATGGTTTGTATGATTTTGATACCAACCAGACCATAGTTAGGCGGTTCTCTGACGAAAATTTGCCCAGCCTGATGCCCCAATAACAAGGCAGGAATGGGGGAGACACAAAACGGAGAAAAAGAAAGGAAAGGGTCTTTCTCTTACTCGACAGTTGCAACTCTCTAAGCATTTTGGACATATCCATAGTCCTGGGTGGCGCATGACATCTGCGGATGCCATGTCAAAGTGACGGTACAGTCCGCGGTAGCAAAAGAAGGCTGAACACTTATCGCAGCGTCTGCCCTTCCATTCTAGATGATCGCTCCTACAAAGGTGGCACAGTTTCACTGCCATGCTCTGTCTGGCTAGCATCAGTTCGTTTACCGCCGTACCTAAGGTTTTGCGCTGATCCGGAATACGGGATCCTTCAGAGGATTTGCTTATGCTGTATCCAAGTATAGATTCTGCCCTTTGTACAACACGCGAGCATACCTCTTGCGGAACTATCTCAGCCCATGAATAGCTTGAAGGGTGTTCGCAGCTGCGACCGCTCAGATAGCACATGAGACAGAGGTCAAAATCCTGACATTGGTTGCAGCGAAGATGGCGGTTCCAGATGGCGGTACCACAAAAATTGCAGGTTGCTATGGCTGTCTCGGGTATAGGGACAAGGGTGACTGCCGTCGCAGGACGACCGTCAATTGTCTCATCCTTTGCCATTTGATTGAAGAGCCTGGTAAGAAGGGGTAGATCTGGAGGAATAGTGGCAGGTTGATCATCGCGAAGCAGAGACAACATGGCACAGGCCAGTGAGAGGTTTGATCGAGCAACATCTGGATGGCACAAACGGTTAAAAGGAGGTTGTACATAGTGCAGCCCAGCATCCAGGGATAGCGGATGTAGGATGTTCCACACCACTTTCGTTGAAACCTTCCCAAGGTTCCAAACTTGGTGTGCTGTTGCGGGAGGAAAGACAACAAGGTCTCCGGGCCATTGTTCACAGACGTAAACGGGGAAATTTGCGTTCTTGAGATCCTCTGGCCCCAGGTTCAGCCAATCGACGTGGGGTGACGCACCGCGAGCGGCCATAAAGTTATCGTATTTTTGTTGGGAGCTGAAATCAGTTCCAAAACAGAGAACCGGCTGATCTAGGTCCGTAATATCAACAAGTGTTAGCTCAAGACTCCGGTGTTACTGTGAGGTTGATATTTGAGCAACGGGGGAGATAACTTTACCGCCATGGTCAACTAGTAAATTCAAAGCTACCGTCGAGGAAAAGCACCGGTGGAAACCAGATCTGTATCTCAATATCATCAGTAGGGAGGCAAAAGACGCAAAAATATATCAAGGTTTGGCGTAAAGAATGTACTAACGAGGAGCCTTGAGAACCAACATAGGCCATCATAACTTCACTGCGGGCGCATGATGGCAACCATTGGAACAGGTCCAGCCTGCCGCCCCATTGAACCTCAGGAGGGAGTAGTCTCTTACACTGCTCCAACCAGGAATCTGGACAACGCAGGTCTCGAGCATAGAGGTTTCTAAACTCCCGACAAGACTGTCGAGACGCATCGGCGAATTTCTTGAGAGTGAAGCTGAGATCTCTGTTTGTGCTGCAGTTCCGAATAGGAATATCTAAAGGAGGAGTCAAGCTAGTTAGCAGAAATACTCATATATATGGTGCTGCAAAGCGAAGGATAAGAGACAATACTTTTTTTCGTGGAATGTTCGATTAAGCCTTCAAGGGAGAACAGCCTTTGATTCCATTCAGGCAGTTTATCAAAATCCTGTATCACGAACGGCTTGCCATCTTGCAATCTTGCTGATAGCCAGCCAGAAAAATGGCCTAGAGCAGCTTGCTCAAACTCCCCAGTATTCTGCCCCGGCACGTCTAGTTGAGATGGCGCACCGTTTTCACCAGGCTTTTCGTCCGCGAAGGCCTCCTGCTTTATGTCGAGTATAGAGTATCGAGGGAATTCAATGAAAGGTTTCCCGTGGGCAAGCAGCTCAGCAGCATTGACCGAGGTAGGGATAGAAGTATTAGAGGTAGACATTCGGGCCAGCGAGCCATTGATATTGTTGGTGCTATTCGTTGGCGGAACGGTCATGGTCTAACGGCGCAAGAAGCCGCATTTGCGGAAGAGAAGAAAGAAACTTGGAAGGTGAAGAGGGGAGAGCCCGGTTAATCAACAGTCCATTAAACGCTGTAGATAGCCTGGCTTTTTAGGTAGTAAATCCAGCTCTACCGATGAACTAGAGAGTCAAATGCCGGGTATATCTCGAGATCGAAGTAACTAGATACACCAGGAACAAAAAATAAAACGGAAAGGAAAAGGATTGCGATCTCGAACCTTGTCAGATTAATTCATATGCTATATACTGAGACAGTCAGTCAATGAGCAGATAGAGGACGAGCGTCATCTTCAGCCTGACTTTCGGGCCGTTTTCCTCTCTATATTTGCTTCCTGAACGAGAGGGGGGTGGTGGGATGTGTGGATGAGATCTAATTGATTTCGTATCGCAGCGGAATGCAAGCTGCCAAAGCCTCTCCCATGGAAAGAATCCAGAGCCAGAGATAGCGCGTATGAGAGAGCATGAAGCCTGCTTTTGCAGCTTGCAGAATGCGATTAGTAACTCGCTTCTCGTCCTTCCTGCTCCATTCAACCTGAACTCCGTACTTTTTTTCGCACCAGAAACACAGGTATAATCAAAAACCCTGTCCCGGGGAAGCAAATTTGCGATACGGCCTGAGGTCCCATTGGACTACGGGAGGAGTCACCCGGCTCCACCTGCCATCATCGTGCAGCTCGCGGCGGCCAGTTGGGCGCTGGTGATGGGAATTATGGGCACATCCATACAGGTTCGATGCCTGTGGTGGCTCACGGCCATCTGCAAGGCTTATTATCTGGTCGAACCAGGGGCTGAAGAAACAGGAAAGTAAAAATAATAGGTCGATGATGAATATGTGGGAGTATATAGACATCAGACAAGGCCGGACAGATAAAGCAAGGGACCACGAGCAGCATGGTCACCGCGAGTAATAAATGACCGGGGGCTTCCCCCCTACTTTCACACATCCCTTCCCAGCGTCAGCTTGAAGGATCTGATGGAGGCCCCTGCCTTCAGCGTGAGGCTCAAGAAACCTTCCAATCTGCTGGAGAACACGAGCGAAGCCATGTATCGAGTAAGTATACATGGCGAATCCGGGTTGAACAGGCTAAGGAAAAAACGAGAGTTACGGAGCACTCCATAGAAGCCATGGTAGAAGAGGGTATTTTCTTTTTGGCACATCAGACGGGGTCCCTGTCGATGGGCTGCTGGGCCATTCTTCAGCCCGCCTAAGCGATCATGCACGACACAGCTCTGATGACGGGCGTTACCTTGCATCTCCGAGGATGCAGACGCAGCCGGGCTTGGTGTACGGATGTAGAATAGTAATCACGGCCGCCAGGGATCTTGTATAAAGGGTCCTCAGCCTGTAGCTATGGTTATCTCCAGTCAGCAGAAGGGCCGCGATGAGAGAGAAAGGGTCCTGAATAAGACGGCGTCGATGATTTGACGTTACCCGCTGCAGCTCTGAGGCGCCCGCGACACGCAGCCCTGAATCATCTCCGGCCGTCCACTCGCTGCTGGACAACGCCAACCTGCTCATCTCTTGTCAGCTGCAGGAGACATGTCTTGTAACTTGTCAGGCTGGCTGGCTGGTCCGGCCCGTGGCTGCAGCGCATCCCGCGCGGCGCAGAGTTGGATGAGTTTCGAGAAAAATTTCAAATCGCTCCGACTGATTAATCGTAAAGTCAGACTTGACTCGGTGACTTTAGGTGAAAATCGCCAGCTGCACGGGAACATGACATGCATCGATGAAACGAAGGACCGTCCGTATTCACAGATCACAGTCTTCAGGGAGGATGAATGGCGGTTAATAACTTGATGATATTTGTTACATTTTGTCATTGATGTGCATGATTTGCTCATGCGCTGGTTAGCTATCTTGTTTTTTTGGTGGTAGCTGCCGTCTAACGTCCTTCTAAGTACCAGATAACACAACAACCAATATTCAAGTACAAGATGCCACCAGAACTCCCGTAGATTGAATTGAAAAAGACGTAAAGGAAAAGAAAAAAGACACCCACAGCTTGCGCACCATAAGCATTTCGACCTGTAAGTAAAAAAAGAGATGATAAAAGCGTAGCAGAAGAGAAATAACGCCCCCGGCCTCTTATAATCAAGGATTCAACGCCGATGCTAAGTTTAGAAAGAAGAAGGAAGAAAAGAAAAGAAAAAGGTAGCAACCATGTCATCAATATGTAGGGATATGCTGAGACAAGGGGACGATCGAGATGATACGTGTATTCCCCTGGATGCACGCAAGTCTCGGAAGAAGCGTCATAGATTAAAACGGTGATAAGATCGAGAAATATTCTCAGCCTCACGGGCATACGGAGGGAATCATTTTTAAAAGTCATTCGTAATCATTCTCGTGAATCTCATCGGAGAGAACGGGCTGTATATTATCCCGTATGGATGGGCGGATAGCCCCCCCCCCCCATGCTCTCCGTCAGGGATTGCCATTGACTCAGGCTGTGGGGGGACAGCCGCTCGAAGATCAAACGCTCATATTCAGTCAGCTCGACGGGCTGACTGGCCAACTAGCTGCTCGAGCCTTTGTTGTAGTTCCAGAGGTGACGCATCTCCGTCGCCCACCAGCTGGCAACCTCATCAGCCTCCTGGAGCCACTGTTTCGCAGCCGCGCCGTGTTTGGATTTCACGGCCGGGAGGAGATAGCTGACTCGCCAGCCAGTAAGAACGTCGAGTTCGTTTGGATCGGTGCTGAGATCGCTGAAGATGTACTGCGACTGGCCGTCAAGCGGGATTATGACTCGCCATGGCGTTGCTGCGGACGATACTGAGATCATCTTCCCGCCTGCATTGATGATCGCAATGTTCCAGGACTGACGGCCTTTGTACTCTGACCTGAAGGGACGGATGAGAGACTGGCCCTGGTAGTCATGGATCAGGTCCTGAGCGATGGACGTGTCATGAACATCGAGAGACTTGGAGTTCACGAGAAGGTCGAGGATTGTAGGAAGGACGCTCATTGAGGTCGCGTTTGCTTCCACGTTGATGCGAGGAAGAAGCGGATGGCGGAAGACGATGGGGACGCGGAAGTTGCTGATGTGGCCGTTCTGATAAGTGCCCTGGACTGGGGAGTCTTCCTCGAATGCTTGCCCACTGTGATATCCCTTGTCAGCTTTTCACCGTTGCACGGCGCTCACGGAAAGGGACTTACTGGTCTCCCAGGACAACAACCAAGGTCTCATTAGCTATACCCTTTTCGTCAAGAATACCCAATATCTGGCCCAGCCAGGCATCATCGTATCGCATGGTGTTTAAATAATTATTCATACGGTCATGGTCTGCTTTCCCCTTCGAACCAGTATACTTCTCACGGTCAAATTCATATGGAAGCTTCCACGGATGATGAGTAGTACTGGTGAAGTGAGAGAGGAAGAGACGCTCGTTTTTTTCTAAAGCCTCGTCAATGGCATCGCTGATGCATGGCTTCACTTCGTCGTCAGGGTACCTAGCGAAGATAAATGTCAGCTTCAACATTCCTGTTTGCTATATAGGACAGGGAAAAGGCTTACCCGAAATAGTTCAGCTCAGGGTGCTTGGGAGGATAGTACTTCGAAGTTGGATCTGTCAAAGTCTCTTTCACGATGAAGTCTGACAGCCCAAGCTGCCTGTTCAACTTGCCCTGTCTATCATAGCTATCTGTCGACGCCTGTATGAACTTGGACCTCCACTTCCGCTTCTTAACATCGGGCACTTTATTGGGCGTGCTATCATTGCCTACTGCTCTCCCCTCGAGGCCGTCCTTGGCCTGGTTAAACAGATTCAATATATGCGGAATGCATGGCTGGTATACTTTTGTAGTCACCTCTTCCAGAAAATCAACAGGCAGCGGGAAGACTCCGCAGTGACTGCCTAGAAAGCTTTTGGCCGATAATGTGCTTCCCGTCACGGCACCCATGATGTTGATGCCTCCCATTCCTGGGGCTGCGGAATCCTTCCATATGCCGTATGGTATCCCAAACGCAGTCTGATTTTCTTTGGTCTTATTCCAGAAGCCCTCGCCAGTAATCTGGTGGGCAACCGGAGTCAACTGGGAAAGTAGCTTGTTCTTTTCCTTTTGATCTTTGTCATCATTGGACTCAAGTATAGCCTTATGCAGAAACGAGCCTTCATGCATAGGGAACAGGTCTTTGCGTGCACTTTCCATGGTGATTAGCAATACATGGGAAATCAGGACTGATTCCTTTCTGAATACCTCTTCCAGGCCTTTGTATACCCCAAGATCTAGGTTAGTGATGCGCATGGGATCTGCAACAGGGTTATAGTAGTACGTAGACGAAACATTCTTATTGCATTCTGTTGAGTTCGATGTGGTATTTGAATGTTCGTTCTTTGATATTGCGGCCCATCGATGGAACCCATCCGGGAGAGTGGCTGGGAGCCACTCTGGACGACGGTTGCGGTAGCTTCTGATCATATCGTTATCTGGCCCTGGTGCCCAGCCTTTGAAGTTGCCGTTCGGCGTCTCCCAGTAGACTGGTGTGGTGAGGTTGGAAAGCGGGAAAGCCTCGATGTGCGAAGAGCATTTGCCTGAATCTGAACTCGAATATGAATGCGAGTGAGGCCTTGAGAACATACGTAGCATGGCTACTGGGATAGTGGTTGACATTAACTCATAAGGCATTGATGGCCGGATTATTTGCAGGATGACCAGCGTCACAAGAGCCACAGATAAGCACACCGGCTTGACTCTGATGCCCGCTTTCTGTGATTGTTCATGCTGATTTCGCACTGTTGGTAGTATCGTCTCCCACTTTGGGCCCACGAGCATCCTCCAAACTCCTGATATCCAATACCCAATCCTATTGTAAAGGAATGGTGTCGAGATCCAGCTCAACAGCAACAGCACAAACCCCGAGACTGATACTTGGAGCAGCCCACTGAGCATTATCCGTATAGCGGCAGGATCTGAGGCAACATTCCTCGCATTATCCCACTGCATCTCGGTTCCAGTGACATAGTAAAAACCCATCTGTGACGAAGCTGCCAGGAAAGTAACCGCCCTAGAGAACAGTTGGTTAGCACGGAACTGAAACGCATACCTACTGAAAATAAAATACATACGAGAGAAAGCTCCCCAGCACTAGACCGATGGTCGGCAAGGCACCACCACTCCCGCCATGGAGTAAAACACGACCGACCAGCGCAACTAGGCCATCCGAAATGAATAGCGTCGGAAGGAAGACGATGAAATGCAATAGCGGAACAGAGCCAGCGAATTGTAGTAAATGGAGGCACTTCGAAGCTATGAGCGAGACAACCAGCAGCGAGAATGCAAGCGCACGCGACGGCCTGAACGGAGGGATATTCATATTCAATTAGTGAGAGAGGATTCAGGCCGCCGGCACATCCTCTGATCCTCTGGAATAAGACAGAAACCGGGATACCATGCGGCGTATATTAAGTTGAAGCGGAAGCAGCAGAAGAAGAATATAGAAGAGGAAGAAAAAAGAAGTGGCCGCAAAAAAGCGGCAAAGTCGGAATTATAAATGGAGGAAGATGAACACCGAAATAAAGAGAGAGAAGTCACCAGATAAAGGGAAGGAGACGAGCAACTGTGGTAGCGTTGACTAAGAGTTGATTATGAAGAACCTCTCGAGCCAAAAAATCTCGAGTTCCGAGAGGCGAGAAGTGGCCTGCCAACAAAAGTGGGAGGATTCTATTAACTTAGGTGTACTATGGAGTCACTTCACTGTTTCTCCACCAGCGTAATCTCAGACAAGGCATATCCTCTCTCCCATTAACCATTCATACGGCATACTCCGGCTGCAGCTGCCAGCCGTCTGGCTGGCCCTTTCTCTGTCAGCGCGCAGCGCTTGTTTTACTCTGTGTTTTATGCAGCTGCTGTCCGCCGTCGGAGGGTCAGGGTGATACGGCGTATGTAATTAACACTTTGTCAGCAAATCACTGATTGATGACGATGACGACGACGCATGAATATCAAAACGGGTTTTGCCCAGCAAGTTTGCGGCGTCGAAGCACGCGTCCCATATCCCAATGCGGTTAGGCTGCTAAATAAGGTCGGCGGCCTTGGCGTCTTTAAATTTCTTATTTTGTTGTCGGCGCAAGGTCGGGGATATATTAATAGCCCACGGCATAACAACATACCTAGGTAACAACTACATCTACGTAGATTCCGATGGCCTGGGGAGGTTCGTGGAGGGCGCGGGCGGGGATAGAGGACAGAGCGGGCAGCGCGAGGTGAGTTCGTTGGGCGCGTTGTCTCAGAGAGCAAGCGAGAGAACTTACGAGTTGGCAGGGAAAAGACAAGGGCCCCTCCCAGCAAGGGCAGTACAGAGTAAACTAAGTAAGCAGCGCCCAGACTGACCAACTATTCGCTATTTATATTTCCCGAGACCAGAGGGTCAGAAGATAAGACCCGGGCGAGGGGGAAGAAAACCAGCTCACGGCCCCATGTTGGCTGGCCAGCCGTGGGCGAAGTCTGCCTGATCCGCAGCGAATGTACGGAGTAGTGCGTCTCAGCGAACCCGCATGAGTTATTGCGTTGGCCACCAAGGGGGATCATCGAAGCCTGCGAGATCATTAGCTTAGTCGGGTGGTGAGCCGATCTCTTGGTTGAAGTAAGGTACGTGACAATGCGCGATGTATTTTACGATAGAGTATAATAGGCGCCCGCCCGTGTGGGAGCTGCGCTGCCAAACTAAAATTAACACTCAAGTATCGCTGTGGGTAGTTCGGCGATGAGACATGTCCACGCGTTCGAGCCCCGTCTCTTTCAGCCCCTGTCAGCTAACCAGCCTTGCCCAGAGAAACTACGTGAGCGCTGTTCGGCTGACATTCCAACGTTGCATTATCGATTCTTATCGAAATATCCTGCCTGTTCTTCCTTTTGTGCGACTCGACTGCATAATCTTAGAGCGTGAACAAATGTCCTGCCACTCCCACACGGTTACTCCGTGTATGTTTAAGGTTGATGTCTGGGTCTGACAAAGACTTGGAGGGGCAGCAGTATCTAAAATACAGGATCATCGCGGTTACCATGGTATGATGATCATGCTATCTTGCTGTTTATATCAACTCCGCAAACTCGTTACCTAACGCCACCACTCCACAGCCGGAGTAGCCCAAAGCACGGAGTCCTCAGTGTACGGAGTTGTCAATTCAAGGGGCCGTCAGATGTACGCCGTGCTGGTAGGTGGTATTCTATACTCAGTCCTTCAGCTACCCCTACTTCTCTTCTTCAGTACAGTAACTACTCGCTCGAAACTCAAAGAAGGAGAAACCTCCTACATTAGGCAAGACGCGCCAGCGCCAAAGTGATGCACGTCATCGAGTATGACTCAAAGGTGACTCGTGCTGATATATAAAGCCACCCTTTCTCACCCACTCCGTTCAAAAACACATCACTGCTCTACGTCTTTCCTACGTACAAGTTAAAGGCTTCTACCTCGAAAGGTCACCATGGATCAAATTCAGCAAATCGCCCAAACGTACAAGGTGGCCGATATACGCTCCAGGAAATCCCTCTGGTATCGGCTACATGTATATATTTACGACCTTCGCAACTTTAAGACCGATAGTGCTGCAATGAATCGACTCGATAGCATCGTGGATATCACCTACCTAGGCAAACCGTATTTCAACGAAAAGGAGGTCGAAATCCTTAAAAATACTGTCTCTAATAGTAGCGGGAGTGAGACGCTTGCTCAGAAAACTGAATATACCCTAGATGAACGATTAAATCGCCGTATTAAAAAGCGTGTGGAGAGTAGCGACTTTAGGGTCTGCGCCGCTCATGATCTAGCACCTATATTCGAAACTGTTTTTGATATCCACCCGAAGAAGCTGGCTAAGAGCTCTGTGCTTCTATCGTTGATTAGTTCAAGAGGGCTAAGGCTTCAAGATGCGGATGATATTTCATGTATTCTGGGGCAAACTAAGCTACAAGCTCTTGCAGCGAAACATGGAACAGGCAGCAAGAAGAAGAGGGGCAGGTAGTTACTCTTGCTGCATGCTTTTAAGCATTCTACCTTTCAGGGATCTTCTCGGAAAGTCTTTTCTGAATTCCTTTGGAGAGGCTGAACATTGCCAAAGTTTGCTTAATTCGCCTATCTATAAGCGGAATTTCCTTTCATGCCGGGACTTCAGGTCGTTAAACGATTGCAGCCTGAACTTGCAAGGTGAAACTATCCTGCGATTGGCTTCTTGCTAAGGCACATTTGGAGGGACCTTTTCGAGTACCTTGGAGGTAGATTTGTACTAGTTTCTCTCACCAGAGATATACTGTATGGAGGATATCATCCAGACCGTATGGACGTCGCTTTGGTCGTCCGAGGCCATCGCCTACCACTCACGAAGAGCTGTCTCAGAAGGACATTAAGCTCCTTAAGTTTAGTCTGGTTAATGGAGAATACTAGGTAATAACCTCCTCGCTCTCGCTACTTCTTCGTTTTTCACGGTCCCTACAGCCCGGGTAAGGGCCCCCAGTATTGAAGCTCCGTTAAACGGACCTTTTATCCGATCTATCTCCACCTATTCCCCATGCATAGCTCATCTCCTAATTGACCCTAGCGATTATCCATAGTATATAGAACAGCGTAAAGGTTTAAAAACATGGTAACCAGGGCCCAAATCAAACAGGATTCCGGGCTCATTACTAAGGGTCCAAACCCCTGCCTACGTACAGGCATGCCTAATGAAACCAATTGGCCCCGATTATGGAAGAGATACGATATCATGCATGAACAAGGCCAGATTATATGTATGCATATTCAACATGTGCCTTGTTGCACAGAGTACAGCTGCTAGGATCGTTTCAACTTGACATATTTGAATGATGAGCAAGGAAACGCTCTTAATGAATTAATGACTAACTAGCTATATTTCAAAGTTATGTCAGGTTTATTTTTTGTCTCCTTTTTGCTTCTCTACCTTTTCGCAAGGGTGTGGTCCTTCATTACTCCGTAACATCTTATCCCGAACACATCTCCAGTCAAAAGTCTACAAGGACTTTCTGAGGGTCTCGATCTGCTTCAGGACAGCCGATCGACTGGTTCCGCCAATAGCTGACTTCAACTCAACAGACTTCTCGTAGTTGAACACCTCTAGGACATCATCACCCAGTCGCTCATCAACACTCTTGAACTGGGCAAGGGTCAACTTGTCCATGGGGATATTCTCCTTCTCTGCCAGTGCAACAACACGGCCGGAGATGTGGTGCGTTTCTCGGAATGGAACTCCCTTGCGAACCAAGTATTCAGCAAGATCAGTGGCAAGCATGTCGGGGCTAAGAGCAGCAAGCATCTTCTCGGGGAACACAGTAAGGGTTGCGAGGACACGGGTAGCAATCAAGATGCTGTCCTTGATGGTCTTCATGCTTTCGATCATTGGCTGAACACTCTCCTGTAGATCCTTGTTGTAAGTAGATGGGATGCCCTTGATAGTCATTGTTAGGCCAGCCATGCTACCGAATAGTCGTGCCGACTTGCCGCGAAGGAGTTCGAGAGAATCACCTGTACACCGTTAGGTTAGTAGACGCGTTATATATCAACCAGCAATGCAAATGGCAAGAACAAGTGCTTACAGTTCTTCTTTTGTGGCATCAGCGAGCTTCCGGTGGTGTATGCATCAGATAGCCTAACGAAACCAAACTCGGTGGTGCTATAGATGATCAAATCTTCACTCCAGCGAGACAAGTGTAGCATCAGAGTCGAGGCCCACTGTAGAGCTTCGAGGATGAAATCTCGATCTCCGACACCGGCCATGCTGTTCAAAATCAGTCCCTCGAAACCAAGCTCCTCAGCCATGGCGACTCGGTCGATTCCGAAGGCGTTTCCGGCAAGAGCACCGCATCCGAGAGGGCACTTATTGACGTGCTTTATCACCTCACGGAGACGTTCGAGGTCACCTAGGAAGGCAGAGCCGTAGCTAAGCATCCAATGGCTCCATCGTACAGGCTACATGAGAAGTATTAGAACTGAACAAGTAGATGTATATGCAAGTGCATGAATGCACCATACCTGTCCACGCTGAAGATGGGTATATCCAGGCATCAAATAGTCGATGTCCAAAGCAGCTCGATCCGTCAAGATGGTGAGCAGTTCAACAAGGAACTTCTCAGCTTCTCGAAGCTCGTCTCGAAGCCACATTCGCAAATCAGTGGCAACCTGATCATTTCGGCTTCGACCACTGCAAAGCTGCACATTAGCTCTCTTTCCCCTTTTATCTATCCTAAGGACGTACGTAGTATGGAACACCTACGTATGAAGCTTGCCCGCAATGTCCTTCCCGATAATCTCACCCAACCGACGCTCGTTGGCAGTGTGAATATCCTCGTCTATGCCATGCTGAATAACGAATTTATCATCCTTCCACTCCTGGAGGACCTGGTTCAATCCCTTTTCAATGGCAGCGAACTCCTCCTGTGTGAGAATGCCGGTTCCAACGTTGGCGCGGGCAAAGGCGATAGAGCCTCTGATGTCCTGGGCATAAAAGGCTTTGTCGAAGTTGATTGATTCGTTATAGGTGACCATCAACGGGTCGAGCTCGCCTGTTAACACTCAGGTTGTCAGCATCACCGCCTGTAATATATACTATAGAAGATCATTCCGGGGTAAGGGACGCCCAAGGTGGGCTGCTCTACCGTTAACTCACCGGAGAATCTCCCACCCCAGAGCTTGGTTGCTTTCTGTGCTGATGCCATGGCTTGTGTTCTTTCTTCCTTCTCGCGGTGTATGAGTGTCAATTGATAGCTGGATGGATGTTTCCCGAGCCCGCGCAGCCTGGCTCTTATATCTGTTCTGTTGCTGGTCGTGCCTGAACTTGTCGACTGGATGGCGGGACGCCCTTCTGATGACTTGGCTCCACCCCGCCGGCGATAAACTAGGGTCGTTTTTCTTATTGGGCGCTTTTCTTCTTCCGCAGAGATCGAGGAGTAACTTAGGTAATGACGAGACTTGGGCTTCTTGATACAGTTATCTTTGCTACTTGAACCGTGGACAGTTGGGCCACGCGAGGTTGGGATGGCAAGTTAAGGGCGTAGACGCAGAGCGGATGTTGAAGCAAAGGCGTATACTCTCGTTCAGTAACTAATTAAACATAACATCTAACATCTACATACGACAGCTACCCAGTACATATGTACATATACTCGGCATCGCACTTGACTCCCTATCCGCCGAGCTGGGCGATCACAGCTTGACCTGGCCGGCGTTGAGCTTCTCCCAGTCCTTCTTCTCAAATGGCACATACGTTTTCCCTCTGAGCCAGTAAAGCCGGTCCTTGCTGTTCTTGCTCTCGAGGACGTTGGGATCAACGCCCTCTGTACGCAGCGAGGTCTTCTGCTGCTTATTGTTGCCCGTCATCTCCAGCGCGCGAGTGATGCGGAGGAACAGCGGAGCAGCGTACTTGGGAAGGTTCTTGGTGACATGCTCGCCCAGGGAGGACAGGAAGGCCGCTGACGGCTCCAGCTTTTCGGCATTAGGGTCGACTCCGTTAATGATCAGGGCGGCACAGCCAGCACGGCCTTCATGGTGAGGCAACAGCACGCCGTAGACGTTCGTCTCGTGGACCTCAGGGTGCGATCCAAGGACTTCGGCAACCTCGTTGGTCGAGACGTTCTCTCCTCGCCATCTGAAGGTGTCGCCGATGCGGTCGGAGAAGTACCATCGCCCCTCGGGGTCATAACGGATGACGTCGCCGGTGCGGAACCAGGCGTCGCCTTTCTTCAGGACATCTCGAAGGACCTTGGTATCACTGGCATTGGCGTTGTTGAAGTAGCCCTGGAACTTCTCCTTGATATTTGCCGCATCCAGAACATAGAGCAGCTCGCCTGGCTCGCCTCGGGGCACCCGCTTGCACAGTCCGGTCTTTGGGTCTCGCCATGGCAGTTCCGTGTCATGGTCGAGCTTGACGATGGCGGTAGTGTTGCCGAGAATCAGGTCGGCAATTGAGCCAGAGCGTCCGATAGATCCAGCAGTGAAGCTGTTGGACGAAAGATTCCACAGTCCGGAGGTCGACTCGGTAGCTGAGTAGAGTTCGCCTATCGTTGGGATTCCGAATCGCTCCTTGACCCGGCCCCAGATATCTGGTCGTAGCCCGTTGCCATACGCTAGTCGGACGCTGTGTCTCTTGTCGAGATCTTCGCCTGTTTCGGGGTCCTTTTTGGACGGGCTGGCAAGGAGGTAGCGCATAGTCTCTCCAACATACTGCACAACGGTAGCGTTGCTGTTACGTACATCATCCCAGAAATGAGATGCAGAGAACTTGTGGCCAATGCAAAAAGTTGTTCCACTAGCCAAACAGGCGAAAAAGCCTAGGACTGCAGCCGTTGAGTGATAGAGTGGCATACACTAGTTCGATCGATATTGTTAAAATTTTGATATAGCCAGCCACCAGCATAGAAGAGAGAGAATGCTTTAACATACCGTGTATATACGATCAGATTTCGAGAACCCCAGCCACTTAGAAACGAACGTTCCTGCCAGGAGAAGCTTGCCCCAGGGAAGGATAGCTGCCTTGGGCAAACCCGTGGTGCCACTTGTATAGATGAGAATGCCAGCATCGGACCGAGCTTGGTTCTGTCGGTCTGTGTCTGGAGCCCTCCAGGGTTCTCTCTGCAAGATCTTGGCCTGCAAGCTCTCATCATGGAATATCACCTCCACGGCGCCTCCCTTCTCCCTGAAGTCTGGAGCTCCTAGCTTCTCAACAATTTCTGGCGGGACAGCGTGCCTAACCTCACTGTCTACCAAAAGCAAACTTGCAGTGGACACCTTGACGCAATGAAGCAACGGAGCAGCTGTCAGATTATAGTTGATGAACGCCGGAAGTGCACCAATGCTCCATAGTCCCATCCAGACAAACACGAAGCTAGCCGAGTTCAAGAAATCCATGGCAACGACTTCTCCTGCCTTGACATTGTGAACATTCTTGAGCCAGTTTCCGTATCGAAGCGCGGTGTCGTAGGTCTGTCTGTACGTCCATTCTTTGCCCTGGTACACGATAAAGACCTCCTTTGCCTTCTTGGGGTCCAAGGCAAATTCCTCCAGCAAATAGAAGTGATTCCACTTGTTGCTCCGGTCCTTGAGGGCCCCTCGTATGAGTGATCGCACATATATGGATATCAGTCCCAAGTCATGGGATATGCCTAGCTTTGCGTTCAGGTAGGCGAAAGCAGCAGCAGCAGCTGGACCAGCAACAGATAGTGGTAGGTCCGGTAAGTCTGGCAATCCTACTCTCAGGACCGCAAAATAAGTTAGCTGGCTGCAGCTGATGGAAAGGAAGACACCGCAATTTTTCCCTACCTGCTATAGAGGCCATGTTGCTTATCTGCTCGACGAGGCTCATGGCTTCAAGACGATGCGAAAGGATTCTCTATAACTATGTAGTCCGGTAGCTAGCTAGCTAGGCGCGAGACGCGGTGGCGAGAGCGCAGAGTAGATTTTAACAGACGCCTCTGGCTAGCCTTCGTCCTGTGCCCGATTTCGATACTTCCAGCGGTCGTCGATGAGCGATCTCCGGGCAGAAGAGGACATAATGTAACGATAAGAGAGGACTGGGGGGGATGGGGCCCATCGTGTATGTATTTAAGAGTATGGGGAAAGGGAAAGGGGGAGAGCGAGAGCGAGACGAAGAGGGCGGTAGCGCGTGAAGCGAGGGACCTCGGCAAGTCAGAAGAAGGCGCAGATCAAAATCGGCCTAAAAGGGGGTCAAGGAGGAAGAAGAAACAGCGGCGGAGGAATAAGAAGCAGGGCCTGACATGCTGCTGCTGGCCTTCGCTCTCGGCTTCATCAGAAGTAAGAGACGGTTCTCCAGACCTGGGGAAGCGCATGTGATGGATGATGGTTGGGGATGGGGATTTTAAATATACGAACGCCCAGCATGCAGCACAGGACGAAAGCCGAACGTGTAGTTATTTCATGTCTTGTTAATAGCTAGTTACTGATGCTACGGAGACTGCTTGCACTGCGATAAAAGAGCTTGGATTGCTACTGCCACCTCATGAAACATTTAATAGTGTCTGCATACGCGATGTCCAGATAGCCAGGCGAGGTGCACATACATAGGCCAGCCACTGGCCTGAAGAGCGGCCCTGGACAGCACTTTTGTCAAGGCGTTGGCCTAGCGAGTCGTCATAGCTGATAGTCCTACATGCCATTGCTATTGTTTGACGTATCAGAGTATCAAAGTACCAGACACGCAGACGCTTCAGAGTAAACCCGTCTCTGATATCAAGGCGCGACTCATCACCATATCCTCCATTACTTTCCATAGAGACACTGGCCGTTTGGAATATGCCAGAATCGACCTTATCCGGGCGTCGTCCCGGTAGAACCCACAACCGGTTCACAGTGGATAACTTTGGCAATCTCCAAATTCCCGTTTCTTCCCCAGCGGGAAAGAGGAAAGGAGTCAACCGACTGTACAGATGTAGCTGTTCCGGAACACTGACGTTTGTACCGTCTATCGCTAACATCTTAAAGGCATTGTATTGCCCTCTCAAATATTCAATATCCCATTCTCCTGTTAGGTCTCTTGATATCACGGATATAACATCACGCCCTAGTTTATCGGCTGGTCCTCAGATAATCATATGGAGAAGACACACATATAGTATATATATTATATATATATATATATATGTGTGTGTGTGTGTGTGTTGATACCTGATATGAGAATGAAGAGCGAAGCCCATAACACAGACCCGCCTCAACCTCGATGAGTAACGAACCCTTCTGGGCCGTGGATTGTCGATGAGCCACTGCTATATTTCCCATAGTCTGAGGAACGGCTTGGTCGTAGTAGGCATTTTCCTGTTGATATCATGCAGGCGGCAGAACTCTCAGTTTAGACCTTCGAAGGCTCGGACAAAGCCATAGCCATAGAAACAGCATACCATATACAGGGTAATATGTAGGGTATATTGCGCAGTTTTATGAGCGGTCTTACCTTACTGACGCCGACCTCGAGAGAGTCCTATATACCACTGTATAAACCAAACTTGTTTTGATATCTACCTGTGTCTTTCTCATAGTAACCTCCCTACTGAGAGAGTCTTGATATGGAAGAGACAAGGCTAGGTAGTTATCAGCTGGATCAGTTAAGCGAAATATGACTGGCTAAGCTTGCAAGCAGGCAGCCTCTTGATAAAATTCGCGTCGACGCGGAGGAGTTCACCAAGCTTGAAACGAATTCTTAAGGGAAACTAAGACTCTCCCCATCCTCATCATTCTCGAAACGTATCTTCAGGTTCGGAAACTGTGCCTGCAGTGTTCTAGCTATCATCTCAAACTCCGGGCCAATAAATATACAAAGCATTTCCACGGATTGGATTGATTTAGGCAAACACTTCAGTAATGCAGCTGTAGTAGCTTCATAGTCTGTGAAGAGCTGTAGACCTAGCACCAGGGATTCCAGAGCGTGCATATGCTCAACGATTTTGACATACTCTTGGTCATTCACGTACCGGTTTGACTGTCGAAAATCAAGAGACAGGTGCGTAACTGTATCTCTCCGAAGAGGCAGAAGGTCAGCTATCTCGCGAGGCCTCGGCTCTGGGCCCTCTGCCCAGGACTCCTTAGCACACTCGTATGTAAATTTCTGCAGGCGTGGAAATCTTTCAATGAGAGTTCTGAAGCTCGCGTAGCTTAAGCAGCTCTCGGTCAATACAGCTTCAGTCACGTTGTTATAAGGTATATTCGGAGGAAGACAGTCGATTATGTGTGCATGAAACCTTTTCAGTGCCGGGGCTGCTGCGAATATTATATTCAGAATAGAATTATCTTGAAGCTTGGGCTGTTCATATGAGTGTGTACAATGTGAATGTATATAATAGAACTCCGTAAGACATGGAAGTTCCGGCAGAGTGAACGATTTCGGAAAATAACAATGGCTCGGGTTGATTATAAGTCGCTGGATATTTGTCGTTTGAGCAATTGCCACGACTGCCAGCGCCCCCGAAATATCAAAGGAGTCCCAAAGGGGATAGTGCTCTAAGACGAGCTGTATCTGCTCTAGTGGTATGGTGGGCGTGTCCCTGTAGTACACTGCTAGGTACTTGTCAAGCATTGTAGTATCTTCTTCACAGATGTCCCACTTGAAGTCGTTACGCCGCTTCAGCCACAGGTTTCCAGTAGATAAATCTTGTACCGCGCCAGCAAGATGTGGCTGCTTGATGAGAGTACGTGTAAGCTCGGCAATATTGCCGTCATCTAGTGGTATGCGGCGGAATAACTGGGGCTGCGCGAGATGCTGCAGAGTCTTGCAGGTTCTTGATAAGGAGGCGAGGGCAGCATAAGACTCCCAGTCAGCCTCATCAAATGTATCATATTGTAGCGATCTTCTGCAAAGCCTCCAAGGGTCTAGCTGGCGGATGATGGCGAGAAGGATTTCCGCTGGAAAGGCGGTTAGAAGAGAAGTCATCGCGGAGATGCGCTGGTTGTGCTGCCATTAAGAAGACCCTCCAGCATGGGAGGAGGCGACTCCTCCCAGATAGCCACCTAGTTATACAGTTATTCAATTCCATATCCACATGGTAGCGGATGATTGTTATTCTATAACTATTTCTTCCAACAAGCGGACCTTGGAAGGGTGCGCAAATGGAAACCTGAAAATTGGGCACGGGAAGAAGAAGTAGAGACTGCCTTGGGTGCTGTCAACATAACGCCAACTACTATATTGAAGCTGCTATAGACAACATTTGCACGCCCGCGCGCAATGTCATGTTACGTGATAGATAATACGGGCGCGCCTGTAATGCGGAATACACGATGTAACCCAAAAGGACATGATACGAGCCAGGCAGCGACTTGCAGACACTCCTTGGCCATGGCATTAACGGATTTCTCATAGCACCTCCGTCCAAGCATCTCGAATAACAACCAAAGCAAAGAACAGCCATGTTGATATGATCGACACCCCTTGGCCGCTCGCTTAAACAGAACCCGGACTCGAGCTGAGTTCTTAGTACATAAGCGACATGAAGAGCTCCGAGCAGCACTTGGCATCATGGGCAGCCGTGCAGCCGATGTCTGGGAGAATTAGTTACGGGGCAGTTAGATTCACTTGCTGTGCATGGCTCCGACGGCTGAGTTTCACGATGCCGGGCATAACTATATGTATGTACCTGGATATAACCAGGGCCATCCCTGCATATTTTCCGGCACCGTTAATTCTTTGTTTGAATGACTTGAATGACGGGCCAGATCGGTTGAGACTGTCTCCGGGGAAATGAGCAGTGTGAAAGAAAAGAAAGTGCGGAGTAAAATAGCTGGTGTCGAGGTGATGAATCGTGTTTAGGTGACGCGTCTAGAACAATGGGGGATAATTTCGTTTGTGGATAGGATGAAACACACCGGAACAGCGAGAGATGGATCCCTGATGCTCGCTGAGACGCGACTCGATGGGGCCTGTCTATCATACTCACCTTCTAACCTCCCCATAGCCGATCAGTGAATATGACCCATCGATATAGTTAATATAGGTTGTCTTTTTAAAAGAAATGGATGAAACAGAAGAAAAAAAGGGATGAAATGAGGTTTAGCTAAAGTGAAAATTGAATTGATGCCGGCTATGTACAGTCTCTTGCCTGTCAAAACCTATGTACATGAAAAAGGCGAAGAGGAATCAAAAAAATGGGGACATGTCAAGCATATCAGACATATTTATGACACTCGGATATGCTTCAGATTTAGCAGCCAGCGGGCATGTCGAAGTTGTTGACACGGTTCTTGCCGTGCTTGTAGTTGGAACCAAGACCACGCTTGGCGAAGGCCTTCATGAGAGCACACTTGTTCTGGCCGTTGGTGAGAGCCTGGTCAGCATCGATGATGGCATCACGGGCCTGCATGAAGTTAGGGTTGCATGGCATGAGGGTCATTCCGTCGAGGACGAGCTTCATGGCAAGGTTGCGGCCGTCAGTTGGAGCACCGTTGACGAACTTGGGCATGATGTTCTTGCCCATGCCGTGCTCATCGATCAAGTTCCACAGGACGTCGTAGAGGATGGTAGCCCAGACGGTACCAATGCCGTGGACTTCGCTCATGCCCTGCACATCAGCATAAGTGTAGGGGTTGGTCTGCATGTTAGTAGAGTATGGGTATTCACGGATACCACCCTTCTGGTTGGCAGCCCATTCACCCATGGTGTAGTCGGTGTCGTGGGTATCACCCTGCTTAAGGCGGATGGCAGTGGCGTAGAAGTCACCCCAGCCCTCACCCATACCACCGGCCTCGAGCTCGTTGAGGCAGTTGGAGTTGGCGGGACCACCACAGAGACGGTTGGAGAGACCGTGAGTGTACTCGTGGATGACGATACCGGCCTCAAGGTCACCATCACGCGATGGCTGGGCGGTGGTCCAGGTGTACATTCTCATGCGGCCGGGCTGGCCATCTGGGGGAGTAGCGAAGTTGGCGTTGTTGGTGCCGGAGCCGTCCTGGGCGTTGCAGATAGCGAAGTCGTTACCCTGACCTCCCTTGCCGTTGTTGTTCATCTGGAAGTTACCGGCCTCCTCAGTGAAACCGAGAGTATAGAGAACGTCGTGGAAGGTGTTGACTGTGTAGAAGAGCTGGGTGATGGCGAAGTCCTTGTACTGCTCTGGCTCCATCTGCTCGCTGTACTCGTAGACGAAGCTGAGCTCAGCGCTCTCTGGGCGGTAGTTGTTCTCCCACTGGCTGCCACCGCTTGGGTTGTCCTGAGCAGGAACGTTGTTGCCGCGGGTGACGGTGTAATCCATCTGGCCGTCTCCGTGCCAGGTGAATGGAGAACCACTGCCAGTGGTGTTCCATGGGTCCTTGATCATGGTGGGCTGGCCCTCAGTTGGGTCGTTGAGACCCCAGGCAAAGACCTTATAGTCAGCGGAGGCGACGTAGTCAACAACGTTGTGGACGGTCTCAGACTCCTTGGCGTCAACGTAGGAGAGGAGCCAGTTGTCACCGACATCAGTCTCGACTCTCCAGGTGAGGTGGAGATTGCCATCCTTCTGGAGGTAGACGAGCTTGGCCTTTGGCTCAGACAGAGCACCAGAGGTACCCTCGAACTTGAAGGTCTCAACCTCCTTCATTGGCATGGCCTTAGCACTCTCGGGCTTGACTGGGATCTTCAAGGTCTTAACGGCACCGTGGAGGGCCTTGACGGGGTCAGAGAAGTCACGCTTGGTCAATGGGTTGGTCTTTGGCATCTCTCCCTCGAAGAAGGAGTTTCCGAAGGTGAAGACCTTGCCATCACGTCCAATCTATAGTGACCAGTTAGTATAATTCTCAGCCAATCCAAAGAGTTTTGGCGGTAATGCTTACGTTGACGTTGAAATCGGCGTTGTCGATGTCAATTCCGTGGGCAGTCTGCTTGAAGTGGACGTGGCCGATGCCGTTGGTGCCAATGTAGTGGTCCTTGACGGTGCGGAAGGTCATGTTGGGGAAAGTGCTCTTGACCAACTTGGTGGCAGTAGCAACGTAGTCGTCATCCTTGGAGTAGGAGAAGGAGTGAACCATCTGGGAGGTGGTCTTGTGCTCGGAGTACTTGGCCATGGAGGCAAAGCGGTAAGCGTTGATATCAATGCCGCGGGGGCTGAGACCGGATTGTTGACGGGCAGGAAGACCAGCAACGCCCAAGGGCAAGGCCGCCGCGAGGCCAGCAAGCAAAAGTCCGTGCATGTTGTCTGTCTTCAGAGAATACCTGCTTCACTTGAAAGACCTAACTAAAAGAATAAGAGAGTGAAGGATGAATGCGAAGGAGTCAGGCTTGTTGTCCGAGTGAGGAACTCTGGCTTGATTCTTTCTGGAGGGAATTCGAGGGACATCTTCGACGTCTTATATAGAGCTCCTCCACCCTTGCAAGTTCCCATACAGAGCCTTATCACGTCTACCGTGTTGGGTCTCCTGGTCTTGTGCCGGGGGTATGGTGGATGAGGGATACGGTCCTGAGAGTAGAGTAATTTTTTTTGCATTTCGGCCTTCCATGATGTTTCCTCGTGAGCTAGGCCAACCAGCATGCAGCCCTGGAAGGCTTTCACCCGGCCAAGAGAGCTTGATTGTGCTGGAGTGCGTCTAATGGAGTGGTATCGATGGAGGAATCCCCGCTCATCTCGGTCCGTGTCAAACCTCAATCATATCAGAAGGAGGCAAAGGAGTGAAGACGGAGTATAACTGATAACTGGCCTGCCCTTGTTCGCCAAGCAAGGGGAGATATTATACGGGGTTCCTTGCGCTTCGACTGGGAAGCTAACGCAGCTTCAGCCCCGTCGATCGTCTGAGTCGGTCATGCCGAGGTTTTGTATATCGTCCTACCACAGACGCCGTCCTGCTGGTGCTGGTACTGCTGGTCCATATATCAAACATCAGGACCGTATCCTGGAATTAGTTAGGTCACAGCCTAACGCCATTCTTGCTCCATAGAGCGTAGCGAGGTTAAAAAGGAACGAGCTCTGAGTAGTCCGCAGCTCGTCGGTTCGCCAGCAATTGCAGTCATGCGGCCAGCGTCCTTTTGCCCCCGCTTAGCTTGATTGATGCGGGCGATGCTGGTGACGATGATAATAATGGCACCACCATTATTGCAGCCCGGATGTGACTACCATTGGCAGGTGTCTTTGGAATCGTCTGGGGTTGCAGTGTAGATCTCCGTAAAGGGGTTCAGCAGCGAGGCATCAAAGACATATCGAGACAAGAAGGCTCTTCCACCCCCGGCTGGGCTCGGGAGAGACACGTTCTGCCTCGTCCTCGCTGCTGCCTGCCTGCCTGTCGTTCTCTTTCTCCCTCTCTCTAATGGTCCTTTCCATCCTTCAAGGCGTTGCTTGGTTGCTGCTTGTGGGGGAAGACATGCTGGTAGGATGATCGCTCCATGGGCGTCTCATCGCCTGCCCCTTCTGCGATGGCTCCCGCTCCACGAAGCATGCTAGTGTTTGAGGACGGACAAAAGCCGGTGCTAAGCTTGCATGGTACCTGAAAAAAGCTTCGAAGCACACAGTCCGCAGGCATCGAAGCAGCGCAGAAGCAGCTGTGGTCGCCAAAGGAGAGTCGCAGGTTGATGGTTTGACGTGAAGATCTGATGGACCAGCCGACCAGGACGTCCCCTGCGAAAAAAACCCCTTTTTCTCTCTTGGCCTCCGTCACTCTGCAACCTCTTCCGATGGCATCCATGTCGGCCACACACTTCCTTCGGCCTGCGGGTTGACGGACGGAGATGGTGATGTTCAGATGTGCAGATGTTCAGGTACAGAAGAGCCGACGTTGATTCTGATCTACGAACAGCTCATGGTCGTAGTTAGCAGTCCGTGCGGTTCGCCGTAGCGACGACTACAAGCAAAACAGCCACCGCAACTTACAACTGACAACATAACTACTAGTTACACCTCGCAACGACAGCGACAGCATCTACATCAACAAACAAACCTGGTATCGTGCTGAGCTCGCATGTTCTGTGGGGAAGGCCGGGGATAAACTGGGGGAGCCAGCTTGTCCGTGGCAAAGAGGCCCTGGGGAAGAGGAAACGCTGCATAAAGTAACAAACTGGTCTATATCGCGAATGTCATCTGTTATCGTAAGTTTGGATGCAAGTCAGGATGCAGCTTTGCTAACCCTCCCTCAGTCGTATCCCGGCTCGGCATGCATGCTAGATGTCTCCACAGAACGATTCAGACGATAAGAAGCCCGATTAACGGCGTACGAAGCCCGTTTTCTAGAAGAATCAAGTTAATACTCCGTGTTGTCTTTAACTATTTCTTATTATAGACCGTCTCCTAGAGAGGAAGTTGTCTGCCGTCTATATAACTAACTGATCACTACCGCTTACCATACTTGTGAAGGTGGGCCGGCAGAGTGATATCGGTATATAGTTGTGTCCAGTATAAAAGCCCGGTGGTCGGTGCTATAGTTATTGCCCCAGGCCGTGCCCGCATGGATCCCTCCAAGTCCAACCAAACCCTCTCAAATTTAAATTGATTTCCGGGACCCCAGGCCACTTGGCTTCTCTTACCCCTGGCCCATGACATGTGTCGAACCTAAGTTGCTGACGAGGACGGGGACCAGCAGCGAGGATCGCTATCTCCTACAAGCAGGCCTCCGTGTCTCTCACATTCCCAAAGAGGCGATCTTCTGGACATCACCTCGACCGATATGGAAGGACGAAAGAGATGCTAAGCATTCGGAAACTCCCGGCTTGTATGTTGAAATCTGGGGGTGAGAAACAATGAGAAATGCAGAGTGAAGAGAATAACAGTTTATTTTTTGACCTTTCGTCCCCAGCCGCAGCAACACACGCCAGTGGAAGCTTCTGCTAGCCATCCGCTCGTCCGTGGGAAAATTCCGAGTGTGGTTAGAGGTAAGGTGTGTTGGTATCCTCTTCCTTGGTCAACCGTCTCGGCATGCTTGAAACTCCTGGCAGGTATGAGATTCAACAACGCTTCAGAACTTCCTTATTCCTCAACCCCTGGCCATTATCATGAACTACCCCAGCCAAGGCGGAACAAGAGTCACACCTTAACGTGGCGACTATATATTTGCAGGCTACTATGGGCGGAGCCAGGAGCAGGTGTATAGCGGCATCAAGGACTGCTGGGGATGAGCCATCTCATCTCTTACTGTTGCTCTTGCAGACTTCCCCCCTGGATGCTAAGAGCCAAACGGCTTTTTCTTCCCCTTGAGGCAAAGAAAATAGCCGCCCCCCGAACGAAGAACTTACGTTCTCGTGTCGCTTGCCGAGGCCACTGATAAAATGTTCCGGTCAGCCGCACAGCTAAGAAGCTAGTAAAGGCGCATATCAAGTAACAAACAAACATGCAACCACTCACTTTCTCAGACATCCAAAAAATAGGTCATTTGGACGGATAGGCTGTCATCATTCTGCTATTCCTGATGGCCTGAAGGGCCTTCTGCCCAACTATCTTGCCGTTGCTTGCCATCCGTGCCGATCAGTGTTGGCTAAGCCCCCGCATGCACATCACTGGAGGTTAGATATCATTCTAGAAAGCGATCGACAGCTCTCTTTCGCTGTTTCTCCGCATGTTTTCGACCTCTTCGTATCAACGAGAAGCAAAATTATTTCAATGTCCTGTCCACCTGCCTTCCGACCGCGGCCTCCGCCGCTAGGTAGTACTTACCTAGTTAACCTCCAAGTCCGATACTGTTCAATACCAGTGGCGATCGCCAGAGTCGAAGTGGTCATGCTTCGTACTTCCCTAATATCCGCCTCAGATGACTGTCGGACAGGATACGGAGGAGTTAATAGGAAATTCCCTACGGAGTATACCTCGCAATGATACTGTCATCAGTGCAGATGTTTGACCTTCATCATTTGGAATGAAACAGCCACGAGAAAACTTCACACGGCAAGTAAGACGGAATACAAAAGACGCGAGTAATGCTTAAAACAACGCTACGGGTCCTTTTGACATTTCCGATGGCCCTCATGGGCCTCTCTAAATTGGCGCTAAAAATAATATATACTTGGAGGTCAAAGAGGCTGATCTCGTAAGTAGCTCCATATACTAACCAAAGATTCTATCGTATTGCAAGCGTTCGCCCACCAGCGGGACCTTCTCATAATCCTCCTCCATGAATTCCTTCAACAAAGCCAACCCACTCTTAAACTCTTCTTTATCAATGGCGTACCCAATACGAACGTATCCTGCAAACAAGCTGTTTGACCCAAACCCCTGTGACCCAGGAACCAGCAGTACACCTTTCTTCTGGAGAAGCTGATGGCAGAGTTCGAGATCATCCACAGGCTTCCCCATCTTCGAGAACTTGACGAATGCAACGCTGCTAGCAACTGGCCTAACCCAGTCGCAGGCCCACTTGTGCTTGTCTATAAACGACTCAAGAAGTGCGAGGTTCTCTCGTGCGAGGTCTGTGTTCTGCTTCAGCAGTGCATGCAAGCAGTGGCTGTCCAGGGCATATGCAGCTACCGCTTCGTCAAGCTGGCTGACGGATAGAGTCGTGTACGCTCGCAGTCTCGTGCACTTGTCGATGAGCCCCCTACTGCGAGATGCGATCCAGCCAACGCGAATACCCGGCAGCGAGTAGACTTTAGACATTGATCCGGTCACTATAACATCATCGTAACCTAGCGAGAGTGCTGAAGGCGGGAACTCCTTATCTCCAGGGTGGATGGAATGAAATAATGGCCTGAAAATTTCATCACTAAAGACCACTATCGAGTGTTCCCTGGCCACAGCAATGATTTCCATCAATGTTGATCGCGGGATGATTGCACCCGTGGGGTTTTGCGGGTTACTATTCGCGTACCAAGTTATTTAACCACAGCTTCTCATTTCACAAAGGTATAGTTACTTACTTTATGACAATCATCTTAGTATTAGGCTTGATGAGAGTTTTCAACTCTTCGACATCGAGCTTCCAGTTATCATCTTCTTTCGATTGCCATAAGCTGACGTCCGCTCCTAGAGTCTGTGGCACGGCATACAGCAGTTGGTAAGTTGGATAATGAACGATGACATGATCTCCCGGCTTGCACAGTGCCTGGAAGACTAAGTAATTAGCCGGAGAAGCGCCGCTGGTAATAGTAACATTATCAATTGGCAGCGGTAGAGGTGTCTTGACGGAATACAAGCCAGCCAGGGTCGACCGCAGCGCCTTGGAGCCCGCCATCTCGCCGTACCCGAGACATCTGGACAGAAGCTCCGCCGGCAAGGGGCCCTTGTTGGACTCTGACTTATCCTCAGAAAGCTCTTTTAGGCCCTCTATCGACATGGGCTTTGCGCAGGAGCTGGAGAGATCATATTTGGCTCCTGTAGCTTTAGTTTCAATCCACTAGAGCAGTTAATTACGTATCGCATGGTTAGTTTAATTATATTCGTCTATGGCGGGGCAGATGGTTAGGCCACATACTCGATCAACGGCGAGACAATCAATCTCGGCCATGTTGGCTATTTATTCGACGCCGCTACTGGACTGATGGTTGGTGAATAAATGGCCGTGTCGAGGCTAGTAATAGTTGTGGTTGTATGTTCAATGTTCAACGGTTATTATATATCAAACGAGCTAGTTAGATATTTAACTATTCAACTACCTAGGTTAACTAACTTAAATACGATCCCCGCTCCTATCTCTTCCGTGAGTCACTGACAAGCGGGTGCAGGTCTGATTATTATATCGTAGAAGCGTCTACAACATTCTGTGTCGGGAAATGGCTGACATTGGGTAATTAGAGAATGCGCTACTGCACCGAAATCTCAAAAGCAGACGCAGCGGAGGGGATATTATTCTAGCAAACACCAAAAAAGCCATCGTGTATCTATCGTATAAGACATCGCGGCTGGCCAGTAAGAGAAAGGACCAGACAAAACTAATAAACAAACAATCGGAGTGCGCTGACAGTACAAGACGACAGTGTCGTCGGAGTGGATGTTATATACAACGATGCCCCGGAAGGATGGGGGAAATGGGGATGGAAACGCCAAACAAACGAAATGCTCTATGTGTAATGAGATCTCAGAGTCAAGTCTCTTATCTCTTCTCAACGAGCAAGATATGCATAGCTGCGTAGGCCAAGACGATGGAAACACCAGAGATAATGCCCAAGCCAGCTACGTCATTCCACAGGGCGAGGTTGTTGAAACCAAAGGCACTAAGGATAGAAGCACCTGGAACTTCAATATCGAGGCCGTATTTATGATCAATCAAGGTCAGGAAAGTGACTTCATTGACAATCAGAGCTTCAAAGGCATAGTGGAAGATGGACAGCTAATTTTTACGAATGTTAGCAAAATGCGTTTCCATAAATGACTAAAGTAAAGGGTCAAGACTTACAGTTTGCAGCCAGAGTGCCGAAGCTGGGATTGCATCGTGGTTGAGCAGTAAACCGGCAAAGAGGAGACTGAAAAGCATCACCAAGCTACCGATCAGGTTTGCTACGCCCGGGTCTCGGAAGACGATGCCGATAAACAGGCAGATACCTGCGGCAGCGAGATTGAAGAGAACAAGGACGAGAATGAATTTTGAGAATTCCGGCCAGTCTGGGATAAGTCCTACCATGGGGTAAACGATGATACCCATTATGATAGGAGGAATCAGTCGCAGAGGCACAATATCGAACATGACCTTGGCCGTGAAGTAAGTGACCGGAGAGTAATATCCATTGGCACGTTCTCGGACGAAGAGAAGCCGTTCAGAGGAGAAGACAGTCAAACTTGTCAGGGTGCTGAAGCCGAACAGGGCAAGGAGGAAGAAAAACAGGCCAAGACGGTTCTGGAATCCTTTGATGTCATCCGTGAGACCGTAGAAGAGGTATCCAGACAAAACAGCAAGGAGGATTGCGGTTGCGTAATGAGTGAGCATAAGCATGGGGTTTCGGTAGAGATTCTTCCAGGTACGGCTGGAGAGGATAACAAACTGCCTTATCAACCCAACTCTTGCGTAGCCAGTCATTTGGCCGGTCATGGCATCGTTAGCTTGTTGCGATGTATTGGACTGTCCATTGGCAGCAAGGGCTCCTTGAACAGAAGAAGATATTTCTTCGCGAATAGAATTGGCCACGTCTGAATTGGCATAGCAGGAAACGAGCAAATCAAGGTCTGTAACAAATCCGGATGCGATTGGAGGAAGATGGTCTGGGTCTTCGAGTATTTGCGGCGGAACTTGACCCTGCTGCTTGGAAAGTGGTAGCCATTGCTGAGCACGTTCAGCTAGACTCATTACATGGCTATCTTCGTTGTCTGTTTGCGGGTCTGGTGGAGATTCAAGTCCAGAAGCTCTCTTGCGAGTGTATAGCTGTTTGTCCTGACGTTGCTTGAGAGAAGATCGCCGTTTGTCCTTAGGCCTCAATAATGATTCCTGGGCACTGTCCACAGCGCTAGTGTTATCGATGCTAGCGTTGGAAGCACTAGCGACTGACTTGACGGCCCTCAGGCTACTGGAAGCAGTTCGGAAGTTGTTGTCATGAGAGTCAACATTAACAGTCGGTTCTTCAGCAGATCGGGACTGGCTTGCGTGCATTGTTAAATCAACAAGGTAGTCTGCGATGTTGAATCCAGGGGGACAAGAGTATCCGATGCTGTCAAAGTAGGACTGGCAGCTTGAAAATGGTCCTGAAAATACCGTCTTTCCCTTTCCAAGGAGGATCAACTGGTCGAATAAGGCTACGATGTTAGATCTGGGCTGATGAATAGTGAAAATGACGGTACGGTTGTACGATTTGGCCAGGTTGACAAGACACTCAATCACGTTAAAAGCGTTGAAGGCATCCTAGTTCCACGTTAGTAGGGGGATCCATAATCGCGAAGTTCGGACCAAACGATAAAAGGGACATGGTCTTATACTTACCAAACCACTTGTTGGCTCATCGAGGAACAATATGCTTGGACTCGTAACAAGTTCGCATGCAATACTAACACGTTTCTTCTCGCCACCGGAAATACCACGGCCTTTACCTTCCTCAGATCCAATAAGCTGATCCTTGATGTGGTGAATACCAAGCTGCTTTTCAACTTCGTGTACTCTCTGCTGTTTAGCTGCGTCACTCATATCCCGAGGCAAGCGGAGCAAAGCACTATTCAAAATGGTTTCGTGGACAGTCAGAGTTGGTAACATGGTATCCTCCTGGTCAACGAAGCCAACGACTTTTCTATACTCGCTATCATTGAATTTCTCGCCGTTAACATAGATATCGCCGTGAACAATGCCCCGTTTATTCTTCCTGGCAAGGATGTCTAGGAAGGTAGTCTTTCCTGCACCAGAGGCTCCCATAATTGCAGTGACCTGGCCAGGTTTAGCAATACCACGGATACCATTGAGAATCTGCTGTCCGTTAATGTAATAGGCGATATTTTCGAATTGCAGCGATGCTGGCTTGTGGTCTGCCATAAGCTTTGAGCCCTCATCATCAGAGTCATCAGCAAGGGCGCTATACTGGTTGTAAGCTTTCCGTCTTGACAGGTACCAGATGAGGAGAATGACTCCAACGATAAAAAGCGAACAACTACCGATGACTCCGGCGATGAGCGGCGTGTTGATAACCTTGACTGGTGGCTTGTATCCTGGCACAGCCGTCTTATACAGACATTCGCTGGAATAACAGTCTAGGAGAATAGACTTGTCACCAAACATATCAGATATCACCTTATCGATGACGGGCTCGGAGAATGCGCTTCCATCCCTAGAACCGCCGCTTTTGGTAGAGGTCGAGGTGAATTTGGCTGGACCGGTAAGCTGTTGAAATAGGGGTTCTAAGCTGACGCCCTTGGTCTCGCATAGCATTCGGTCAGGAACGCAACCGCACTTGATGTTCTTGCACTCGTAGGTGGTAACGTTCTGGCTCTCTGTTATATCCATATTCCATTTGCATGTATCCAGCGAACAGTAGAAGGACTCGAGCTGATCGACCCAGACTGGATAAAAGTTAACCACTAGTTAGCCCGGGTAATCAAGGTAGACGTGCAGGCGACGAGATCAACACTTACACTGAAAGTTGCATGTCTCGTCTTCTTTCTTGCATGAGAAGGTAACCTGCGGCTTCTTCTCCTTGAGCATGTCACGGATCTTCCTGTTGGTGACTTCACACATCTGATAGTTCTCCGCGATGGTCTCTCCTCCATTGTGGTGTCTATAGCAGACTCCTCCCTCTTTCTCCGGCATCATAGCATTGCAGGCATCGTTTGTCTCGCACATGTTGCAGTTGATCCCAGACCAGCCATCTTTGCACTGACAGGTCGAGCCTTTACGAGGAGTTCGGTCCCGTCCATCAGGCAGAGATCCACACAAGGGTTCAGCGCAATCGTCACCGCCGAAGCCCGGAGGACAGTCGCATTTGCCGTTGAACTTGTTGCATTTGCCGAACTGGTGGCACTTGAAGGCAGGGAGCTGGCAGTTGAAGCACGGCGGACACTCTGGCGGCCTGTCACTGCGAAGAGCGAAAGGGGTCGCTGCAGAGACAAAGCTATCTGCAGTATTGTTGGTTTCGTAGGCGCTGGCCTGCCATGCCGGCTGTATAGCCGGAAGCAGGGCGAGCAGGCCAAGCAATGCAAGCCGCGCCATCTTTGCCGGTAGGGGCGGAGGAGATGAGGCGATCAGCAGTCAAGAGGCCTCACGGGGGAGTCAGGTTGGCTTTATGATAGCATCAAGGCAGCGTATAGGCCGGTATGTACTTTCAGGAGCTGCTGGGAGTAACGAGGATGTCGGCTCGGAGACGGTGAGCTTCGCTGCCTAGCTCCGGCGGTTGGGTGGTTTGGCGGGCGGCGATATGGACGACGCAGGACGGGCGCACTGCAGGAGGCGACACCGGGATATACGGCGGGGCCCCGTTTCTATGCTAAGTATACCAGACAGGTCTAACGAGAAGGGTGACGGATGCTCAGGGAGCTGTGTCGGTGGATGGCAGGCAAAGAAAGGGATCGTGGAGAAGATGCGGAGAGGTTGGTGTTGGTTAGTTAGAGGTTGAGTTAGCTCGGCGAGGCGCATCGCGGTGACGTTCTTCCGTCCGCAGCCAAGATCTTAAAAGGGAGATAGTGGTGATCATGATGCTGCGATGTTATTGAAAAAGGGACTCTCTATAACTGTGTATGTATGCATATAAGAGGAAAGAAAGAAGAAGACTACTCTAGTTGTACAGAAGGCAGTCGAATGAGCCAAACGGATACTAGGACGAATATATGGATGACTCCTGACCCGAAGAAGGGCAGTCCCGTCCATGCAGGCGACCCCATGTTCAATCCCAGGTTAAAGAGCCCTGCCAGGAGAGGCCCGCCGATAAGTGTTCCCATCATGACGATGAGCGAGATGACAGAGTACAGCCTGGCCGAGTACTTCGGGTCGACAAACCCGGAAATCAAGCTGAGGCAGACTGCGGTGAACCCACAGCCTAGGGTGTAGATTGCTACTGCGCAGATCATCGAGACGAAGGTTGGGGAGAAGCCAATAGCAAAACTTCCGACTGTGAGAAGCACGATGCTTATCTTCGAAAGCCATAGGTCCTTTTGGTTGCTGGGCAGGCTGAGGGTTTTGGACAGGTAGCTTGAAGTAAGTGGGAGGACGAGCAAGAGGAGCACGATGCTGACGCAGGCCATGAAGGAATGGACAAAGCCGGCCTTGGAGAGGGTGATCTCATATCGGCTGGAGGCGTAGAGCAATAGAAGGTCGATTTGTTTCCGTCCCAGCGTTGAAAGAAGGAAAGTAGAGAGTATAAGCAGCACGGTACGATTGCTGAAGATGGCCTTGGTTTCTTTCCACGCCGTTGCAAAGAGTGCTTTCATCTTTGCTGCGAGAGAGGGTCGAGAAACCGGACGATGCACCTCGAGGGACCCCCGTACGGAACCCCGATCAAATCCAGATGAAGCTGAATGGCTGGTACTAGACTTCGAAACTTGTATGGGAATAGTTTCCGGTACCAGTAATATCAAGAAACAGCACAGAGTGAAGAACGCCGTCCCGACGAAGTAAGGTATCCATGGGCCCAGCTTCATCATCATGGCAGACCCTATAGCAGGTGCAAGGAGTTGGGCCACCACGGCAGCTAGAGATGTCTGGAAATAGACAGTCGACCTAGATTACCTGTCAGTTACAATGCACTAAACCAGCCATGATATCAAGTAAAAAAATCTTCGATAGACAGACCGATTCGCTTCATCAACTGCATCAGACACCATTGTCATAACCATTGCATTCGTCACGCCTGGCCCTCCACCGATCAGGGCGAAAAAGCCTCCTATCCAGATCGCTTGAAGGGGTACATATCGGTAGAGCGAGCACACTAGCAAAGCCCAGTATGCGCCTAACAGAATACCGGCCATACTCAGCCGCAAGACAAACCGGCGACCATACCTGGGATTGTCTGCCAACTGGCCATAGGGGAGAAGTAGAAGGATGCCTGCAGGATTAAAGCTATAAATTAGCTGGGAGTTTTTTTTTGTGCCCTCAAAGGAATAAATCTATCATGAACAGATGGGATGAATGAATGGGGGGGAAAACAGAGCAGGTCTTCGTACTTGGAAGTGCATCAAAACTGGAGCCGATGGCCTGGATATAAGCTACCTGGCTCTGCACGGCCTTTATCTTGCATTCCTCCTCCGGTATGTCCTGAGGATATGGAAACCGGTCTGGATGGTGTTTATCGAAGTAATTCCGACAGACGATCAGTTCGAAGATGCGAGTCTGTGGTATGAGATCAAAGAACGCCGCAAAGTCTAGCACGAAGAGAACGCCAATGCATATAATGATGAATTGTGTCTGATTTATCTTCCGTCTGACGGTGACAGGTTCGATAGGATCCGATATCGACTCCGCGACGTCATGCTCGCCCGGCTGCAGCAGCGGGTCATCCTGCTCGGTGTTCATGACATCTAGCTCGGCGTCGTCCATCGTGGGCCGTCCAGAGTGAATAGAGCACCCGGCGCCGGCTAGCTATTTATATATAATTATCAATTGGCGAATATAAGGTAATAATATGGGGGGGAGTTCTCCGTGCGCCCTTGGAGTCCGCCCTTTAGCTGGAGAGAGAAACGAGGAGATCAAGACAGACAGAGCCAGGGACGACAGGACAGGTCGTACAGTAGTCAGTTAAGCGCCGGCTACCTTCAGGTCTCCATATCGCTCCCGGGGGCAGCTCTGTCGATATATGAATAAGGGCAGACGGTGATAATATAAATATAAGCAGGCTGCCTGGCCTTGCGCGCCCACCCAGGCCTCTCCCTCAGCTCCCCAGCCAAACACAGCCGGGCTGCGTATAACTCCCCAGGCTCAGCCAGAGAGGCCAGACGATCGTCCTGGTGGCGCCGTAAACGACAGCATCTCGTTCGCCGCTGGGCCGACTTTCTGAGTGGCTGAGCTGCTGCTTTTTCGTGGGCAACACCTTCGACCTCGAGGCTCTGTCGAATAAGTTAGTTATTTACATCCTTGCTAGCGAGCAACTCACTCGAGCTACATACACGCTTCTCTCGTAACTCTCATCGAGCTCTCGTCTTCGTCTCCGTCTCCGTCTTCGTCGCTGTCAACTTGTCTTCTTCGTCTTCTCTTCCTTGCAAAGCCCGAAAAGAAAAGAGAAGAAGTCGGAAGAACCTTGAACGAAGCCCAATCGGGTACTTCCCACAACTTCAAGATCCTGCAACACCAACAAACGCCCAAACCTCGACTTTCCTCGTCTTCGTCCTCGCTTTGCGCAGAAACGAAACTCGCTGCTCGCCAGACAGACAGACAGACAGAAAAAAGCAGACAGACAGACAGGCTGCCGACTCTCCGCGCTCCTCTCTGGCCCGCCTACCGAACAACCGGCCTATCCCTCGTCCTCCTTTTCCTCCCACCGTCCGTAGCTGTAAGTCCCAACTGCAGCCTCGCAATCCCGTCCAGACTCGGCCCCTACAGGCAGCAGTGCGATCATCTAGAGGTAGCTACCAGCCCGGCTAACAGTTGATCACTTTGCTGGACCACAGGCTTGCCTTCTAGTTCCTCCATCATGTCCGGAGAAGCATGGCTATACCTCCTGGCGGTCCTTATCAATGCGGTCAACCTCTTCCTACAGGTCTTCTTCACAATCATGTACAGTGATCTAGAATGGTTCGTTACTCCCTTCAGCCCTCATTTATATTAGAAAGGGATCCTCGCATGCCTCTTGATTTTCTTTAAGATAAAAAAGAAGAGCTGCTGGTGCTTTGTTTTGAACATGCGCTGACCTTTGAAATAGCGACTATATCAATCCTATTGACCTCTGCAACCGCCTAAACTCCTACATTATCCCTGAAGCCGCAGTCCATGCCTTCATAACCTTCTTGTTTGTTATTAATGGATACTGGCTTACAATCGCATTCAACCTGCCGCTTCTCGCATACAATGCAAAGAAGTATGTCCTCCCCCGCACCCGGCTTGATGATCACACAACAAACCGACCACCCCCCTTATATACCCACCTGTCGGCCATTTGGGGACCTCCAAACTAACAAGCTCTACTTCTCCTTCCAAGAATATTCGAAAACCAACATCTTCTCGATGCTACAGAAATTTTCCGAAAGTTGAATGTCCACAAGAAGGTACATACTCGAAGCTTCCATCCATAAAGTTTTTTTGGGAGGCAATCCACCTTTCTGACCAGATGTCCTTTTTCACCACTTCTAGGAGTCCTTTATCAAACTTGGCTTCCACCTCGTCATGTTCTTTTTCTACCTCTACAGCATGATCGTTGCTCTTATCCGAGACGAAACCCATTGACTACGTGATAAGACGGCTCATGCTATGCAAAACGGTCGACCGCTACATTGAAGTGAAAAATAAAAATAAGAAAGCTACTACTTCAAATACTCAACAGCACATACATATCTCACCAGGGATAGCAACGACGGGGTCATGACAAAAGGCGGTTTTATTGGCTGGCTCACTCTCCCTTTTCACTTTTTGTTCTCATACACATCCCAACAAAATTAAAAAATGGGATGCGAAGCGCCTCATGTATTCCTCCTCTATTTTCATCCCTTTTATTATGATAATGGCCCCCCTCCCCAAAGTCCTGATACGAATAGGCTTGGTGGAGAAATGAGAAATGTGAGAATGATTCCTGATCTTCTGATAGTCACCCTTACCCACCCATTCCCACCCCATCTCATCCGAGATCCCAAATACTGCCGATCCCCTTCGTTGATTACCTTTTGCATCTCTCAACCTTTCACTTACATGTAATGTTTTTTTTCTAACGGCCCCCCTTGGGTCGAACACCAGTTTGCATTGTGTGTGGAAAAGTAAGGGCCGCCAGCCCCCCGTTGACCTTTTGGGTCGAGGAGTCTCAAAACCAGCCACTGTAATTACTCAACTCGTTCTCCCTCCGGTCTGACTGTATAGCAAATACGTTAGAGAGATGTGAATAATAAATATTGTTTATGACAAGGGACATGAAGGATTGAAAGTTTATATGATTTAGTCTGTCTGTCTGTTTGATGAAGTGTAGATGCCACATGGAAAACAAGATGAAAGCCCTTCTAATTCAAAAACAAAACAAAAAAGAACGCTTCAAGGATGGGGGAAAATGGGAAAGGGGGGGATAGAAGAAAAGGGAAGTTCCCAGCATGTAATAGCAATTTCTGGTCTCGCCATATTCTCTCTTCTTGTCTTGGAGTTTGTATTATCGAACTTTTGAAATTTATGAAAAAAAAGTAGACCGGTGGTGCAGAATAGAAAAGGCGAAAGGGGGGAGTGTTTACTATCAAACAGGATGAAAAAGTAGAGACGGGAAGGGGGAGTCAAAATGAGATACTAAGGGGGAAAGACAGGGGTGGAAGAGAGTGGAGGGAGAAAAAGGGATTCAAAAAGTATTTTAACAAGAAATCAAGCAGTGACCAACCGGTGAGACAGGGGCAAATTGTACCATGAATAGCAAGCAAGAAGCAAGAACTTGAACTGGAACTGGAACTGAAAGCAACAGCAAAAAAGGTTCCCATAAAGACTGTATGTATCGTAACACCTTTCCTCTCTTCTTTTTATCCATTTTTTTCTTTTTCTCTTTTTTCTGGTTTTTTAGGTGAGTATGTTCCTCCTCTTAAACTTGGATTTTTCGTTAAGTTTCGTGGTGCTAGCAGCAGAATGCAAGAATGTAAAAGAAACTAAGATGTTTCGATGTAAGAAGGGAAAACGAGTTGGTGAACCATGTTCGAATGGTTCCTGAGGTATGCGGAATCCAGGAAGGTGTATGAGTAGTATGAGTATGTGTGTGGTTGAGCCGTTATTCGTGATCTTCAAGACTCTAGATGGTATTTCCAATGAAAGAAGGGTTTGAATCTCGGAGAAAGTAATAACGGATATTCACAATCTCCAAAAACGCCGTTGCAAATTATCAATTCTAAAAACGAGGGTTCCGCTTGGGATGCAGAGTGTGTGAGGTGGGCGGAATAAGGTATTACGTATCGCAGTAGCAGGACTGGCGAATGCAGGGCCGGTTGCGGGTTGAATTGTTAGAATATACCCATAGACACGGCTAAGTTGATGCTATGTTCGAAGGTATATCATTAAGAATTAAGCGATAGACTGTGGAATTGGTTTGTCCATTCGCTCTGGCCGGGGTGAGCTCTATGGCCGCTCACGTTAAGTCGGCTAAAGTCAGGAGCATTAGGATCCATCATGTTGTAGTTTGGTTGCTGGTATGAAGAAAACGGGTCAGTCTGAGGTTGAATTCCGGCTCCAAACCCAGCGTCAGTTTGTCTAGCAACTCCAAAGGGATGGTAAGGGTCAAGGTAGGGGGGACGCATTCCCGGCTGCACTGGGTCTCTAGTTGGGTCTAGATATGGAGCAGAAATTCCCTGGTTAAGGCCGCCGTAATGTCCATAGTCGTGTTGTCGGCGTCGATCAGCGTGGGCGTCCTGTCCATATCCCATCATCCCAGCACCAGGAACTGGAGGCTGTAGTCCAGTGGACGGAGTGACAAAGGAGGCAGGATTAATAGCAGACATCCAGATGCGTGTCTTGTAGATTTTGAAAAGATCCGTAACTAAGGAATTAAAATTGATGTAGGAGTCGGCAAAGTAGTAAAAAGTAAGTTTCTTCCAGTCCCTGTTATTGTATCAGTCAGTATATATAAAACAATAAGATAGCAGTGACGGTACTCACATCTGGAATTCAGCATCAAGAATCTCCATGTTGAGACGATGCTCGGCAACCTTCTGCTGGCACACACGTTTAGCTTTGGCTTCGTTTCCTTCTTTGTCACGGAGGGTCTGGATCTCATGGTTTTGAGCCAGTCTCTTAATCAGCTTGGGTTTTATTTCTGCAGCTTGAGGTTCTTGAGAAGAGTGTTGGGACTGAGGGCCCATGCCGCCGACGGCACTGCCTGGGGCACCGCCCAGAGATGGAGGCGCATTCGGATTGATTGACCCAGCGCCCGCGGCTTGATTCTGGCGTGAGAACAGCATAAGCCATTTATAATGCTCCTCGGCATAGTGGTCCTTGAGTTCTTTGGCTCTTGCCCAGCTAATGTTTGCATGAGCAACGGTACCCAAGTCAGTGCCACGGTCAGCTTCGACAATCACGAGCTCGCCAGCTTTGACTTCTAGGCCGGTGCCCTCTTGGATATAGAAGACATCTGCACGGTAACACTTGAAAGTAACAATGAATAGCTGTTGGTTTTGGTGGGGCTGACCAAGGGCAGCGTGCTGGCGTCCGAAAGTATTTGGCATGACATACGCTTGATGAAGGGAGGTTGAAATACCAGAAGTTGGGATACCCTCTTGTCCAGGAACAAATGAAGCTATTATAAAATGTTAATTAACATCCCATTACGGTGGTTTGAGTGGTCAGTTGGAGGCAGTTCACTTACCAATCTCCGCAGATGAGGTATTTAAACCATTTTCAGTAAAATTCCCTTCATCACGGGTTAGGAGGGAGGACGTCGAACCAGCCGATGCTCGAGTCTCCGTTGAAGAAGGGAAAGAAGATGATGGATGCCTGGTCAAAGTATCGGCGAAAGAATGGCGGCGGCTTTGAGGTACATCAGATATACTGCCAAATCCAAGTGAGCTCTGCCACTGAGCTCGCTTGATGTTTTCCAAGGTACGATTCTCCAATGACGCAAAGGTAGGAAACTGCTTTTCCAGGTTGGTCGAATGTTCGCTGAAACGTCTGCGGGCGTTATTGCGGGAGTTGTAGCCCGCAAAGCCGCCAACGTCTTCTAAATCATCTATGGCCAGATCAGATTCTTCCGGAACACTGCCTTGGATTGGATGAAGCTTGTGAGTCTGAGTCATAGAATAACCGTTGTTGGCGGATGTTGATGAGAGGGTGCGATCACGGAATCTGTTGGTACCCTCAGCTTGGCCTGATGCAGCTTGACGCAACATTGCGTTCTCTAAAGTGAGCTGTTCAATGGTGCGTGCCTGGTTAGATGCCCAGTTATTGTTGCTGGGTTCTATGCCGCTAGGACTAATGTCGTCATCATCTTCGCGAACACGTCCTAAGGTAGCAGGGTCATGTCCTAATTCCAACAAGCTAGGCCGAGAAGAACGACGCTGGATTGAAGAGTATTGTGCAGCAGGCCTATTGCGACTAATGGGTGGAGTGGGCTTATTTGAAGTCACGAGAGGAGGAGGCATACTGCTGGATTCTGGGTCCAGCTGCCCGACAGAGTATGACTGTGAGCGGTATGTCTTGGGTGTTGGGTGAAGTGGGATGGCAAATGGAATCGGTGGCTCCCCAGATGCTTGATGTGCTGTAATTCCATTCTGATCTTCCCCTGAGGTACTGATCATATTTGGAGGGTTCGAGCTTGTTGGGGACTGGAGAACCTCGACCATGCGAGAGGGGGGTTCCTTTCGATTGTCAGTATTCCAAATCCCTGTGCCCCATGGAAAAGAGCCTGTGCCAGATGTATTTCCCCAGTTCACCGATGTGGTGACGCCGGGACTTGTAGCGGTACCCCATGATGATTGATCTGCTGCAGGTGTGGTGGGATTGGAACTGACTGGTGAGAATGAGCTGGTGACGGGGAGTGAGGCTTTCCTCATTAAAGTGCTGGGCACTTCGTTAAGCCAGGATGTACGGCGGCGTTGGTTTGCCAAAGGTGTAGGTTGGGGTTGGGCGTGGTGATGATGGTCAGTCTCGTCATCAGAGGAAGCAAGGGCATCCGAATCGGGCGTCGAACGGCGGACACCTGGCCGAGATTTCTCTAATAAGAGGGATGCACTGTTTCCTGGTGTGTTTGCAAATGCCGCGTTGGCAGATCGTACTGACTGGCCATTTTTAGTTGAGGTAGCCATACTTATTAATGTGTTTGTGAACGACAACGGAGGATAGCGGAATTTTGATGAGGATATTGGGGAGTCCTCGACTGGTGGTTCGACTCGAGCTATTTCAAGTCGTCGGGATGTATTTGAAGTGTAAATGAGATGACGTTATCCAAGGTCTAGGTAATAAACCCCTGGGTTTAAAACAAGGGGAGGTGCTCTCATGTGTTGTGAACAAATCGGGTCTTCAACTGTTATTAGAAGATAGATTAGAACAGGCTCAACAGACAACTTTGGAATATTTCGGATCGATCTTCAGTAAACGTCACAGTATGACGTCTTGGATGCCGATAATATTTTCCTTTGATCTGCAGACCGTCGCGATAGGTTCGCGACAAGAGAGTTGAAAAAAATTTGCGTGGCTAGTAACACTCACACGTGCGTCAACCCCCAATCTGGGGAAGCTTTATAGGGCGCCGTGAGCTGCACGCGTCAGGGAAATTGCCGAAGAGCAGTTGTCCTAGACTCAAGCTGGGACGAAAAGGCAGGATAATATACTATCTTGAGATGAAAACGGAGGAGGCTGCAATAGGAGAATTGCGCAAAAGCTCGTTGGGACAAGTAGGTCAGGGAGCAGACGCCGGATGCGGCGTGAACGACTCCGTAGTATGAAAAGCTGCGGTTTATTATCTGGAGGGTAATGTCGAAGGAAGATGCTGGCTCAAGGACTACAGATCGATGGCGAATTAGCACAGATAACTAGATGGACGATAGTGGCGAACAGAGGAGAAGGGAATTCGAACGCACAGTCTATACCGCGGTGCACGGGTATCAACCTCTCCCGCTTCTGAATATCTTCCCCCAACGCACACTCAAAACGAGCATACACACGGCGAGGAGACGATAGATAAGGACCTGAGGTTGTCTGGCAAAGCGCGACCTGTCAAATAAGGTTGTGGAGGGGTTACAAGGCGACAAGGCAGGATGATGTGAGCTGACGTCGGGTGTCTGAATCGTCTTTTCACGGGCAAGTGCCGTGTGAAACAGGGAGAGCGAGTTTATAAAGTATCCGTGCGGCCGATGAGAGAGGGAGAAAAAACACCGGCGACGCGGGCGATGGAGTACGAGGTACGGGTGAGAGATGATATTCAATAGCCGACGAAATCCTGAGGTTGGCAAGGCCTGGGCCGACGACCAGGCAGGTAGGTGGATTTCGGCTGATGATGGCCTATCTAGAAGAAGCGCATTCGCCAGCGGATTATCGTGGGGTGGTTCAGCAGAGCTGGCGACGGAGTGAAAGGAAGTAAATGAGGAGGTCGTGTGTGAGAGAAAGAGAGGAGGGAGACGGACGATGTAAGTAGAGAAGCAGAGGAGAAAACAGCAGACAGGAAGTGGTAGCAAAAGAGTAAAGTGGGTGGCGTGAGGCGGCGGCGGTAGATCTGGAATGGCTCACTAACTGAGTCTAAGTCTCGTCTCCAGAAACCCCAGATGTCGACGACGTATGAGAAGACAGAGGCTGGTGGCACACTAACTTTAGCGGAGTCGGGAGGTGTGGGCGAGCTTCTCGTCTTGTCTTGTTTAATTTTTCGCTTTCCTGCAGCGCTGCTTGCTTGCGTCTGCTCCGTCTCTTTGCTGCTGAATGATGGGTCCGTCTGCTTGCTTGCTTGCTGCTTTCTTTTTCCTTGGTTCTCTCACTATTCCTTGCACTCTGGGCCCGCCTCGAGCCTAAAGTCAGTCTGGAATCTCTTGATCTGCGCCTAAAACCTTCCAAACTGGGCTCTGCTCTTTTTTGACAGAGATTCAGTTAGGACCCGGAACCATAGCTATATCAGAGGGCCAGCTGTCAGGTTGAAATTGGCGCTGGCGCTGGCGCTAGGAGGGATGGAGTTACCTGAAGCGAAAACAAATAAGAAAAGCCGACACGGATTGTCAATCCAGCTTTCACCAGCTCCCCTTTTTCAGCTCGGGGGCTATAGTCAACCGTTTATTTGTGGAGTCGTTGGACTCAGGGTCCCTGGTAACTAGCTATCTCCAGTCAAAGCGGCCAAAGCCCTCTCCCTTTTTAGGCCCAGTTTAACCTATAAGGACCTGTGGCTGCAATAATATAAGCTAGGCTCGACCCTTGGAGCGCAGGTTGTGAACTCGGGCCAAAGTCGGATATCTTGACGATGATGGATGTTGAGTGTCGAGGAGGGAAAAAAAAAGGAAACATTCAGGGAAGCAGTCGATGTCGAATACCGCCTGGCCTCGTCCCGTCTTGTCTCTTCACTCTGTGCAACGGTGATCACAGAAGAGCGTAAAAAAGTATTTGTCTGTCCGTACGGAATATTTCAGGTCGTTGTTGGTAAGTGCATAGGCCTTTTTGCATCTACCCACTAGATATACCAGCACCAGAGCTCTCTTGACGGAGGAGGGCACTGTCCAGATTTCATCTACCAAAACTCCCTAACTAGGTTCCAACTAGGTTTCTGTAGAACCAAGGTATATGTACAGTTTAAGGCAGTACATGGGAAATAAGACAGAAAGTCGCCTCCAAAAGCTACCAAAGACCAAAATCTCCAGAGTACGTAAACTGGAAGAAAAAACTCTCCCAGAGAGGCAGAAAAAGGGTCAGTGGGTCGACAGCTTGTCCTGCAGCAATGCCTCATGCCTCCCCAAGCCAAAACACCCCCTTCCCGGCCCTGCTGTCGTGCAGCTGGCGAGAGCGTGGAAAAAGCGACGTGACGTTGAAGAGTTGAAGTTGAAGAGTCGAAGTCGCGAAAGTTGAAGTTCGATTTCAGTTTTGCCTCAAGTTCCGCTTTGGGCCTCGAGCTAGGGCAAGACGTGCCACGTGAGGCTTCACATGACGTGTTGCTTCTTTGGGAATGTCCAGCCTCCCTTTTGACAGTCGGCCTGACGTAACTATAACACACACCGCCGCCTGACACGCTGTGTATACAGGTACGACAGCAACAAGCCCGGGCTTTTATTTTGGCGATTCCTGTTGTGCCTTGGTTGCTGGAGCTGCTGTGGATAACTAGTTAGTTAACTAACAACCACGGGGATGGCTAACTAGTTAGTTAGTTAGCCAACCGACTCCACGAAACCCACCGTTAACCTTCTTTGATGGCCCAAGCTAGGGAGGTTATGAGGTTATGGTCCTTGCCCAAAGCTCCCTCTCCAAGGCCAGAGTCAAAACCGACCAAGCGAGCCAGCGCGAACAGACAAAGAATTCCTTGTTGTCTCGATGTTGTGTTGCGAGGAGAGTGGGTGTAAAAAAAGGTCTGGCTCCCAGTCTCGCAACTAACTCCTCCGTAACTGCTGCGTACTCGACCATGGTTGACTGCTATTATGTCAAGCCCGCTATTAATATACGTGCGTATTAATGATTTAACAGGTGCACTGCGGAGTACTGCTATCAGAAATGCCCTTCACTCGCGCCCAGCTGCCACTTGGGATGCCATGCGGCGTAACGGTGTTGAGACTCACCCTTGCTCACCCTGGTCAGACGTGGGACGGTCGAGGATTTGAGTGGGACGGCCAGGCGGAGAGAGGAGATAAGGACACAGGAGGGGGAGGTGTTGGCGAGGAAGTTTTACGCTAAGCAAAACGTTGCTCCTGATCCTGGTTCACTCGTCAGTCCAGAGCCACGGTCAAGGTTTGGCCGAGTTTGTTGATGGACCAACCGCAGAATATCTATTCCGGATGAAAAAGCACCCTGTGGCTTTCCGTCATGGCCGGCGTACTAACACTATCTCATCGAGGGACAGCACCAGTGGACTGACATGGATGTTTGAGAAGACAAAACGAGTTCTTCGACGAGTTAACCGGCCCAGTAAGTTTTCGCTCCACTTGGTGCTGCAGCACCTACAGTTGTCTCCATATCGATTATATTATCTATACGAGGTTATCAGGTAGGCGATACTGGAAGCATATATGGTGACCGATGGCCTCGAATCACACCCGGAGAGTATGGAGGGGGGGCCTGATGTTTTCTTGCATACCTAGCTGGGCCTGCAGCCGTCGTGGAAGGGCCCATCATATCCTGCGATGAAAAATGAAACGGCACACATATGCATTCACGGCCTGACAGACCCCCTCATCCTCTGCACCCCGCATAATATTGCTTCTCTATCTTACCTCGCTCGGCCTTCGCCACCACGCTTTGAAAAGGAGGTTCTCGATCATTTAACTATCCGTGTCTCAGGCTATGAGCAGGACCCTACTCGCGCAACTTTATGATATGAATAGAAACATTTATGTACCAACTTATGGAGGTACGGATACTCATGAAGACTTGAAACTGGCGCCCTGCACTTTCAGGCTGTAAAACCTCCCCATCTGGCCTGACGGATTTCCGTCCCCTTGAGGGATTTTCCTGCCTTTCCATCTCCACCTCCCACCCCCATCGACCATGCGGGATGATGGGATGCGGGATGCACGGAACCGCATCCCGACCAAACTCCGGCCAGCCATGCAACTTCCTCGTCTGGAGGAGATCGGGCTGTTCGATCAGCCTATTCGCATATTTGATACCGCTCACCGTACATACACACCAGGAAGGCCACGCTTTTCACTTAGCATCCAGATCATCTTCTACAGGATATGCCTGCTTCCCTGGTAAAGAACTCGGAAGAGGATATCGGGCGTGGTTGCTATATGATGCATGGGAGACGGCGTCTATCCACATTGCTGCATACAAATCTTCCTCTAGCAGAAGGGATTCAAGACGCTAAAAAGCAAAAGCAAAAGACCCCAAGATCTGGTATCCGTCCACTCAAAAAGAAACCTCATTGAACTAACGTATTTAGCATCGAGCGATGCGATGCAGGAGAGATGATCCCTCTTCTTGGCTCCCTTGCCATCCCCGGCACGGATAATCAACCAAGCAAGCAGCCTTAGAGACTGCTGGTCCATGCAGCGTCTATCCAAAGCGGACACCGTGCCCGACGAAATTAAGTACAGGTATCTATGAATCTTTTCTATATACGGCGTATCCTCTTTAGCCCTACTAGTTAGTTCGCTATTTTGCCATATATACTTATTCTTCCGCAGACCGACATCTGCCTCGGGATGGTTATATAAAAGCTCCGCACTGCGCTGCGCTTAAATTGCTCGGCATCATCTCCTTCTTTGGGAGCAGCAGTCTGAACCTTTTGTTGAGGGGGGTACTCTCTCCCCTTTTCTCCAATTCTCACACGGCGTACGTCTTCAGTAAACCATGCCCCTTGCTCGTGTTTGTGCTCCTCTGCGGAGACCACTTTGACGCCCATTTGCTCATGCAAACGATCAGCGGGATTTCAATTAAGCCACATCTTCATAGTATACAGACTATCATAGAACATCACCTATCCCAATTGACTAATAATATTCTACATAGCACACGCATACATACTCCCATTAAGGGGGGTTGATAATACTGCTTCACGTACTCCGTAACTTTGCCATCACTGATATTAGGATATACACCCATATCTATAATATACAGAACAAAACAACTAGCCTCAATGCAATGCCAGTGTGCTCGTCACGATTGGATAAGAGTGGAGGATTCCAGGTTGCACGTAAAGTTATTAACACATGTAACATGGAGCTACATGGTGAGTGCACCATCGTCTGGACCTGGGCGTACATTGGCTGGACAAGGAGCCGAAGGGCCTCTTATGCGCCATACATATGCATAAGAGGTTTTCCCTCGTCTAAAGACCGCTGCGAGTATGAAAAGCCGGGCTGTCGCACATACGCTTAAGGGAGTCATGCAAGAAATAACATGTGGAAGGCCGATCGGGCAAAGGGCGGAAGGGTATCGTGGCACGCAAAGATTGATTCGATATCAGCTCATACTCCAGCCAGAGGTCTAGGCTATTATTGCGGCGCCGGGCCCTTTTGTTGCTTCAACTTCTCTTCAAACTGTGCAAACTCTTGTGCGGCAATTTCTTCCTCCGGATCGAGTACTTGTGTGACGGACTTCACTTCTTCAATCTGTACATCAAACGCCAAGAATTAATAACGCAAGTTCAGGATTCCAAAGAGATGGGACTAAATGTGCGGAATGGGTAGGGTAGGTGGGACTCACGTAATGCATGAGCATGGACTCGATGCCGTTCTTCAATGTCACTGTACTTGAATCACAAGTTCTGCAAGCTCCACGAAGCTTTAGTAGGACATTCCCATTTTCAAATCCACGGAATTCAATATCTCCACCATCTTCTTGAATAGCCGGTCTGATTCTTGTCTCGAGCAATTCCTGGATCATCCCAACAATTTCTTCGTCTTCTTCGTTATACCGTACGGCTTCTTCTCCCACTTCCTCGGCGCCCTCCTTACCTGGTCTAACATCAACAACATTTACCAGTGCCTCACCTCTTGTAATTGCTTCAGTAATCAGGCTGAAAATCTCCGGTTTAATATGAGCCCAGTTCGCATCACTGTCCTTAGTTACTGTGATAAAGTCCGAGCCGAAAAATACCGAGACGGCACCATCAACGTTGAGAAGCTTCGCTGCCAGAGGAGACGGATATGGCGGTTGTAGGGTAGATCGGGGATTTAGGTATTCGAGGAAGGAAACCGGGAATCCTTCAGGGAGGACCGGGTGGTTCGGTCTGAACTTGAGAGCCTAGCATAAACGAAAAGGATTGAATCAATGCTCCGAGCGGCAGACTTGCGTTAGGATTAAGAGTACATGTGGGCTCACATCAGCATTAGGGGTGGTATCAGTCTCAATGAATATAGTTCGCCTATCCGAAGGAACGCCGACACGGCCTTGGGTGACAGGCTGGTGATGCCGTCGCAAGGTTGGCCGGTGATGTGACAGCATGACCATCGGCGGCCTACTTGCGCTCGAAAGCCATCTTGTAGATAGCCGATAGCCTTGCCTTCTTGGGGCCGACAAGGGCCCAGACACCGTCCTGTAAAGCACACGGGATAGAGGCCGCGACGCCATGGTGATTCACTCTTGCTGTTAGTGTTGTGAATAGCAGCAAGAAATCATCCGGAGTTGAGTCTTTGATTTCTCAGCTTTTCTTTGGCCCGTCTGCGCATTGACGTAATTATTAATAGGGCTAATAGTTCTTCCGTCAAAAACCTTGTTTATAATAACTCTAAACTTGTAATAGGAAGCGATAATGCAGATCATATAAGCACGTGATATTATGTGATTATGTCATCAGTATATAAATATCATAATTATAGCTCTTCCTCCAACAATATTAATAGTTTTTTAGCAATAATTAACGTATTAACATACCCTAATGGAGACTCTTGTAGTTCAGGTAGGCGAGAAGAAAACAGCTCATCTGGGTTATCTTTCGTCTCTGATGGTGTTACGCCTTTCTTTCTCGATTGTGGGGAAAGCTCCAGGTAAAACTGGAGAAAACCTCTTGGGTATTAACAGAAGTACTGGTGTTGACTGAACTATATCTTTTATATGATCAGTATACTCTCCTACCGGTACAGGCCTTATATACGTCTACACTACTCCAGTATCCTAGTTGACTTCGTGATACGGCTGCATATAATTTAATACTTCCTATCTAGAGAAGGCAGGTTTAATAAAAAAATGAACAGCCTCTTGTGTATTATGCTGGTATTCCCGGGCTCTGTCTTTTGATTTCGTAAATTTAAGGCTCACAATCCTCGTATGTTTGGCTGGGGAGACAGTGTCATGGTGCAATAGCGGACTATAGCATTTCTCTAACTCTAGTTGGCGGAGCTATCGACCTCTTAACCGAGTCCTCGGGGTTGTAACATCTACACCTACGCCCGAGAGGCCTCCCTATTTGCTCGATATCATACCCCAATACCAATTCACAGATGCTGTTCTTCAAATTCGTTATAATTTGATATATTACTATCAGGGCCTTGCAAATTCACCCCTAGGATCACGGTACTCAATACATCTGCCCATATAAAAGAAGCTCCTAACCATCCATTCAAAAAATGACACAGAAGCTAATGTCGAAGGGTTTTTTCACAATTCATAAATATGGGTATACAATAATACAGACAAAGGCAGTCCAGGCAAGAGGGCAACCAAGGTGGAAAACGAAGCAACAGAAAAAGGAGGCAGGCAGGGAGCAGACCTGCTTAAGTATGGCTGAAACCAAAGCGAAGAAGGATGGTGGGGAGGGAGAAAAGAAGAGAGGATATGGCAGACATTAATTTAGGTATATGAGGAGTGTAAAATGATGATGGCAATGATGATGATGATGATGAAAAATAGAATATTTCCTCCCGGTGAGTAAAAACCACATCCCTCCCTTTCCTAACCAACCCAAGTAAATGAGCCAACGTTGAAATTGTAAATTGTATCAAGTGAGTTGGCGGGCCATATTGACACTCTATCACAAGAAATAGATCGTATCAAGGACATTACTATCATAACAATCATCAGTTCAAGGTCTTCTCCATACAAACCGTTTGCGTCCTGGATCTGGGATGCCGCTGGCGGATGGTTCCACTTGCGTGCTCCGGTTGTAGAGTTCCTGTGTGGTATGCCGTCAGTATAAATGCGCGCGGTATATATATACAAGCGTAAATCATGTGTGAATGAATGCATTAAAACAACTAACCTCGTCATCTCCTCCAAATTTCGCCTCTAGGATCAACCATTGGGTGATATCATGCTTGCTGTACGCGGGAAATGAAGTTTTCTGGCTCTGTTGGATGGAGAGAATGACATCCCCCATCACCTCAAATTTCCGCCAATTAATTCGGTCATTGTTCGCGCCGACAAAGGTTTTATTACCCTCCTCTGCAGACACCAGGTCGCGAAGGTGGAGGGGTAGGAATGGTATTCTTTCATTGAAGGAGTTTCCCCAGGCGAGTCGATATGCAAAATGACTCTTTTCGGTGCTCATGAGTATGACTACACTCATAAACTGCTTCTGTAGGGTTGGAGGCACTAGTTCTCGAGTTTGTGCTAGCCTCGCAACAGGCCCGCCATTTAACCCTGCAATAACTGCGCCTAGCGCATTATAATTGTTAAGTTGGCGGAGTTTCTGTAATATGGAAGAACTCCTATTAGCCGAGAACGACTTCAATTGTATATGAAAAAAGGAGGAGAGAATAGGCTTGGGTAAATGGAGAATTCGTAACAACTCACCAATGATATATTCATAAACTTCCCCAGCGCCTGGGCTCTGTGTTTGGCCTTATCTCGAAGCAATACCATGCTAGAAACGAAGAACGCCAGGTGATTAAAGGATTTAATCATCCTGTTAACATTCTCCAGGTATGCTGATGATTTCCCTTTGTTTGCACCTGACAAACTGACATGTCGAATGAGTTCTCGCGGCCGGAAGGAAGTGTACATGATCCAGTCCATCCGAGTTATTTCTCGGGCGAATTCTTCGTCAGGAATGTCCATGAATATGCGCCATTGTGTTTTTGTGAGTTGGTTGCGTGGTACCAGTTCGAGCTTGTGAGCTTCCTGCTGGGCGGATTCAACGCTGAGAAGGTGCCGGAAAGACTGACCGGAGATGCTACCGGCCCTGTCTGCGCTGGATGCGGTGGAGAGGTTGGAGTTTTGCGAGGAGAGGTCGAGGTCCATGTCGCTGACGTTGAAATTACCCATGGACTGAGACATGCGGTTTGACGACATATCCGAAAACGGATCAGTGGATTCATGTACAGAGTCCTCGTCGGCGTAAGCCCAGCATAGGTCATCGTCCTCCACGAACTTCTCGAGGTAGGAATTCATCTCCTTTGCAGCAAAGGCGAAGACGATGTTCTTCTCGATAGAAGCAATGAATTCGATCAGTCGCCTCCGGGATTTGGCTCCAGCGAAATCTCCGGGGTACTCTGAGACCCATTGTGCGAGGACGTTAAGGAATCTGAGCTGGTCTGCGTGGCGGGTGAGCAGCGGTGATCGGCTGCAGTTGATGTGCTCGAAGCGTGTGATTATGGCAGTCAGGACTTGATAAGGAGTAGCGAATTTCCGATAAAGGCAGAGGAAGATGGCGGGAAATTTCGCATCCTGCTTGGACATTGGCAAGGAGAGGAGTCTGTCGACCAGCTCGTCAAGCGTACAGCCGGTTTCATCCTGCTTCTCCTTTGGCTGGGTCTGGCTTGAAGGGCTTCCGGCGGATTTTGAGTCGTCTAGCTCATCATCCATATCAAGGAAGCTGCTGAAGGCGTCTGAGCCAGCGCTGTGCCTCCAAGTCGTCCTCAGGTTTCGATACCTGGCCTTGCCCGGGGGTGAATCTTCAATGATGGTCTCTGAGGCGCTGCGGTTTGATATCGTACTTCCGGGCGGTGTTCTTGGCGGCACGGGCTGGGAATTACTACGGGCATATCTCGAGCCGACGTGAGCGCTAGGGGCCAAAGACGAGCTGCTTAACGTGTCAGGGTGGGCACTACCACCACCACCTCCTCCGCCGCCGCCGGCGGATCGGTCAGATCTAGTAGTATCGCTGGTCGATGGCCTGGGGTTCTCGGAGCTTGCCCGTGTATGAGGTCGGTTGCGGGGAACAGGTTGGCGAAGTAGAAGGGTGCTGCTGCTGCTGTTGTTGCTGCTGCTGTTGGAGGGCGCGAGGTTTGGAGAGGAAGAGGTGGAGAGTGGCAAGCGGTCTGTCGTAGAAGAGGCTACATCTGCAAAGGAGAGCATCGAGACGTCAGCCGGAGCGGCAAGCCAGCGTGAGAATGCTTCAGGGGGAGGACGCTGGGCAGAGAATATTTCATGCTTGAAGAAGAAAAGGTGAAAAGTCGACTGCAACCAGAACAGGGGGGGAGGATGAACGGAAAGAGAGAGTGAGAAAAAAAGAGAGCAGGAGAGCTAAGACTCGACTCCCTGGCCGGCAAACTCGAACTCATAAAAGAGCCAGAGCAGGGGGAGAGCACAGAGTTCTTCTTCTCCTGCCTCGTCGTCGTTCCTCGTCTTGTTCGTTTTTCCTTCTCTCTTTGCTTTTTGGGCGGTGCGAGGCGTGGGTGGAGAAAGCCGGGAGCGAGTTTAGCGTGATAGACAGGGGGGACGAAGCAGCAAAAGCCCCGAGAGCAGCCAGAACGAACAAGAGAGAGGAAGATAGGAAAGGTGTAAGAGAGAAGAGGAGGATGGCTCTTTGGTCGACGTGCTCAACCGGTCGAGGCGAGTCTGGTTGGTGTTGACATCGTCCGCAGAGTGACGGTGTTTCTTTCCTGCTTCCCGGACATATATATAGAGGCACAGGGGGGATAGAACAAGCAGACGGCATGCATGAGAGCAGCAAGGAAGAAGGGAAGAAGCAGAAAAGAGAGGAAAAAGACAAAACATACCGGCACTGCGCATGATGATGGCTCGCAGGATGGTCGAGATGCACTTTTTGTGGGATTCAGGATGGCTGGCGGAGATTCTCTGCACCTTCAACCCTAGGAGTGACCGGCATGCTTGCACTAGGGCTAAAGGGTCCTGCTGGGATTCGTTCTGAGGGCCATCGCATTTGCAGGCTATCACGAGGAAAGGGATGTTGGTCGACTTCCGAAGGGCATCTAGTATTCCGTCCGTTCAGCAGCTGTAACCGTAGGATAATATCCGCAAAACAAAAAAAGAAACAGCAACAGCAACAGAAGAAAAAGAAAGAAAGGGGGAAAAAGGAACCAAGGACACCGAGAGAGAGGTCTAGTCCTTACCAAGAACCTGTGGGTACTGGGACACGCTGCGTAGATCGGTCGAATCGAAGAGGCAGAGAACCCCGTCGATGGGAGGCAGAGCCTGCTCGCCCAGGGACTTGGGCCAGACGATGCGGCCGCGGTCGTCCAGGGTGATCTTGTGGATAGCGATTTCCAGCAGCCGGACCACATATATAGCTCCATCCATGGACATCTTCTTGATCGAAGACCGGACCAGCGGCGTCTGCTTCAGGTCCAGCGCGCACTTCACAAACGTCGACTTGCCCACGCCCGCGGCTCCCACCACCGCTAGGTTCACCTGGGGAAGCTGGTGTCCAGACGTAGCAGCCTAATACACGCGAACAAGTTAGCCAGCTACTTCCAAGAGTCTCTTCACACACATGTCATATATACAATATATATGTATATATATCCCCGGTGCCCAATGCTCTCGCACAATCCGTGTCCGGAGCAGACGAGAGCATAGCAAAGGGCACACCAGGAAATCAGGATATCAAGGGGCGGTTTGTTTTTTATATCACGCATACCTCCTCCGAGCTGTCCCTCTCCCTCTCCTTCTCCTTCTCCCTGTCGTCGGGTTCCGGGCCCGTCATGGTCGCCTCGTTCTCTGCTATTGCCGTGAACCCAGAGCCATCCTGCTTGCCTGAGCGGCTGGACTGAAGGTGCAGCTTGCCAACGGGGGCCGAGTACGTTCGGTTCTGGAGCGGAGGACGAGCAGGGCGTGGGGAAGAGAGACCATCACGCCCAGCGCTGGTTGACCGTGTCCTGGCGAGGTTCAGCGAAGAGGAAGCGGACATACTATATACTATATATAATTTAATATAATTTATATATAATATATAGGTATGTTACGGGGTTCGGGCGTGTCTGTGTATGAGACAGGATGCGTTTAAGGTAGAGCTTCCTCTGCTCTGTCTCTGGTCTGTCTCTCCTTGCTGTCTGTCTGTCTGTCTGTCTGTCCGTCCGTCTCTGTCTCTGTCTCTGTCTCTGTCTATCTGTCACTCTGTCTGTCACTCTGTCTGTCACTGTCACTGTCACTGTCTCTCGTGTGTCTCTCTTGTCTCGTTCTCGTTCTCGTCGCAAAGCAGCCCGTCTGATATATCGGTGACAGGATCACTGCTGGAGGTCTGATATCGAGCAGACGCTCTGCTGCATGTCTCTCGCGGATGCTTCGTCTTCGTTTCGTGTCGTTCGTCTTCCCCCAAAGCCAGCCCGGCGCTGTTCTACTGCTTGTGATGCTCGCTCCTCATCGCCAGCCGCCGAATTGAGTGTCTCGTTTCCCTTGTACCGGCTGCTGTCTCTCTCGACGGAGGCAAATCCAGGTGATAGATAACAATAAGAAGAACAAGAAGAAGCAGGACCAGAAGCAGGGCCAGAAGAAGCAAAAAGAGACGCCCTCCGTCCTCCAGGGCTGGCGGTCGTTGTTGTCTTTATTTTTGCTTCTTCGTTTTTTTATATATATGTATTTTTTTTTGCCTTTGGACGAAGACAAGGAACAGCGCGTTTTGACCGGTACAACGTCGCAAGGGAGGATTATGGGATAGACTGGACGGACGGAGGCTGATCGGTCTGCGAGAGGGCGTATATATATGATAATAACAACAATAACAATATAAAGATGGCAGACAGGCAGGCGTCGAGAGAGGCGACGCAGGAGATCGATGATGGGCCTCTTTTTTCTGTTCCCTTTTAGTGAGACAGAAGATGCTCCAGGTTGTTGTTTTTTTTTCTTCTTCTGTAACAAGCAAAGACGAAGAAGGGGAAGGAAAAAAGAGCTGAAGAAAGATATTTCGGTCTTCGTTTCCTTTCTTTTCTTTTTTCCTTATTTTATTTTCTTTTTGACTTGCGGTCTCTGGGGCTAGAAGAGCGAAGCATCTGGTCTGTCTGTCTGGCTGGTCTGCTTGTTACTTGCTTGATATCGTTCATGGCTGCTGTCTGTTTTGTCTACGTTTGATCTACAGGCGCTCATGCTGGCTGGCTGCTCGTACATCAGACATGTAGCATTTTCGCGAGAAAAGGGGAGAGAGTTGATGGCTGCTCCTGCGTCTTGCTCTGCCTTGGTAGGAGAGAGAGACGAGGAAGCCGGAGCAGTGATCCTGGTCTGTCTTGCTAGGGTAAGTAATAATAACAGTAACTATAAGAAGGATATATAGATCAAGTGGTGGCAAGAGGCCATCGTGTCTACCAGCAGCAGCATCCAATCCCTCATCCTGCCAGGGGCAACGAAGGCAAAGGGCGAACACACATCAGCCCGGCGGAGATAATGTGTGCAACAGCTCGTCTTCAGCTCCCAGGCTGTACGACCAGGCCTGTTCTCGATAGCGTTGGCCCTGTTTTTTCTTGGACGGGCGGCCTTGGAACGGTCGTTTGCTTCTCAGTTATTTATGCTATGCAGATACGTTGGACGCCGTGGAGTCGACGGTTGGGGATAGACGAGACCAGAGCCTCGCCCCGTCGTCTAAAGCAGCTAACCAGCCGCCGTCCCACTGCTCGGCTCTGGGTGGAAGGGCCATCTCCCCTTCTCATTCGTGTCTTGTTAGGTGTAGAGTGCTTTCTGCAGAGAAGTTCCATTTGGCCGTTGGACCCCTTGAAATCTGCCTGTGTTTCAAACCATGCCAGAAAGGAAAAAGGTACCTGTGTTTCGGGTCCTCGAACGGGTTCGTTACTCGTTTGTCCCCCTGAGGCGGAGGGACTCAGCAAACTTGCGGGGGGCAAGGGAGCAGGAGGCGGGCGTGTCGACTCGTGTGGTAGGACCAAAGGGGTCTTTTGTGACGTAAGGAGAGATCACATACTGCAGGCTGCTTGCTTGTCCTGGATGACTAGATATGGCATCTGGATCGCAAGTCCCCCAGAGTAACCATCCCCCTTCGCTTCGGTATGTCAGCAGGCGTCAGACGACAGATCATGTCTTGACGAGCCCGTGTCCAATCGGATAGGACTCTCACTTCTTGACCAAGAAAACAACAACCTCCCACGGCGCAAACGAGAAGCGAGAGAAGTGAGGCTATGTACGGAGCAGAGAACCATATCTCCTGCTTCTTTTTCCTTTAGCATTCTGGCACCCCACGATCTGCACAAGTTAGAGCAGTCAGCCGTACACATATAAATATATATGGAGGAAGGCGCGGCGTATCGTAGGCAGGCAGCAGACAGGCTGGCTGGCTGGACATCGATGCGATCTGTCGTCCCAAAAGGTACCCCATAAACCATAAACGGCGCGCACATCCCGGCAGGCTGGTAGCTTTTTTTGCCTCAGTCAATCTTTGGAGTAACGCGTCCGCTTAACCGGTTCCTGTTTTTGCTCCCGTATCGTGATCCCTATCCTTATCTATATCCATATGCATATCCAGACCCTGACCCTTATCCATATCAATATCAATCACAAGAGCAATAAAGCGTCGAAATGCCTCATCCTCAGCGCCGCCGGTGGCGCGTCTCGAGGCACCGCCATCGCCATCACACGCTTCCCTCCATTTGCGAACCTTCCCAAGTCCGCGGTTGAAGCCCTTCTCCGCGGTCCAGGGCCCTCGGTTTCGCCCTCTGGACGAATGTGACCCTCTGCCTCGCCCGCGTCCTCGCCCTCGCCCCCGTATGTGGCTGTTGTCCGACCTTGCCTCTTCAACCCATTCTTCTTCCAGTGTTAGACTGTAAATCTCCCGCAACCGCGACCGGAATCTGGGGAATCGACTCCATAACTCCTGGAGCTTGGACGATTCCTCAAGGGTGGAGAACCTGTCTTTTGATTTCCCCTGCCCAGAAGTCGTGGCAGCAGCAGTAGCAGCAGCAGATGTAGCAGGGGGTTGCGCGTTGTCGACGGTCACCGCGCTGTCGTCTTCCTGTAGGTGAGCGTTTTTGGGCGCAGGATCTTGTGCTACCGGAGAGCAGGTCGCCTTATGGGCCTTTGAACACGCCAGGGAGCAGCTATACAGGCCGCCAGTTAGAATATCCCCGTAGTAGCTTCTTCTTATTCTTATTCTTGCTCGGGGAGGACCTACCTCTGTACGCCGCAAGCTGGGCAGCGATACTTTGCTTGCTCCTGGGAGCAGACCTGGCACGACACGGCCATCAGCTCTGTGTCATGTCCCAGATACAGCTGAGCTTCTTCTTCTTCTTCTTCTTCTTCTTCTTCCTATCACGACGTAGTCTTTTTGTATTGCCGTCGCCGTCTTGTCTTCTTTTCTTCTGATATATAAAAAAAAAGGAACGACAAGAAAAACGGTCCGTTCATGACGCTGCTTTAAGAGTATCTGCCAAGGCCTTACATTATTCTAGTGCTGTTTTAACTACAGCTTCGAGTATCAAAAAGTTGAAGGAAGAAACAGACAGGAAGACGAAGAAGGAGAAGAAGGAGAAGAAAGATCAAAACAGCACAGCATGACGAACGTACAAGCAAGGACTCGCTCGGTCTACCGGGCCATACTACGCGAACTACCTCCCCGACCACGTTTCGCGCCATCCCCTCTCCAGACCAAGATCCGCCAGCACCTTTCCACAGCACCCGCAGACGCCGACGCAGCTCGCGCCCAGCTCGAAGAAGCAGAGCAGTTCACGCAATACATCAAGGCGCAGAGGCAGTATATTACCCTGCTGGAACGATATAACCCAGGAGCAGACATGGACCAGGAGGAACGAGTGCGGTTGACTGCCCGGAGAGTCGGCATGAGCCTGCCAGTCGAGCACAAGAACGAGTCTTCATAAAGGCAATAAAGACAGCAAGCAAGATATGATACTCGAGGAGACGACCATAGAATTATTTGCGATTCATTGTGAAATGCGGCATGTTTGATTTTCTTTCCAGGCCTTCGTGGTCGGTTGTGGTACGTAGCTACTCTTTCTTTCTCCCGTTCCGTCTATGCAGTTGGGTTGGTCTAATTTGATACTCTAGAGTAGGTGTTGAGCGTGTGGAACAGCCATAGCGAAGGCTGTTTGATCATTTTATCATTTACACTGTATTCTAGACATATGTACAACTACTACTGCAAAAATATACCCGGATCTCAATACCCAGATTCCATCTTCATCTCTTCATCTCTTCAACGGGAGCGGCATTCAACAGAGCGTCACTAGAACAGCCTGCCTTGATATATTGCTACAATGTACGAGTAGGTGAGGGCAATAATATAACTAGCCAATGCCTCACTAAACCACCGGTATCGTGGTGATCTGTTTACACATACTGATTGAGAGGTTGATAACTGATAAGCTCACACATCCCTGAACGGCCGGCTAGTTCTGTCAAAGGAAGTGAGCGAATTTTTGCAAAGGACGGTGTCAAGAAGCCGCAGAATTGACATTGATCTATCCCTTGGGTAGCAGATAGCCAACTTCTGTCTCTACATGACATAACTGATGGGCTGTGTCGAGTGAGTCCCGGTCAATGAATGGTTTCAGCTGTATCCAACAAATAGTGGGAGAGAATGTTACCTGCAGGGCACTGACGAGGATACGCGGGCCTTCTACAATATACCGCTTACAGGATAGGTAGTTACTTGTGCATACACGAGTTTATAAAAGAACAATACTCGAAATTTATATGGCTATATATAGATAACATTCTTCCCAAAAAAAGATGACCAACACCGGTGCCATGCAATCGATTGGCCAGATAAGTATATAAAACAGGACAACCAAGAGCAGGAGACATCATCACTTCATCTAGATCAGACAAATAACCTATTAAATCTGCAGGAAGTGTAGTAAGAAAAGAGTGTAGTAATGCTAGCCATGTTCAACCGAAGTGCAATATAGAGCGAGTGTTGCGCTAATAAAATGACGAAACGAATGAGAAAAATGCGTGAAAACCCAAAAAATAAACGCCTTTTAGATGCATATGTCGCCAGAGTACATTAGCTGGGGGAAACAAAAAGGAAAAAGTAACGAGAAAAGACAGAAAATTCGGATCGGAGCCTGTATTCTGTGTTCATGCAATGATAAGGGATAGCTGGATATGTTTAACGAGTCCAGCTCGGAGTGTGTTGGTCGGGCGTTAGGAGTGATGTAGGAATAAGGGGATCGGAGATCGGAGACGGATGGTAGGAGGTTGATAGGGTTGACAAATATGAAAATAAGGGGGGAAACAGGGTAACGGGATCTCTCTGGCCTATGCGACAGGACGGGCCTTGCCGAAGAATCTCGAAATGATTCCTCCGGTGGCTGATCCTGCGGTCTTTGCTCGTTTCTGTGGCTGTATCTCAGCGGGGAAGCTGATCGCATGGCTCTTTGGCTTGGGACGCATCATCTGGATGTCGACATAGCTATACGCCAAGTGAGAGGAGCTAGGACTGGAGCTGCCGTCGGCAACAACAACCTCATGGAAGGACGAGGCAGTGTTGAAGCTGGCGGGTGTGCCTCGGGAGCTGGGAGCCAAACTGGAAGATCGGGACGAGGAGCCATGGTTGGAGTCGGCGTGGCCGAGAGCGGGCAGATCGAGAACAGACGGCGGGGAGATAGAGCGACCGGATCGCTGCAGGGATTGCCGACGTTTGTGACGTGCGATGCGGTCACTTGAATTGTCCGAGATCGAACGGGGAGAATCGTAGATGCCGGTCTGCATGCCATAGTCGCTGGGGATACGAGCAGGGCTTTGGTCACGGGAGGCCTGGGCTAGAGCTGCACGTACAGCGAGCTCTCGTTCACGCTCACGTTCCATCTCCATGTCACATTGAGCCTGGATGTGGCTGCGAATGGGGGCAAGGAAGGGCTCGAAGTGGAGGAAAAGATCCTCCTCGTTGACACGGGTGTCCCAGTCAAGCAGATAGAGAAGCTGGCGTTCCATCAGGTTGACTTCTGGCAAGGAGAAGCCAAAGCCGTCATAGCCCTTGACCAGGGTGTATCTAGACCAGTGCTTGTTCTTCGGGCTGGAGTCGTTGAGGTTTTTGGCAGCCAGAATTAGAGCGGCGAGGAAGATACGATGCGAGGTGCATCGCATGCCCTTGGCGACTGGCGGCAGCTTGTTCTTTAGGCGTGCTAGGAAGACAAGAGATGTCATGAGAGTAGGAACCTCGACATGAGAGCGGGTAACAAGCGAGAAGATGAACGACTCCAGTGGTGGCAGTGGAGGAAGGTGAGGCTCGTCAGCAGCCTTGAGATCGGGAGATGCTGGCGGAGTGAGAGTCCCCTGTTGGGTGACTGGCCCTCGAATAGCACGGTCTTCGCATCTGATAACCATAGACGATTGTCTAGCCAAGTAAGATATCATCTCGCATGAAACCGGCATAGAGATAAACTCATTGAGAGCTGCACGGTTAAGAGCAACATTGGACTTCGCCATTTTGATGTTGGTAGTAGAAGTAGTCGGAATAGTTCGTAAGATGCGTCCCCCTTTTGAGAAGATCAACCCAGTATCGTTAGATGTAGGGCAGTGAGAAAAAGGGACGGCTTGTCGGGTTGGAAAATGGATATATTGTAAATTAAAGAAGTTGTAGCAGTTCTGTCCTTTCAAGGGGTTCCGGCCAGCGGAATAAAGCAGACAGGTTAATAAAGGGCAACCCGTAGAGAGTCGCGGTGTAAAGTAAAATAAAGTAGCAAGAAATAGCGGATCGATGATGTTATTCTGCTGCATCAGTTAGTTATGCCGGCGCTCAAAGGATGAATGAGAATGCATGCAAGAAGAGGCGGCCGGCCGACAGCCACACAGGGGGTGGTCTGCATGTGTGCATGTGTATGTATGGGGTCGTTCTTCGGCAAGCCATGATGGGGGCAAAAAAAAAAAGTGAAAATAAATGCATGCAAACGCCAGGGGTCGGCGGTACTTACTCAGATCTCCAGGCAAGCTGAGGAGAGCGAAGACGGATTTTCCGTTGTTATGTCTGGATGGATGTCTCGTCGAAGTAGGAGCAGGGGTTCAAGCCGCTGGCTTATTCAGATCTCTGCAAGAAGTGTAACCGACGGCCGGCGGAGTATTCCAGATACAGCGGACAGTAAAAAGTCGACGATGATAAACCAAGGGCCAAAAACCAAAAAGAAAAATGCAAAATGCTTTTATGTGGTATGGGGGAAATGAGATCTAATAAATGTATAAAGATGGATAAAAGGCAAAGAGACTCGTGAGACGTATCAAACGCCTTCTGATGCAATATTAGGTATGAGTGGGCAGAAGGAGGGCGGGAATAGGCATGTGGTTAGTTCTCGTGAAGAACAAGCAACCAAAGAGAGCGAAGAGGGAGGAGAAGGGAAGGAAAATAATACAAGAGAAACTGCTTTAGTGATATAAGGGAGAGGGAGGAGACAAAGATCAGGAGGCGACGAAGAGTGTGTGTGCTGCATGAATATATACCCTCGCAGCGCCTCTTGGGGAAAGACAGCATGAACCTTCGAGAGGCAAAGAAAAGGCTGTATCTTGCCTGTCTCCCGTCGTCCACCCCTGGGCCCGGCGGTTGCTGATGCGTTAGCGGTCCCGTCGTGAACTCGCTCATCGCAGACTACTGGTCGAGAGAGTGTGCAGGGCACCTAACCGCCAGCCATGGATCAACGCAAGCGTTCTATTTCGAGGGAGCAACCCCAAGGGCGGGAAGCTGGACTGGCCTCTTGCGTTCAAGAATACGCGCTCACATCTGCGATGATGTTACAAGGCCCCCTGACAAGAATAGCAGCAAATCCTCCTCTTTGCTTCTTCCCACAGGGCAAGCAAAGGAAAAGTGAGAGAAGGCGAAAAAAGCAAAAGGGAAGACGAAGAAGAAGAGATCCACAGTGGCCAAGCTTCAACCCAGACCAGCATGGCCAAATCATGCCTGCTCTGGGTGCAGGTGAGGGCGCCAGTCCGAAGATGCACGAGCTGCGGGCGAGATCATTCGTCGAAGGTCAAGCGTGTGAAGGGAAGATGCAGGCCCAATCACAGCGTGCAGGCAGACGGGCGTCAAGTGTTTCATGCAACGTTTGAGACTGTCTTCCTGGCCGGGTCGTGAACGCCGTTTGATCAATTATGATGGCTCTTTGGAGTTGTGTGTACTCTGCACGGAGTAGTTGGCCATTTTGAGCATTGTTGGTGTTGCTAGATAGAAATGCCTGATGTTGACAGATATCGCTCTCGCTTTTGGGCTGGTTGATAGCCCGGCCGGCGCATTCAGGGGTAAGTACTGTAAATTAACTAACTCGTTGACTAACCAAACTTGCAGGCTCAGAGTCTAGAGTAGACAGATGGAGAGAGCATTACTCCGTATGCTGCTATCATAACTATTTTGACTTTTGGTCGTAAAATTTTCCGTTCTCGTTCTGTTCTCCGTCCAGGCCAGGCTCGCTTGTCTGCATCGTAAGTTGTAGTAATGTGGGATAGTTTGGATGTACTCTGTAGGTCAAGTAGTTACGTATATAACCCCTGCCCAACGAAGTTGGCTAGCCAATCCCCTAGCGCAGTGCTGTTTGTCTCCTCGATCCTGCGACAAGCTTAGATAGTTACGGGGAAAAGGGCCCGTGTCGTTGGTGGCATGCATGAGGTTTCTCCCTCCTCCCTTTCGGTCTCGCCTGGTGGTTTTGATGCGACTGAGCATCCAGCATGAACCAACACTGCGTGGTTGGTGATGCTTGACAAGCGACGTGGTTGCAGCTGAGTCGAGAGACGCCCTTGTCCTCGCGGTCGTGTTTTATCATGTGTTTCATCACGAGTCCCCGTCCTTGCTGATGCGTTGTTCGCTGTCACTGTCGCCTATCGCCTGTCGCTGTTCTCCTGATGCTGGACTATGTCATGGGAGCAGAGCCCTAGCCTGTGTAATGGGAGGACAACAGGGGCCGTTCTACCGTTCCTCTAGGCCGTTGCATGCAGCCGTATAGACCCAGTGGGTAGCCAGCCTATTATTCATGGTTAATCATAAACTCCATACGGAGTAGACAGCAGCGTAGTTGGCTGTATTGGTTATATGAGTTAGTTACTTGGTTTTTGTACTCGGCCGTCAGTCTCTTTGGCAGCTCGACTCGATCCCGGTGATGACCAAATTTGGGGCCAATATAGCCATAACCAGAAGCATACATAAGCATAGCCATAGCCATGTCTACCGTCAAGCCGAAGCCGCAGACTTAGTAAGAAGACGTTGAAGGCACTGCTAGGCTGTTATTTTTATGACATGTTGGTTTGGTTAGTCTCTTTTCGGCCTTTAACTGTTGGCTCCAAGGCCGCTTGGCTGCTTGCTCGTTCCGATGCTCCGATTGTTCGTTCCTTCAAGCGATTCTAGTTCCACCCAGGCGCTAACTCTGATCACAGAAATAGAACAGGCGTTATTCGGTCCCTTACTTATGTTTTCATGCATCCTCAGAGGTTAGCCCTTGTCCATGCCATAATTAATACATATGGTCCCACAACTGCATAGAATATCAACCTCTTCGCCCTTCCAATTAAGGGAACGCAACAATTAACCCATTTCCAGATATGAAAGGACATCCCTTGAATGATGGGACGGGGTTGAATGCAGGGTGATCCCAGCTTGCCATACATATACATACATACTATGTACATCGTCTGGCAGCAGAATATGGCCTCGAACGTGGGTCTTCCAGGGCAAGCCACCACTTCTGAAAACGGGCTCAAAGCATCTTTTGGCCTTCCACCCGATTTAGTTATACTTAACTAACTAGTTCTGAAACAAGGGTGCCTTGGAAGCAGTTGGGATCCGTGGGCGGCTCCATACACAGCACGGAGCTTGAAGATCCGGCAGCGGGAGTTTTGATCGTCGGCGGTCCCCCAATAGTGAAGAAATTTGCAGCATCCCAGTTCCCTGTCCCAGGAACACTCAACATCCCGGACAAGTGCAGCTGGTGTCTCTGCCGGCGTCCTGCGGCCTTCCTAACTAGTATGAATTCCCGTTACGGCGTTAACATGGCAGACAAACAGTCAGACAATATTAAGGGCTTTGAAATACTCCGTAAGGCGTAACCATGTAGATCAAGGGAGTCCGTGCATGATGGCCTTGGGAAACTTGGAATCGCAGAGGTAGATGGATAGGGTGGATTGCCAAACCGTATGAGACTATAACTAGTATCCCCCACCTTATAGTTAGTCTCTTTGGCTCATGCAGGACTTCCCATCCGCCAACATGTTTATCGATTTCCTGCGCTTCGTCATTGGTACCGCTATGGATAGCCTAGCCACCGCCTGTACCAGTGTCTATGCATAGAAAAGACGAATTGCCCTCTGCTATTACACTCGTAGCGAACCTAGCCTGAGCACACATTGCCAGTGACTATATTTTCATGGTGAACGAGCCTTATCAACAACGTTAGCATCGTGGCGTAATGTAAGTTTTCCTTGCTGAAGAAGTTG